TCGAGAGCGAAAACGATATCAAAAAATGTTTGCCACACAGATGGGCACAAACAGCGTTCCTTGACGCTATCATGGGCTCATGTTATAATGACGTTGCGCTGGTAAGATGAATACCAGAGGCCAGCAAAGTCAGAAATAGTGGCGCTAACTGCAGGCCGCAGGCCAGTGGCCTGGAAGGTAGCTCGACCCCAACGGTGTAGCTGCTCGCGAGGATACTTGACATTCCATACGGCTCACAGCCACCCTGGTCCATTCCAGGCGGCTCACAGCCATCCTGGTCCATTCCACGCGGCTCGCCTGCCGCCCTAGTCCATTTCCTACGGCTCACAGTCACCCTAGTCCATTCCATACGGCTCACCAGGCACCCAGGTCCATTCCAGGCGGCTCACCAAGCACCCCGGTCCATTCCAGGCGGCTCAGGCGGCACCTCGGTCCATTTCAGGCGGATCACCAGGCACCTTGGTCCATTCCAGGCGGCCCATCCGCCCCTGCACCAACCACAATCCGGTCGGTCCAGCGTGCAGCCAGGCCGCCGATTAATGGCCCGATTACTATGCACCGGCCGGCGGATGCGGCATTAAAGCGGGCGGCGGCGCTCAGTCGCTGATTCGAGGCCAATGCCGCCGCCGCGACGGCAGATCGGCGGTCATGCCAACATGGGAGGAATACAGTCGCACAGAAATGTACATTTCTTAATAGTATTACTCTTAAGACTTAAGCGAAGTTGCTGTGTCACTTGGAAAGTGATCAGTGACTATCTTGAAGGAGTTTTGACCAAATAAAAGTTCAAGCCGCCCCAAAAGACGCAATAGTGAGCGCTGTAGGACTGTTCTGCCATTTCGGGCAAATTTACTTGAATACTGGTACGATATGCATACTGAAAGTCTGGAATACAACACAGCATCGGTTTATGTAGACATCCATCATTGCGGAGCCCATAGGCGGCGGAACGAGAGGGCATCGGGGCACCTTGCCCCCCTTTGATTTTCACATTTTAACATCAGCCCTATGGGCGTTGCATGGAAAGAATGGGACCAAAAGTCGGCAGTGCCCCACCCCCTTTAATTGAAGGTGTTCCGCCGCTACTGGCGGAGCCAGATCGAGACCACGTGAAAGGTACTGTGATGTCCGCGCCGTGCAGGCCAGAGCCTGTCGTGCGGCGGCGCGGCCGAGCTCTCAACAAAGGAATGCGGCTGGGGCGGCGGCGGCAGGCGGCCGGCGTCAGTGCGGGCCGGAGCGGCGACTCACCAGTCACCCTGCCGCTCGGCCCAGGGGGAGGGGAGGCGGAGCGCCGCGGTGGGGCCACATCCGGCCGTCCTCCCCGAGCGGCCGCAGGGAGGGACGGGTGCCGGCCGAGACCGGGGCCGATGGAATCCGGCGCCGGCCACCCCTCCTACCTGTGACCACTGATTTATGGATAAGGCGGCCCTTCAAAGGGACCATCACCGACCATCAGCTAAACGCATCATTGGCCCGTCCAGCCGAGCGACTCTATGAGGCGCATTCATTTGGGAAACAGCCCAATCGGCGGCTCGGCCGGGCTCAGTCCGGTCGGAAGACCACCTGCCGGCCACAATGGAGAGGTCCGCGCTGACGGTCTCACAAAACGACCGGCACACACAGGCTGCCGCAGAAATGTGCTCCCGGCGCCCGGCTCGCGGGCGGCGGAACTAACCACCGTCACCTGTCGACTCGACGCACAACTCCATTAACCAATACCCATCAACAACCCATTCCCCAGTCTGAGGTGTTACCTTTCTCAGTACCTAAGAGGTAATGGAGACGGAACAGAGACAACTCAAAATGTTTGAGATTTCACAATGCTGCAATGGCAGGATTAAGTCTTGAAGACAATATCACTGGTGAAAGTTGGCCAATGCTCATAATAGAGCCTCCAAAACCTTAGAAATTTATGGTAATTTCGGTTCCTGGGCGCCCTGGTGGGATTGTTGATTGAAGTGTCCTCATCCACTGATGAAGTGTGCATTAATAGTAATCCCAGTTGGTACTACCAATATCACCTTGATTTCTTTTCCTTACAAGAGAACAGCAGCTGTCAGGAAGTGATTTATTTCTACATTCTCATAAAGCTTAGCCTTATCTCTGCACTAATTCATGCTGTCTGATACTCCACTGCATCCTGTTTCTATGTTAATTGTTAAGCCCTGTCTTGAATGCCCCTGATAGCTCTGTGCAATAAGTAGTGAATGGTAGAGTTGCAGCCATCCTAAGGCCTGTAGCTCTGGAATGCACACACCACTTGCTATTAATCAGCACAAAAATGAAAGTAGGTATCTGACATGGGTCAAACACTGAGAAAAAGGACATACATTGACATTCTTGAGTCAATTAATAACATATAATGATTTCCTGCCTATATTATGAATAACTAGACCCATGACTCATGAGGTGGCAGTGTCAACCAGCACTGTTACTTCTTGTAATCAACGTGTGCTGCTGTGCACATTTTGAAGTTCCTTCCATTCCAACAGTGACATCCAATAAATGGAAGACAAAAAACTTTCGGGGGGAGGATGGGGGAACCATTGAACCATGCCCCTGAATGCCCATTTCAGGACCCTGTACCTATTAGTTAAAAAAAAAACAGACCTTATTTTCATGTTGATGTTACGTGCTTGGGCTACTATTTGACCTGAACAAACAAAACGTTTTGTATCTATGACTTGACTGATACCTATACAGTCACATGTTGCTAAACACAGTCACTTGTTACACTTGTTACACAAGTGCATTACTCAAACAAAAGGAGTTATGATGTACCTACTTCTTACTGAGTGTACTGAGCACTGTGCAATAGTTAAGGCAACAAAAGCGAAAAGCTGCAGCAAAGTATTGCACCACCTACACAAAACATGTAAGCAGGTCCTGCTTACCTGAGATGTCTGTCTGAGGAATGTCAAGAACCGGAAGATGGAGATTGGCGAAAGCTCGAGCAGTCCGTTCACAACCCAATCCATCTCCACGTGTTACAGTCACGTAGCAGCCCATTAGCACCAACAGCATACACAAACTTTGCTTCATTTTTGATAAAGTGCAAGGGCAAAACATTTTCAACAGTTATTAGCTCTTTCCACTTGACTTTTATTTTCTTCACGCAGTGTTGTCAAAATGTGGCAGTAATGGCGCACACTAAAGCCACAAACACTTCCTTCATTCACGGATGTAAATGTCAAAGAACGATTTCACACACTGATTGACATTAATTTCGGTGTAACACTGAATCAGTATATCAATATGTCACCTGGTACTCAAAATAAAGGTCATAGCACTAACAACAGCGACGCATATCCACCCGCAACAGCAGCTGACGCCAAACTGCCGGCCGAACAGAGTATTTTTTTTTGGCAGCTTCGCTTCAGCGTAAATTTGCAAGTTTACGCCAGAACTAGCGACTTTAACAAAAACCTCTAGATTTTATCTCTCAAGAAAGTGCCTGGATCATAGAGTCTTTATATCTATGGCCTGGATATTTTAATTTAAGTAACCTTTGCTTTAGTCAGCCTTAACAACTCAAACCTTTATTTGTGCTTTATTTTAATCAACCCCTGGGACCTACTTTTATGCATTTATTGGGCCTTCCTTGTGGTCGGGTGTCAGTAAAGCCGGTATTTGAATTGTTAAATTGGTAGCAAGCTTCGAAATAAGATTTTCCAGGCGACCCATTGTAATTTTTATTTTAGTTGAAAGACGATTGGAAGAATATGTTGGCGTCAGCATGATCTGAGACCAAACATAAGAGATGAAAAAGACCGTTTGCTTAGGAATGAATGTAATATTTATGTTCCTTCTTTCCAGTCAATCAAATGATAGGCCGATTTCCACAAAGGGCGTTCCTTTTCAATCACAATTTATTTTAATTCATTTTTAAGAAATATAGGGAAATTCTTATATTAATCCACATTCTACAGATTCACGAACATCAAACAAAGTGCATTAATGACGCAGCTGTTACAAAACATTGGGATGCATTCCATTTGAATAACGAGTGCTCCATCGGTTTTATCCTTAGGTTTTATCGTGGGTTTTATATGGTTTTATAGACATTTCTCAACATAAAACGGTTGGATTATATTTGTTAGACGGTAGCATTGATTTGGATTACAATGGTTTGCACCTTTTCTTCCTCCTGTGTCCTCCAAATGAAAATTGGCCTTCGAGGTTTGATTAGCGATAGCCTTGGGTTAGGCTTCCGGAGGGTAAAAATAACCAAAATTGACACATTTCTGCGGGTCTTTTGGGGCCTTACATATACTGCCTTGGTAAGATAGCTATGTTGTTTATTGATATAAACTCGGTAGTAGATGGATATGAACACGTAAAATGGCACTCAGAAAAGTTAAAAGATAGATGTTATTTGTATCTGGCATTGATATATACCTAACAAGCTCTGCTAGCACTACAGCAACAGCTGGCAAATCGTCCAGAAAATAGTACGGCCTGTGTTTTTATCACCTAGCTTTTTATTTATAGTGTGTATTGCGTTTGTTTTGCCACTATCATGTTTCTCTTGTGAATATGTGTAAATTAACTCAAACTACAAATATAATCCAATAAGGTGAACTCTAAAGTTTTATAAAATTAAGAATTTCAGGTTTGTGACCTGACTGAAAATAGAAAAAGGATGTGTACCAAATTACCTAATCGATTTGTGTTGCTGAACTGATAACATCCGGTGTTTTCATTGCTAGAGTAGGTAGGTATCTGTCAAAAGTTACTAGACACGTTAAACTTTTAGTTTTCTGCAATGGTTGCAAAATATAGTCATTTGTGATGCATTGCCTGGAAAAGGTTAAAATAATTAGAGCGTCAATACACCCGGTTGCAAGGAACATCATTGGCTAAACTGAACATTTTAGCTCTAGAAATGCATCCTGCTTTCTTTGACCAAGACTTGTCTGTACATATGTCCCTTGCAGCCAAAGATGTGCAGCGTACACCACACAGCAGTGATGAGAGTTTGGTTATCCTTGGCAGGTGGTGAAAGGAACACACCATGAAGACCAAGTTTTTCAGTTAGACCTGTGCGATAACTCAGACTCAGTGTGCTGACAATGGAGGTACCATCCATATCAGAGGTGCTCTCAATGGAGCTGTCCACCGAGCTGTCGGAGGACCAGCTCGAACTGCTCCACTCTGGTCTGGACGGGCTTAATCAGCAGACAGTCGACGGAGCCGACAGCACACAGCTGAGGGAGCTCCTCCTGAGAGCGCAGTACGTGATGCGCTACAAACATGCTCAGGTTAGTACTGTGGGACATTATGTGTATTAACGTGTTCGGGAAAAATCATGTGTATGCGTGCGTTCCTGTCAGTCCGTGTTTTTGTATTGCTCGTTCGATTGACAGTGAGGTGTTACGTGATACTGATTCTATGTCGATGCCTCTAGTTGGCGGTCGCAATGGAGGAGATTGAGAAACTTGGCGAGGCGACGGGGGAGAATGAACAGCTGAAGAAGAGGAATGCTGATCTACAGCATCTTGTCAACACGATCAAGTCTAAAGGCACAGGTGAGTTGACAGATCGGTATTGTATGGCTTGACCTTCAGAGGTCCCTGGGTTGTATAATTGTCCCAGAGGGCTGTTCACGGGCCCTGTGTGCGGTCGGACCGCACACAGCCTCCAAGCTCCGCCCACTGCGTCCCTACGTCAGCCTTCCGTCACCGCACACAGCGATCGCTGTGGCCGGTCGGGACTGGCCACAGCGGACCGTCCACCGCACGCAGCCGTGACGTCAGAGCCGCCTACCCATCCCCTTCCCCCACGCCTGCTGGACGCACCGCACACACCGCACGCAGCAGTGTGCGGTGCCCGTGAACACCCCTCTGGTGACCTTTTTTTATAAATTTAGTCCGAACATTTTGATCGAAAGGATCCACAAGGACAGAGCCCCCGCTAAGCGAAGCTTGTTGCGTTGACCCTGCTCTCTACCCTCCGATCGCGTAATTCCGGTTCTATGGCAGAATTTTGAGTCCAAAGTTTAACCCGCGCCCGGCTGGGGTCCTGGATTTCCACGCCCTGCTGGGGGGGGGGGGGGTGTTTGAACACCCCCCCCCCCTTCTAACTCGGCTCCTGGGCCACGTAGCGATACGCGGAAGGCGGCGTTCGAAAGAGCGTCAAAAATAATGACGAAATCACTTCGGTCAATTTTTTGGTCAGGTCAAAGGTCAGGTCACCAGAGGTCATTGAAGGCAAAATTTCGCCGATTTCCAGGTCGAATGTCGAAAATTTCCAAGAAGCCAACGCATAACTCGGGAACCAATAGAGCTACAGCGCCGCGGAAAAGCGCATTCGATAGCCCTATTAACGCCCTTTCTGAGTATTTTTCTCAGATTTGACCTAACGTCAACGGTTTTGCCTGCAGGGGGCAAAAACTGCAAAAATAGCCGATTTTTTCGGAAACAGTTTTTCTGCAATAACTTTTGACCCAAGCCTTGTACGAGCTTACTTTTACCGGCATCGTGTTCCTCTCGTCAAGACGCATCGAATGAACTATAACTTGACCTTGAAAGGTCAACTTGAAAATTTGACCTCAGGTCAAGGTCATGACCTGACCGGAAAGGGTCATGTTGCATATCAGTCGATCCGTATCGTCGAGCTGAACACAGCTAAGGTGTTTTCATCGCTCTAGCTTGCCTCTATCAAAAGTTATTTGCGAAAAACTGTTAGATACCATTCGTGACCTAAGATGACCTCAGGGCATAAACAGGGGTCACGGACACCATTTTCATGTTCAGTGTGTCTAAACCACTTGTAATTCAGTGTTTGGGAGTGTTTATAATGTCTTTCGTCCAAAAGAGACGCATTTCAATTTTCTCCCATTGACTTATAATGGGGAGGTCGCAAAATTGACCTGACCTTAGGTCATCGATATCAAAATTCTGAGATATACATTTTGTACATGCTATTGCTCTTAGCAATCGCTGATAGTTTCAAAGCGATCGGTCACTCGGTGTAGCTATGACAGACATTGAAACTTTTTATGAGGTGAGGTCACTTCAAGTGACCTGGTGACCTGACCTTGAATGACCTTGGTCTGAAATTTTCACAACATGTGTAGAATTGATGCATGATAAGATGTACCAAAAACGGCGGCGCTCCGCGCCGCCGTTTTTGAGATATTTGCGAAAAACCACAAGGGGGGTGTTCAAACACCCCCCCCCCCCAGCAGGGCGCGGGTTAACGTGCGCACATAGTCGGGCACGGCCGGTCCCCTCACGGACTTCGCCTGGCTACGGCCTGCCACCAACCGTAACCATGCCTGTCACGAGGCCCATAAACGTCAAGCGCCCGTCGCGTTTCGAACCCGGACTGTTGTAATTGGGAACGCGTGCTCTCACCACGCGGAGTCCAACGCTCTACCGACTGAGCTACGGGACCGGCACCTTGACCTAGGCTCAGCTTACATTATCTACCTATGTCCATCTGAATTCACGGTAATAGATATATCTAATATATCTATTAGATATTCACCGCTCAGGAGTTTTTAAAGACACTTTGTTTTATCAACCTCTATAATTCAAGAGCCAAACGCGAGAACCGCACCGACCCGCTTACCCCATGGATGACAGCAAAATGACCAGGGATGCTGATTTTTAAAAAGCCATCAAAGTTATCACGCATGGGCGGCGATCGCTTTAGAAAACGTGAACAAAACTTACACGTTTGTCTTGTCACCTGTTGTGTGGTTAGACTCTGGCAGCGCCAGTGTACGGTCTGAATTGGAGGACCTCCAGGCGTCCCGGGCACAGCTCAAGAAGGACCTAAAGACCAAACAGCGCCAGCTGGATGACGAGAAACGGGAAAACGACAAGGTGAGCCCGACGATCAGTGTTCAGCCGGGTGTGGGAAGGGGTTGGAGAGTGTGAGGTTATGTCAAAGGAGGTCGAGGGAGGGGTGGGAAGAGTGTATCGTGGGAGATCAGACCATGTGAAGCAGTCCAGGTAGATGGTGGTGGCGAGGATGGGTCGTGGTAGGCAGGCATCTCTCCCGCCCCATGCGGCCCGGTCCGGCCTACTCTGGCGTCACACCGTGTGCCGCCTTCCCCATCTCGTCCCCATCCACGCCGTCTTATTTCCGCCGCCTGCGTCCTACCGTGGCATACTTTGCGCTCAGCACTGCCCTCTGACGGCTGTGAGGATGTGATCTATCTCGCTGTGAGAGTTATCTTCGTCCTGCCGTGCTGCCCTCTGACGGCGGTGAGGATGTGATCTATCTCACGCTGTGAGTGTTGTCTTCGTCCCGCCGTGCTGCCCTCTGACGGCGGTGAGGATGTATTCCGTCTCTTGCTGTGAGTGTTGTCTGCGTCCTGTCGTGCTGCCCTCTGACGACGCCTCTCCCTCCGACAGCTCAGCGCCCGGGTGGAGGAGTTGGAGTCGGAGCGGCGCGAGCTGCGCCGGCAGCTGGACCAGCTCAACAGCACGCTGGAGGGCATGCGGCCCGACTACGACTCCAGATCGGTAGGCCCTACGCTAAAGCTGCCGGAGCTTTTTTTGGTGGCCCTTACGTTACCGGCCTCGCGAGGAGGGCGGCGACCTAACTACGCCGCGCAAAAGAAACCGGCCGTGCTTTGGTATCCCTTTCGTTTTTTTTTTCGCACCTTATTCGTTATTTTTTTTCTTTTGTAGCACATAAAGAGCACACCAATTCCCTTCCTTGCTTTTAAAGCAAAAACTTGTGCCTACATCAAATATTTTTCATCGCCGAAGTGGGGCTATCTGAAAAGGCTGTATTTTTTCTAGCATTAATCAAACGCTCAGCTTCTGCTCTGTGCCTACCTTCTCGTGTTGGTTACGGTACGCCGTGCTGATATGCATTATGTGATGGCTTTCTTTCACCAGGACCCGGAGGACGCCGGGGAGAACCAATACGCCGAGCTGCTGCGTCAAAAGAACCACTACATCAACGTGCTGCTGGATGATGTCGAGGTAAGATTGGAGCGCAGCCCGTCTGTTTCTATACCTGTTCGGTCAGTCTTCTCTCACGCCTCGTTAAATTCCCAGCTTATCCAACGATCGTTCAGTGCTGGTCTCTTATAAAGCTGATGAAATACCAGGTAATGTCACACTATTTGTGGACCTACATCACTCTTCATACGATACGACTCGATACGATGTAAACATACGCTCTCCGACAGGCCCACGAGCGGGAGAAGTCTGAGCTGCGCGATCAGGTGACGTCGTTACGCGAACAGCTTTCGGAGGCCACCAGTCAGATTGAGACAATGACCGCCGAGTTTGACCAGCTGCGGCGAAAACCCCGGCCGGCCGAACACGGTTCGTATGCGCTGACCGCGTCATGTGGGGGAAGAGGGCGGAGAGGAGAGGGTTGGACGGTTGAGAGAGTAATTGACGGTTGAGTGAGGGAGTGATTGAGGTTTAGATGAGGAAATGGGGGGGGGGGACAGCAGCTGTTGTGCGGTGGGGGTGCGTTGACGGCTGAGTTATGCCAATGAGCGATGCGAGTGATTTTTAACCACTATACTCGTATGACACCTGTCGGTCGTCAATTGGCCCGTAAATCTCTAACCTGTCTGTGTCTCTGTGTGCTCAGAGAGCGCAGCGGCGGTCGGCGCCGGCGACCCTCCGACCGACCGCGCCGTGCAGCGTCTGCAGGCCGAGGTGGCCGAGCTGCGGGCGCTGAAGACGCGCAGGGACGCACAGTTCGACCAGCTGGCCGCCGTGGTCGAGGAGCGCACCGATCAGTTCAAACGGCTCATCGCGCAGCGACACGCCGAGATTGAGGAGCTGCAGTCGCAGCTGCGACGGGCCAGCAACAGGGTGGGTAGTCGAGCTGTACCACGTATTCTGCCTCAGCCGCCACTGGTTAGCAGCTGCGACGGGCTAGGAGTAGTGTAGGTAGTTTGGTGTACCACGGCAGCCGTCAGCCTCGCTGCCGCTGTAATACCGGCCCGCTCAGACGCCGTACTGCTGTTGCGCAGGTCTGTTTTGACTTCTCTCTTTGTGTCAGCTCTGTTTCCCAGTGTAACAGCCCCATGTGACCTCTGTATATGTGTTCGTCAGGCGGCCGACCAGACTCGTCTGGCGGAACTGGAGCGGCTGTGTGCCGACCAGCGGCGTCAGCTGGCGGCGCGCCAGGTAGAGCTGCAGCGCGCCACTGCGGATATGGAGGCGATCGCGGCGCGGCTGGAGACGGAGCGACGCGCCGGCGCCGCCGACACCGACACTGGGTGAGTGTGACAGACACTGACACACACTGACACTGACACTGACACGGCTCGATGTGACACTCTATTGGCGATACTAATATCAGAGTCTCCCGATCTGACAGGCAGTGTCTGTTGGCAGTACGATCAGATATCTGCTGGCAGCACTGTGTGATCAGATATTATCTTCCGTGTCTTATAGATGAATGATGTACGGCGCGATCTTATCCCTAGGTCTGACGTATAACTGTTGACAGTGCAGTGTGGTCATGTGTCTCCCGATCTGACCTGCATCTGGTGACCCCCAGGGGCGGTGACGCCGCGGCTGTGGTGCCCGGTGATTCTCTGCTCAAGGTGCGCTCTGAACTGAGTCGGTCCGAGGCTCAGGTGCGCCAGCTGACCGACCGGCTGGAGAGGACCGAACAGCAGGCGGCCGAGTACAACGACCAGGTGGGAAATAGATACTCAGACACACCTATTAAGAGTACCTACGAGACACAGGAACTGTAGACCACGCAATGGGGTTTGGTGAACAGGTGGGTTACAATTTATAGCTGTACACAGGCGGGAGTTTTAAGTTACACACACATGCAGTGCAGGGGATTCAGTCATGAATAGCTGAGGCCAAAGCTGTCACTGAAGTTGACACCGTTCCCCATCAGGTGACCCAGCTGACACTGACACTCACAATGACACCATCAACAGCTATCAAGTAACCCATTCAATACTGTCCTGACACCGTCCTCCCCTCAGGTGACGCAGCTGACCGCGCGGCTCCGGGAGGTAATGGAGGGCGAGTTTGGCCTCTCGGAGGCGGTGGCAGAGATAAAGGAGGCGCAGCGCCAGGTCGGTGTGAGAGACCGACAGGTGACCGAACAGAACAACTTCATCAACCTCATGCAGCGCCACCTCACCGAGGTGGTCGACGAAAACTCGGCGCTCAGGTTAGAGACACTGACATATCGGGGTGGGAGGCCTGCCCTTGTCTTTGTTTGCTCGTTTGCTCGTTTGCTTGTTGTTTATCTTTTTCATGTCTTGTCTTGTCTTGTCTTGTCTGTCTTGCCTATGTTCCGGTCTGCCTGTTTTCCTCTCACCCCGTACGTCCGTCTGTCCTCTTTCCGTATGTCCGTCATTCGTCAGTGTATCCGTCCACCTGACCGTCTATTGATCCATTTACCGTATGTATGTCAGTGCTCTCACTCAGTGTATCTGAGACGTGTCCGTGCCCTCCGTTGTCCCCTGCAGGAGCCGACTGGGCATGGAGCCGCACGAGGCGGCCGAACTGGTGGCGGCGGGCAGCGGTGGTCGGGAGAAACTGGTCCACGTACTGGAGCGGGAGGTGCAGAAACTGGAGGAGGAGAGAATCGCACTCAAATTGGAGGTGAGGCAGCTGGATGAGAGAATCGTTCGCGAACTATAGGGACTGTTCGACATATTGGACTAGCTGCCTGGTATGTGTGCGTGTGTACATACACACCAGACTAGGCATAGATGCACTATTAATACGGCACTCTAGTTTCGTGGTGGCAGTTTTGTTGGATATGCTGTGTGTCTCATATGTAACACTACTCCCAATGCGACCCTACCGCTGACGCTCCGCGTCGTGTCGACAGAATCGTAAGCTGAGCCGGCAGCTGCGCTCGGAGAGCCAGTCGGGTCTCTCTCCGGAGGAGATCCGCGACATCTGTCGTCAGAGGAAGCAGTTCTGGGAGTACGTGCGCCGACTCGGACCCGGTGAGTAAGGTTATGTAGCAGGCATTTTTAGTCGCTTGACGAGTAAGTCATAAAGCTCACCGACAAACCCTATCTGCCCAGGCTGTTGGGACTCTTCCAGATCAGTCATAACAGTGAAAGCATAGCGAAGTGTTGTACAACTTCTGCGTGCGTGTTGACATGCGCGAATGTAGAGGTAGTGACCTGTAGTGAAATACTGTTTTGCCGCTCACCTGTTATGCCGGCAGCGACTGTAAAGCGTGTGGTGTGTGAGTGTAACCTGTTCCGTGTTTTTTTTTCGCCTTGCGACTGGGTTGGCGTCGACTGTATTGTGCATGGTGAGTATGACCATTTATCTGCCTTTCCTCTCCAGCCTCCGTGCCGGCGGAGCGTCGGCCCCGTCCGGCCGCCGAGCTGCTGCAGCGTATCACCCAGCTGGAGTCGCAGCTCTCGGAGAGCAGAGAGCGGCTGGCGCAGGCCGAGTCGGCCGGCGCGCAGGCCGCCGCCGAGAACCACCAGCTGCGCACCGGGCTGCGGGAGGTGCTGGAGAGCGTCCGACAGCAGGACGGTACGTGGAACAGACGCCGGGACTGTACGAGGCATCCGCCGGGTAGGCCTGGTTAGAGGATCGACACCGGCCACCGGACACACAGCGCCGATAATGCTGACAATCATGCTCATTCGGGGCTCTAGCATCGTGCATTAGAATATGTTTTGTAAACGGACCATGAACACTGAACAGCGCGTACCCCCGCATTAGATTCAAGAGTTGCAGCTCAGTTTTACGGCTTGTAGTCGCCGGAACCGTGTTACCGAAACAAGTGACGGTTCCCAGAATGTCGGTTCTCCATGACTTCTTCCGACATCACGTTGAATCATAGTCATGACGGTTTCTTTGGATTGTGTCATGTGTTATGAGGTTTGTGGTGTGGTGATCCCCAGTGGCGCTGACTAGCTGCGTTCTGGGACTGACGCCTGTTCTCCATACCCTTCCTCTAGCCGTCAGCTCAGTGAAGGTGGCGGCTCCAACTCTCGAGGCCCTACTGCAGGCGCTGGACACCCGCAGTCTGGCCGGCGGCGAGTACCGTCCGGCCCTGGTGCCCTACTCTGCCCTGCAGCAGCTCGAGGGACGAAACGAGGAGCTGCGCGACCAGCTGCGGGCTGCCAGGTGGGCAGAGCTGTGCCAGAGCGGCGGCCGGTGCGGGTGTCCGTGCACCCCCCCCCCTCCCGGTCTCCGAGCGGCCGAGCCGACACTGTCGGAAATTATTCTACCCATGACTCTCTGGCTCATTTTTTTATACGCGTTCTTTTATATATTAGTGTTTATGATCGTGCTTGTGATGTATGAGCGTGGTTGTATAAATGAACTTTCGTTAAGTGATGTACCCATTCTCCGCACACACGATTGTACGCCCGTCTTCTCACCAAGCTAACCGTTCTGTTCCCCCAGAGCCGAGAGTCGCAGCTGGTCGGTCGTCCCGGCGGCGTCGGGCGGCAGCGGCACCGGCGGCGTGGCCGAGGCCCTGGCGCCGGCCGGTCTGCGGCTGCCGGCTCACCTCTCAGTCTCCAGCAGTCAGCTGGTCGGACAGCTGACTGCACAGCTCACAGTGGCGCTGAAGGTAAGCGATTCTCTATATTCTGATACTCTACCTTATTTACAGATAGGTAACTGAACTTATATGCTCAGGTGCTCAGTAATATTCAATGATGTTTGAAGCATATCGTTGTTACTTTCCTGACTCATGACGCCTTCCTCCTCCGGTGCCACTGCTACGGCTCCTGTTCTTGCTACTTCTGCTAACCGCTAACGCTACTTTTGCTGCCGTTTCGTCAGGCGGTGGATGACGCCGGTCGGGAGAGCCAGCAGACGCGCTCGGAGCTGGAGCAGCTGCGCGCCCAGCTGCTGGTGTGTCGCCACCAGCTGGGGCTGCTGCACGAGCGGCGGGCAGCTGACGCCGAGACGTGGCGCCAGGAGCGGGGAGAGCTGGTCACCGCCCGACAGGAGGCAGAAACTGAGACCGAGGTGGGTCAGCGGGCAGCGTACAGTCGGCCGCTCTCATCGGAGATGGTACGGAATTATAGGGCGGGTGGTTAGGACGTGTGGTTGGAAATGTTTTTGTGCTGTTGCGAATGCGGACCATTCTGGATTATGCTCAGCTGCTCTGTAAATCAATTCAGCATGATATTCTTTTGTCAAAGTAGTTTTTACTGGCTAGCTGGGTGTTCTAAGTATTTACAACAGGTCAGGTACAGTAGCTTTTTCAATGTTGAGAAAAGCAGACCGTTAAAGCTGTAACGCCTCGTCCGCGTTCCATTTTTGGTACGACTCAGAGCGCAGGCACTGATCCGAGCGTCTGCTGTACAGGCCCTGCAGGCTCAGGTGGAGCAGCTGCAGCTGCAGCGGCCGGCCGCCGACACGGAGCGGCAGCTGGCGCTGACGGTGGCGCAGCTGGTGCGCGCCGAGCGCCGGCTGCGGCTGACAGCTGCCGACAGAGATCAGCTGGAGCAGCGGCTCACGGCCGCGCGCTCCGAACTGCAGAGGGCACAGCGGGCAGCTACGGACACGGTGGCAGAGCTGCGGGCAGGGAAGGTGAGCGGACGACGGGGGATGGGCGACGGACAGTTGGACGCAGTTGGTATGGGTAGTCATGGGAAATGGACGGTGGGCGACGAACAGCGTGCGATAGACAGACAGGAAACTGTAGCCCGCGATTGAAACTAGCAGCTGTGTTGTATCATGTATGTAAGGTGGGCTGTTATTAATCCGCTGCCCTAGCTGACGCTCTGACCGATTTGCTGATACTCTGACCGACCTATGCAGCTGCTGACCGCTGACCGTTTGACCCTCAGCGGACCCTGGAGCTGCAGCTGGCAGCTCTGCAGCGGCAGCTGGCCCGCAGCGTGCCGCTGGACAAACTCACTGAGCTGAACGAGCAGGTCGACCAGCTCACCGACAAGTACACCACGTTCCTCCAGAACCAAGAGAAACTCGTGAGTGGGAACGACGGCAATTCAGTGGGGCATCTTCACAAGGTGTAAAAAGAGGAAAACAGTTACCATTGTGAATGTTGGTAGCATGAAAGTTGGTTCAGTTTCACTCGTTCATATTCCGCGACCGCATCGAAGCTCTGCCCCACACCCCGTACTCTCCTCGTACTGCGGACATTGATTGTTTACCGCTCTCGCCCTCCTTGTTAGAGGTTTCCATGTGTCCACTCGCCGTTGTGTGTGTTCCAGCTCGGGGAGGAGCGCGCCAGCCGCCTGCTGGAGTCGGAGCTGGCCCTGTTGCGGCAGCGGCTGGCCGGTCTGGGTCCGACTGGGTCCCAGCAGCAGGCTGCAGACACAGATCAGGTGAGGGGCTAAAGACAGCGGCCGGGGACGTGTTACGGTACCTGGCGACTTTGGGAGATCCAACAAGGCATTTACTTCATGATACTGACGCGAGGGAGCTCGAGCCTATGGATGCCGTTACTGAATCCAGCCTTATGTCGTTTTCGAATTCACTTTATATCTATGTATCTTCGTATGCTAGTCTGTGTGTTTGTGTAGTATCTGGCAGAGCTCGACACTCTTGGAGGATGTGAGTCTAACCCGGCGGCCGCTGCGCTGTTGCAGGCCCAGCTAGGTGAGCAGCTACCCTCGGAGGAGCGGCGGCAGCGGCTGCGCGCCGAACACGCCGAGCGGCTGCAGCAGCTGCTCAAAGGTAGCGACCATAGTCGTGGGTGTAATGTGTCTGATCACCACAAACAGAGGCGTCACTGTTCGTTCATCCGCTACCGTCTGACGGCGCCTTCGTCGGCCCTCCCGTCTTTCCGTCAGTCAGTCTGTACGTCTTCGTCTGTCCTTCCGTTTGTCTGCTCGTCCACATCCGTCCGATTCTTATATTTGCCCATCTTTGTACAAGCTGTGCTATGTGACACCCCTCTGCATCTCTCTCCCCAGACCAGCTGTCGGAGGCCGAGCGCCGCGCCGCCGAGCTGGAGCGCACCTACACCGAGCTGGCTGATGCGGGCGGTACCGGCCGGCGGGCGCTGGAGCAGCTCTGCCGCCGCCTGTCGGAGTCGGCAGCCGCCGGCGCTGGGCCCGCCGAGCCCTCCGAGGCGCAGCTGCAGGCTAAACTGGTCAGTGGGATGTCTGGTTTTGAATGGCTTAGTGAGCGTGTGCATCCCATTGTTGATGAGAACAGCCATTTATGTCCGTTGCAACTAGTCAGAAGCAAGTTGTGTACTGTGTCGTGTCCGATTAAGTGTTGACTCGGTTTCAGGCAATCATTGTGTAGAGTATCGATCATGTCTCCCGTTCAATCAAGTGTGGAGTGAGTACTGTTGTATGATGCGTGTCTCCGTTTCGGGTGAATGTAGAGGGAGTGAGTAAGGTGTGACTATATTTCAGAGAGTGACACAGACGTAATGTTCCGTTTCAGGCGAGTGTGGAGGCGGAGCGGGACCGGCTGCGCGAGACGGAGCAGCTGGCCACCGCCCAGCTGGAGCAGCTGCGCTCGCAGCAGCAGGCCGCGGACCGGGCGGCCGACTCGGTCCGCCGACAGCTGGCCGAGCTGCAGGAGACGGACGACCTGCGAGGCGTCATAGGTCAGTCAGGGTACCGGCACCCAGTGGATGGCACCGTCATACTCGTGCTCATCGTCATACCGATGAGTGGATATGTCCGTCATACTCTATTACACCGCAGCCTGTACTTATAAAATAACGGGCTGCTTTCGAAACTCCATAGCGAGGGTAGCTGCAGTTTTTTTTCTAATCCCGAGACCACGAACGATACATTTGCGTGATAGATACGCATTAGGGGTACCTGTTGTAACTTAGAGTTCGTTTAGTTTAATTCCTGTATTCGAGTGCCTTACATATTCAAGACCAAATTATAACACACCGTTCAGTTTGTGCCGAGAGAACGTTCAAATTTTCTCCGATAAAATATCGCGTTCTCGGCACGTACAGTTAAAACACGGATACCTCTTATGAGGTTAGTGACCTCTGACATAAAAGGTCAGTGACCAACACAACAACTCACACCCCCTAAAATGTGACCCCACTCCGCTTGTGACCTTTATGGCTCCCCTGCTTGAAAACGGAGAGGCCTGCGTACTTCTCGGCCACTTCTAGTGAATATCCTCGTTCGGCCAGAGTATGTAGTAACATCCTGGCCAGAGGACGGGTCTCCATCGCTGTGTCCATCTTCTGCTGTATCTTTCCCTTCTGTGCTCCTTTCAGCGTCATTTGAATGTTCAACAGATGACCCGGCTCCCGAGAGCGTCGTGCCCGTATCAGGGACCCTGTCGTCATCAGTTGGGTTGCTCCTGCTGACCTCTTGTGGTCGCGGTTCAACTGGAACCGATTGTCGTGTCACTGGGCGGGAGGACATCTCGGTTACTCGCTGACGAAGCGGTGAATTGTTCCTCCTTGACTCCGTTTCAGTTCCAAGTATTCGTGTCTCGGATGAGCCTGCTCGTGGATCGGCTGCTCTCGAGGCTGGCTTGCTGGCATGTCCCAGCGGAAGCAGCTGTCCTGCGTGACGGGACCATGTCAGTCCGTCTACTGCCACCTGATAGGACACTGGTCCTGTTCGGCCAATTACATGGCCCTCCTTCCATTTTGGTCCGCCTGCATAGTTGCGTACCAGCACCTTGTCTCCAGACTGGTATTCTGGAAATCTTTTGCTGCCGTTTTCCATCTGTTTCGCCTGTGCATTTAGCACCTTGTCGGCGGGCCTTGGCTTCAGCAGGTCGAGTTTGGTACGCATCACTCTCCCCATCATAGCTTCTGCCGGGGCGACTCCAGTGGTGCTGTGCTGGGTGTTTCGGTACATCATCAGGAACGATGACAGCTGTAGTTCCAGCGGACGGTCATCTCCGCTCAGAAGACATGCTTTGAGCTTCTGCTTGACTGTTTGCACCATTCTTTCAGCCAGTCCGTTAGACTGAGGTCGATATGGTGCGATTCGGATATGTTTTATCCCCAGCTTTGTCATAAACTCTTCAAACTCTCTCGAGGTCAGCTGCGCTCCGTTATCCGTCACAACTTGCACCGGAATTCCCCACCTTGCAAATATCTTGGAGAGCTCACTGATTGTTGCTTCTGCTGTGACTGTCTTCATGGTGACTATCTCTGGCCACTTGGTATGACTGTCTACTACGACTAGGTAATGTTGACCTCTGAAAGGTCCTGCGTAATCCAGATGGATCCGCTCCCACGGGTTCTTCGTATGTTCCCACGGATGTAGAAACACCGCTGGTCTCTCGTTTTGTCCAGCTTGACATCCTGCACAGCCTCTTACAGCTTCTGTCACATCTTCATCGATCTTTGGCCACCAAACATAACTTCGTGCCAACATCTTCATCTTGCTGATGCCTGGGTGGCTGCTATGAAGTTCACTGAGCACCTCGGCTCGCAGATTCTCCGGAACCACGACTCTGTTACCCCAGAGAATACAGCCACAGGTGAGCGACAGTTCACTCCTCTTTGCTTCAAACGGTTGCAGCTCGGATGGGATCCTTTCCGGCCAGCCGCTGAGGAGGTACTGTGCCACCTTTGATAGAACTCTGTCTCGACCAGTGGCCCTCTTGACGTGTTCACAGGTGAGTGGCGCCATCCTGTCCCACTGCTCCAGGAAGCACACTGAAGCTTCATCTGTGATCCTGTCAGTCTCCTCTGCTTCCGGAACTGGCAAACGAGACAAGAAGTCAGCCATGGGAATGTCTGCTGCTTTTCTGTACTCCACATCATAGGTATACTCTGCCAGAATCAACGCCCATCTTTGCATTCGGGCAGCTGCTAGAGCAGGGCCTGGCGTCTTTGGTCCCAGCATCGTTGTCAGTGGCTTGTTATCAGTCACTAATGAGAACTTTCTGCCCCACAGGTACTGGCGGAACCGTTTCACACCGAAGATAACGGCCAGCCCTTACCGTTCGACCTGGGCATAATTCTTCTCGGCTGTGGATAGGCTTCTGGAGGCAAATCTGACAGGCCTCTCGTTCCCGTCTCCGTCCACCTGCACGAGAACGGCTCCTAAGCCATACGGACTGGCGTCCGTGATCAAACGCACTGGCTTCCGTCCGTCATAATGTGCCAAGACGGGTGCTTGAGTGAGCCTCTTCTTCAGCTCGTTGAAGCTGGCTTCTTCAGTCGCCGTCCATTTCCACTTCTGGCCCTTCTTCAGCAGTCTGTGCAACGGCGCTGCCACTTTCGACATGGCAGCCACAAATCTGGCGTAGAAGGTCACAGCTCCCAGGAAGCTTCTCAACTCGCCCGTGTTCCGAGGTCTGGGAGCGTCCAACACCGGGGTCACCTTCTCCTTCACTGGTTTCACGCCGTCACCGCTGAGTTCCACTCCAAGATACCGAATCGACTTCATCATGAACTCGCACTTTTTTCTTTTTAGGACGAGCTTCCACTTCTTCAGTCGCTTTAGCGTTTCACTTAACCGCTCTAATATTTCAGCCTCTGTTGGTCCCGCTACAAGGACGTCATCTTGGAAGCATGTCACTCCTGGAAGGCCTTCAAGCACCTTCTCCATCGTGCTTTGGAATATAGCTGGAGAGGCTGCTATCCCGTATGGTAACCGCTTCATCTTCAGCAGTCCCCTCGGAGTGTTCAGCACCGTCATCTTCTGGCTCTCTTCGTCCAGCGTCATCTGCAAATACGCTGTGCTGAGGTCCAACTTGCAGAAGAACTTCATATCTGGCAGCTTTGCCAGAATGTCTTCTAAGGTTGGCATTGGATGTTTCGGAACCTCAAGCTGAGGGTTCACAGTGCACTTGTAGTCACCGCAAATCCTGATGCCTCCTCCGGGCTTCGGAACCACCACCAGTGGCGTTCCCCAGTCAGAATATTCGATCTTCTCAGCAATTCCACTGTCTTCCCATTTCTTCAGCTCGCTCTCAACTTGGTCTTGCAGGGCATATGGGACCGTTCTGACTCGCTTGAAAACGGGCTCTGCCGTTTCCTTTAGCCTCAAATGGGCCTTTACGTCAGCCAGTTGTCCTAACTTGTCTTCAAACACATCCTTGTTCTCCTTCAGAATCGCTTCGAGTGATAGGCGCTGGCTGCCGTTCTCCGCTACTTGATTGACGTGTTTCCCGGTGGATATCAGTCCGAGCAGCTCCGCCGTTACTCCACTCAGAAGCGAAACTTGGCCGTGGGCCGCGATCAGCCAGCAGCTCTGGACCTCTCTGCCGTTCACCGCCGTTGTCGCCAAGAACTGACCATCCAGCTTCAGAGGGATCTTCGAGCCATACGGCAGCAGACGCCGGTTAGTCTTCACTGTCTTGAAACCGACCAGTGTTTTGAAGTCTTTTCTTGTTATAATATCTGCTGAGGCTCCTGTGTCAACCAAAACCCTCACAGTCTGACCGTTTAGCTGCACTGAGGTCAGTGTGCCACGTCCTTCAGCGCTGCTGCTCTCGGACGTGAACGCAAAGTCGTCGAAATCACTCACTGTCCGATCTGCTTCGACTTCATCTCTTGTGGCATTCACTCGCCGCTTGTAGCTCGGTCCATCATCTTGGCGGCTTTTGCACATCTTGGCAAAATGGTTCTTGCCTCCGCACTTGTTGCACGTTTTCCCTCTGGTGACTAAACAGTCACTCGCTTTGTGCGAACTCCTTCCGCATCGGTAGCATGGGCCTCGACTCTGTCCGCCTTTTCTGTCGCCGTGTTGGAACGGACTTTTCTGGCCTCTTTCACCGACGACTCGGTAGGCCGACTCTCCTTCTTTCTTCGGCTCCTGCTCCGGACTTGGATTGACTTCTTTTGTCAGATTCATCTCTTGAAGTTTCTTTGCCTGTACTCGGACCTGCAGAAACGACTCCCACATTTTGATTGCATCTTCTGCCGTCAGGTGCTGTGCCTCAAGCATTCTGACTTGCAGCGAAGAGTGCGGACACCGTGAGATTATCATATCACGAATGAGCTCAGTTTTCTGCTCCCGAGTAAAGTCACACTTCTCTGCCTGTTTCTTCAAGCGCCCCACAAAATCTCTAATATTTTCATCTCGGTCCATCATAGTCATGTTGTGGAATATGTTCCTTTCGTACAGAGTTCGGACCTGGGGTTTAAGAATACGTCTCAGCTTTGCTTTGGTGCGTTCATAGTCATTTGGCAGTGCTGAATCGGATTCAATTTCAGCCATATCCTTTAGTTTCTGTTGGATGTCAGTGCCCAGTAAATGAAGCAGCAGTGCTCTCTTCCGAGTCACTTCTTCTATGCCTAAAGCACACAGGTACACTCACTGGCGGATCCAGACTTGCGTTTTGGGGGGGCCAACTCGTGCAAGGAGCCAAACCTAGGGTACCCCCAAATCCTGTTTTGTCATCGGATTTAGGCCACTTATTTTTCGTCACAGCCCTGAAACGATAATTTTTTTTTTAAACTAAAAAAAAAGAGAGAGAGAGAGAAATGGTAGCCCACTCAACCCGTGCCTTAATATCACTTTGAAAACACTTCAAATTGCTTTTGTCGACCACCGCTCCGGGTCGGTGCTTGGCGCAGCCTTCGCGGGCTGGGAGGTGTCGGTTGAACCTCTCTGCCGTTCGGCCCCTGATCAAGCTAGAGCTCGCGGAAAAAACGAGTGTGTTGCCTGTCAGTGACGAGAGGAAGCCGATGATACCCGATTTTAAGGTCCTTGGTCATTGGTTGACCTTCCAGGGCGGTGTTTCACGGTCGCGCTGCCAGCCGCTGCCAGCGCATTCCGCGAGCTAAGGTCAACCTTCGGTAGTGTTGTAGGTATAGGCTAGTTGATGTCTCCATGGAAACCAAAAGTGCCAACAGCGCTGGCAGCGTGCCGTGAAACACCGCCCAGGTCAGGTCACAGACCCAAAAGACGGGAAAATCAGGGCCTGTCAGAACCTCCTAAAGTAAGGCTGTAATAGATTTTTTTTGTGCTGATCACGAATTTCATGTTAGTTTGGATCATAGATGATGTCTTCATGCCTTTAGGCCATGTCGGGGCAGGCCAGGTCAGGTCAACCAGGTCAACCAGTACTTATGGGCGTCCGTGTAGCAGGTGTCCGACTACCACTGGCAGCTACGTAACATGATACGAAGGCATCAAAACTACTTCGTAAATGTTCAAATGGTTGCTAAATGCTAAATTCAAAATCAGCTAAACGAAACTATCCTAGAAACATGTTAAACTCGGAAAAGTGCACCGAGGTCATCAAAGGTCAATGACCTGACTTGACCCTAAGGTGACATTGACACCTACCACAATGGTTGGGACCAACAAACGGTCTGATATTTCAGGTCATGGTTTGCAAACGGCCGGTGTTTTCAGGCTGTTTCATATGCCCTGACTGGGCCAGGCCGTTTGCAAACGGACAATTTTCATACGGCCTGTAACATATATTCATATTTCACCATCTGTCGCAGCATCAAATGCTGATGTGGTGCACTAAAAAGCAGGAATTGGTCCTTGGATGCCGTAAGGACCCTTTTAAGAATTAAGTGACCCGACTGACCCCTTAGAGATTGGCCTGAGCTCTGACCGAAATAAGTCTTTTACCGTTTCACGGGAAGGGACAAAAAGGTCCCTGATATGCTTCTTGTACAATTACCAAACAAAACAAGCTTTTCAACGCCAACTCAGTGAGTGTTCCTAAAAAAGTTATTGCGCATATTCCGTGAATGAAAAATTGCCGGGTCATGTCAGGTCAGGCTGCCAGAGCAAGTTTGTTAACTTGACAGTTCAATCGATATGTATGGAATAAGACCTTCTCGGGTGACGACAAGACATGACGACACTTTATGAAGGAAGCTAGTAAACCCGGTGGTTTCTCCATAGGCACGGGAACCGGGGCAGTGGGGACAGCTTGCCCACCCCCCAACTATGGGGCCGTGGGGGCGGTGCCCCCACAACTTTCAGACGGAATACCCCATTTTTTGCAAATGTTTTCTTTTTTTGTTGAAAAAGCCAAGGGATGAAAAATAAGTGGCCTAAAACCACCGGTGAGAAAACTATATTTGGGGAGACCCTAGGTTGATCTCTATTATGGTGTGCCCCCCCCCCCAGTCTGAAAGTAGTTCCCGCACCCCTGAGTTTCTCTACGCTATTGAATCACGCCGGTGATTCTAACTTTTAGGTATCTACTACGCAACCTTCTCACATTAATTTTTCTTCAAGCGTTTTGGGAGGGGGGCCAAAAGATATGTTGGCCCCCTTTCAGGCTTTTGGGGGGCCATGGCCCCGGTGGCCCCCTCCCTGAATCCACCAGTGGGGGGGCGGTGCCACCACAACTTTCAGACGGAATACCGCCCTTTTTGCAAATGTTTTCTTTTTTTGTTGAAAAAGCCAAGAGATGAAAAATAAGTGGCCTAAAACCGGTGAGAAACTAGATTTGGGGGGACCCTAGGTTGATCTCTATTATGGTGTGCCCCCCCCCCCCCCAGTCTGAAAGTAGTTCCCGCACCCCTGACTTTCTCTACGCTATTGAATCACGCTGCTGATTCTAGTAGGTATCTACTACGCAACCATCTCACATTAATTTTTCTTCAAGCGTTTTGGGGGGGGCCAAAAGATATGTTGGCCCCCCCTTTCAGGCTTTTGGGGGGGGCCATGGCCCCGGTGGCCCCCCCCCCCTGGATCCGCCAGTGGGTACACTTCAAATCCATCTAGCCATATATCGAAGTCTTCACCTTCATGGAACTTCTCTGGAGTGCTGAGACTGAGCGCCATATTTACTTGCTGTGGCCTGTTCCGGGTCCACAGTGATATCCACAATCATATGCAACAGTCGCGACTCAGTTCACCGTTCAGCCTCACTCCAACTCAATCAAACGTCTGTTAAGTTACTTTGCACCAATCTTCTCTCAAATAAAAATTATCGTGATAACACTCGATATCTGACGTTACGTTACACTACTTAATTAATATCTCATCCTTGTCGCCATTATGTTGTAACTTAGAGTTCGTTTAGTTTAATTCCTGTATTCGAGTGCCTTACATATTCAAGACCAAATTATAACACACCGTTCAGTTTGTGCCGAGAGAACGTTCAAATTTTCTCCGATAAAATATCGCGTTCTCGGCACGTACAGTTAAAACACGGATACCTCTTATGAGGTTAGTGACCTCTGACATAAAAGGTCAGTGACCAACACAACAGTACCCATTTTTGGGTCAATTTTCCAAATTTTAGGTGGGGGTGGATTTTCCCATTTTTTGGTCTATTCTGATTCCATCTGGGCCAAAAATAGCGAAATCAAACGATTTCTAGGGGTCGCGAATTCAAAATGAAAATGCCAATTTTAGCGAAAAATTGACCAAAATTATGTTATTTTATTTTGGAACAAGGTTGCAATGCGAACAGGTTGGAGTCAATTTTCCCATTATTTGGTCTATTCTGATTCCATCTGTGCCAAAAATAACGAAACCAAACGATTTCTAGGGGTCGCGAATTCAAAATGAAAATGTTAATATTAGCGGAAAATCGACCAAATTAGCAATATTTTATGTTGGAACAAGGTTACCATGTCCACAGTTTGGGGTTGATGTTATCATTTTTTTTTGCTCCGTTCTGGATCTAACAGTGACAGAAATAACGATATCAGACTACTTTTAGGGGTCGCGAGCTTGCATTGGAAGTTTTGATTTTACTTGGAAAAATGACTTCATTTTAACGACTATAAATATGCAAAGCCAATGTGTTGCAGTGGTATTGATGACTGTTGGACACCGTGCAACACTACTTCAGTTGTATATTTGACGTGCAGCGGTAAAAGAGCACCAAATATATCTACAAAGACATAAAAACAGCATTAAGCTATGCCGGTATGCATGACCTTTTCCAATTCGCTAGACGACCTCCCTGAGTCCCGGAGTTGCAGACGGCAGAGGGAGGGGCGCAAGCTTTACACCACCGCGCCTTTGGGTGACCGCTGTGCTTGAGTGTAGCTTTGCCCCTCCCCCACAAACACCCACAACCACACACATAATGCGACTGTGCATATGGAAAAACAGCTGGAGGAGAACATCACAGGAGGAGAGGAACAATGAACTTCATCCTCACCCCATTAAGAAAGCAATATGTTTGCAATCTTGCTGATGACGGACAGCACTGGCCTGGCCGAAAGCGTGCACGACTGCTCGTGGCTCCAGTTCTGGGCATGTGCCACTACAAGCAGCTGTTGACATGAGACGGGTGCAGATATCATGCCATGGAACTAGTGCCTGGTGATGGCCGCTGCCAGCAGCATCCTTGCAAGATAAAGTAACGGATCTTACGCTGCACTCTACAGGCCCAGTCCAAACCCTCAGATGGTGCTGAACTGAACTCGAATGGCATTGCCTAAAGCTGGAAATTAGGAAGGTGCAAAATCTAAACGACTCAGCCAACTCCGAGGCAGAACCTTTTACTGATTCTTGGCATTGACTGGGGGCCGACACAGTGGGTGGGCCATGGACCTTAGGCGGCGGACCTGATTCTCCTCCTCTTCAGCCTTTGCATGCACACTCCTTTATATGATGCGTCTTGGTGCCACCATACGGCCCATGCAGGATGAAAATCTTCTGCTACATTAGGTTCTTCAGATTCAGACGCCAATTACCTGAGATCACAAGTGATTTGTGCCAGAAGCTGTGAAAGTTCTTCGTCACATACCTATCAACCGTGCACGTATTAGCGCATGGCTAGTCCCCCGTGTCGAATAATTAATATGAACTCGTAAATGATCGGATTGTATCGGAAACTCTTACATGAACGGTGTGTATCTGTCCCCACTGAAGAAATGAAATGGTACATGGTTGGTGGGCATGGATAGAGTCGACTCTTTGGAGTTTCTGTTTTTGGATCAGAAGTTGATCTTTTTTATAGAACACCCATAGGTAGTTCGAAAAAAAAGGTATTTATCCTACCCTGTCTATAGGTGTTTTACATCGTAGCCGTGAGTGAACAGGTCGGCGTTTCTTGTGGAAGTATACGGTCGAAATGGTTTGATCGTTTTTGAATTAAATGGTTTGAAATACATTCGGAGCCATATTGATCTGTCAGATGTATCCTGAGCACAAACTTTAATTGTATGGACACAAAGAGCCTGTCATGAACTGAGATATGGCAACTGAAACTTCACATTTTAGTTTGACCTCAAAGGTCATCAAAGGTCACTAATGCAACACAAAAAGAAAATATCAAAAATGATTGCACGCTGACCAGATTCAGAATGATACCAGCAACAGGAGCAAAACATTCTGGCGCTTTTCACCAAATGTTACAATATCGACATTGTAATGATCGCTAGTAAAGCATTTAACCGTAACCACGTGATGGAACACATCGATCTGGATGAAAAAGGAGCGTTCAATGACCCCTCTACCCGACTCTCGAAACAAAAAGTTTGCCTTCGTTGCGACTTACTATCAGCGTAAAATAAGCATATTTCTAGGTAAATACGCAAATTTCAATCTCAATTCGCGACCTCTAAACCACCTTTGATTTCAAAATTTTTGGCACCATTGGAATCAGGAGCCGCGAAATAATGGGAAAAACCACCCCCACCCACAAATTTCCAAAATCGGGAAAAATGGGTACCCCTAATACGCATAAAAGGTATCACAAAACCTTTTTATGGATGCAATTATTGAGGCGTCCGGCCCTGCAGCTAGGATGTCGCATCTGGTGACCTGGCTGCCTGCCAAGCACGGTCAGAGCAGTGGACCCTCCAGGGCGCAGGTTCAGGGCGGCTGGGGGCAGCCGTCCGGCAGCAGGTCAGCCCAGTACGTCCAGGTGTAGTTCCAGAGCTTCGGGTCGGCCCGCGGGTCAGCCGGCACCTTCCGAGAGGGCACCATGGAGGCTCGCAGCTGGTCGAGCCGCTCCTCGAGCTGGCGCCGCAGCAGGGGCTGGGTGTCGGAGAGGTCTGTCGTCTCGCACGGGTCGGCGACCACGTCAAACACGCAGCCGTCGGCGCAGTGGGCTGCGGTCGGCCGCTCCGTGTCACACTCCACCGCCAGCTGCCGGCGCAGGGAATCGGCCGTCTCCCGGTCGACGGGACGGCCGAGCTGACTCACCGCCTGCCCGGCGGGGCTCTCAGATAGCAGCGCGAACATATCGAGACCGGAGCTGTTCCGAGCGCCGGCCGAGTACCAGCCGTTGTACGGGAACGGCTCCCCCTGCACCAGTTTGTACCTGGCGTCCACCATCAGGGCCGAGTAGTTGTTGCTGGGGTCGATGTTGTGTAAGATGGTCCTGTCCGTGTCCTGGTCGGGCGCGGCGCCGGTGAGCACGGGCCACTGGCTGACGCCGTCCAGGGCGGGGAGGCGGTCCGGTGCCCCTCCTGCAGCCTCCAGTAGTGTCGGCAGCCAGTCGGTGATGTGAACGGTGCGCTGTACGGGGCGGCTCCAGCGCGGCAGTCGGGGGCTCCAGACCAGCGCCGAGCCGCGCACACCTCCCTCCCAGAGCGTGTACTTGCCGCCGCGCAGGGGCCAGTTGGAGGCGGCGTTACCGTCTACCCCGTCCACCGCGCCGCCGTTATCAGTAGTCACAACAATCAGCGAGTTAGAGAGGAGGTCGGCCCGGGCCAGCGCGGCCACCACCCGGCCCACCGCGGCGTCCAGTGCCGCCGTCACGGCCGCAAACGCCCGCCGCTGGGGGTCTGTGATCCAGGGGAACTGGTCGGCGCCGATCGCCGGGCCGGGCTGCAGCGGCGCGTACGAGTTCCCGGCGTGTACCGCCTGGTGGGCGAGATACAGGAACAGCGGCCGGGAGGCATTATGGGCGCTGATCAGCCGCTCAGCCTCCTCTGTGAAGATGTCGGTCGAGTAGCGGCCCAGCTGGTCGCCGACCGGCTCCAGGTCACGGTGCAGGTCCAGCCCCCAGTACTCCCCCTCCTTGGCAGTGTGATCATAGTAGTCTCCATGGCCGGCCCAGAAGCCCAGGTGGGATTTGAAGCCGCGCTGGGACGGCGTGTACGCCCGCCTGTAGAAGCCCAGGTGCCACTTTCCCACGGCGTGGCAGCTGTATCCGAGCGGCTCCAGCAGCTGCGGCAGTAGCGTCTCGTTCAGTCCGAGCCCGTACGGCTCGGCGGCGTAGATGACGTCCGTCTGGAGGCCGGTGTGCGTCGGCAGGCGGCCCGTCAGCAGCGCTGCTCGGGACGGGGTGCACAGCGCGTGCACGTAGTATCGGCCCAGCGCGGCGCCGCTGAACGCCAGCGCATCCAGGTTCGGTGTGGGGATCTGGTCAGAGCCCCGCAGACTGGTGTCGTCAAAGCCCAGGTCGTCGGCCACGATCAGGATGATGTGTGGCGGCTGCGCGGCACTGGCGACGGTCAGTAGAGCGGCCAAAAGCACGGCGGCCAGAGCCATGTCTGCGGGACGGGGCCGCGCGGCACGGAGCCGCCACTGTCACTGACGCCGTCGGCGGTCGGGAACGGAGCATCTGCGGCCGCAGAGGCGCCTTCAGGGACCAGTGATGGAGGCACTTTGCAACATACGCAGTTCTGAACGAACGAGGGTCCAGAATAAACCAAGAGTCGCTGCTACTTTATCAGTCAATTCATTCGTTTAAATTTTCGCCAATAGGCAATGCCCATACCCAGAACTCAAAAGTATTTCACCGGTAATTACGTTAACTGATGCACTGATGCTCACCATTAGGCGGAAATAATCTTGTCGTTTCTTATCAAGTCTTTTACTTTCTAGTCTTGGTATTTAGAAGGTTCCTTCTTTTGAAATACTTGTTTTACTAGTGTGACGTTATGGGCGCAAAATGACCTTTGCAGTCGGCGCGCCCTAAAGCCCCAATAAGCAAACAAAACCCTTCGGCTACGGACGCTGTGTGCCAGCTCCCTCGGCGCCCTCCGCACGACACACCGGCGTGCTGATTTGTTTTTGCGTGATGTTCGGTCAGTCGCCCGAGACTGGACCCAGCAATACAAGGCAGGGTGTGACACATACACCGACTACACAGTGTTTATTTATTTCACTTCGAAAAGCACATTTGCTGCTATGGCTGCTTGTCACTCTGCAGTAACACAGGCTGAGACAGATCTGTGGATCAATGAGAATATGGAGACATAAGTGTATTTGGTAATATCATGTTCACGTCACAACATTCATTGTTGTGTCATTTACGTATCAGGGTGTGTATCTGTAAGGAAAAGGTAGAGTTATGCATTATGGAAAATAGACATGCTTGCCAAAAAGCTATAAGACGCAGTCAATGCGCGAACAACAAATGTAACGAAAACCACGAAACCCAATGGATGTAAACCCCCTGGTGTGCGGGCAGCGTCTCTGCACCAGCGTCTGCTGGAGAAGGAGCGCTCCGAGGCCGAACTGCAGTGCCGCCTGGACCAGGGCCGCTCTGAGCTGGAGGCCGTCCGTGCCCGGCTGTACTCCGCCGAGACGGAGGCGGGGGCCGCGCGCCGCCAGAGGGACGCCCTGCGGGCCGAGCAGGGCCGCAGGATGAGGTGAGTGAGGACAGGATACTGCCGCACTGACGGACGGCGCTCTGGAACGGGTGCAGTCAGCTGCGAGAGGTCCTGCTAGTGTGGAAGAAGGTGGTCTGTGGCTCTCAGCTATCATGATTGATTTTATTTACATTTCGGAAATTTGTGAAGCCGGGCGTGTGCTGTTGGACCTGTAACTGACTGTTTAACCCTGTGTGTTATTCGCTCGCAGCTGCGTCCGTCTGGCCGTGCAGGAGCTTCGCGGCTGTACTGACTGTTTAACTCCGGTGTATTATGTAGGCTGTAACTGACAGTTTCTGTTCCGCCCGCAGCTGCGTTCGTCTGGCGGTTCAGGAGCTGCGCGGCTGTACTGACTGTTTAACTCCGCTGTATTGTGTAGGCTGTAGCTGACGGTTTCTGGTCCGCCCGCAGCTGCGTCCGTCTGGCGGTTCAGGAGCTGCGCGGCTGCCTGAGTCTCCCTCAGAGGGCCCTCCAGGAGCGGCTCTCGGAGACCCTTGCCGACTTGCTGAGTCGCCGGCGCGCGATGCAGCTCCAGCTGTCCGCCGCACAGGTCAGAGGACGGGGAGGGCACCGCGGGCACACTGGGATACCGTACAACGCACAGTACGCGGCCAGCAGAGAGCGGCGGCGCTGTCAGTGTCTGGACTGCTTCCTAGTGTTAGGTACTGAGTCGGTAACCAATACATTTACTGTAGCCGTATCAGGTTTATAGGTAGATTCAGGGAAGTGTCGAAATAGGCTGTTTGGGTGCTTCTAGTCAGAGCTCAGCCGGCCTGCTCGCAGTGTATGTCTGCTTACTGTACGCGTTTCTCCATCACAGGAGGCTCGGGACGCGGCTGAGGGCGAGCGTCAGGGCTGTAAGGCGCAGCGGGAGCTGCTGGACAGTGCCCTGCAGCAGCTGAAGAGCGGCGCCCCGCAGCTGCAGGAGTGGCTGACACGCTGCCAGGCCGCCGAACTGGAGGTGAGAAAACCGCGCGGTAGTCTCCGTAATTCATAGGGCCCGGTGTGTTGCGTAGTTTCTGGCAGATGAGCATGTGAAGATGGGAAGTGGGCCTGTTGTGCATCGCCGTCCCATACTTATAACATTACGTTAATTGCACACCATACGCACATGTGTCGTAAAACACCGTACCCCCATGTGTCGAAGAACTGCTGTAGCGCTGGACGACTGGTCGACAGGTGCTCGCCGTGTCTTTCCCCCGACTCTGATTCCCCCTCGCTTCCCAGCTGGCCACGCTGCGGCCGCGCTGCGAGCGTCTGTCGGCAGAGTGCGCCCTGGTCCGCACTCAGCTGGACGATCAGGAGCGGCGCGCGGCAGACGCCGAGAGCACCGTCTGTCGGCTAACCAACCGGCTGGAGCTGCGACAGCTGGAGATACAGGTCAGCCTGCCGAGAGCCAGATTTGGGTAGGAGGCTAGAGATTTGCTGTGCAGCTTAGTGCTGTGTGCCTTGTCTTATAAAGATAACATATTCCAGCTAATGTTCTAATATTTTTCATATTTTTTTTAGCACGGTGGGAAAGGTCCATGAAATAACCCACAAGCACTGCTGTCCAATGCTGTTGCACAGACGGTAGTTGGTGCCAGTCAAATCCCGGGGAGTGTTGACGGTCGGATGCCGGTGTTCCAGCTCGGCTTGGTCGCTGACGGGGACACCGCCGCCGACTCTGCACCACTCCCTGCCACGGAGACGGCCGGTGACTCCGGCCCGGCGCGGCCCGCCCCCCGGACGGGTCCGCAGTCCAGCCGGCTGCCCGTGCGCCGCCCGCCACCGGTCGCTGTCCGGAAATCCGCCGGGGACGGAGCAGTGAACAGCACGGCCCCGCGGGAGGCACGAGGGGATCGGCCGACTGAGGATAATCAGCTCACGGTACGATGTTGCTTACGCTGATCATGATATAAACATCTGACATCGTCACTCAGCGGTCTTACGCCGCTGGTAGCCAGTCGTTGTCGGCCTAATGTAAAAAAGTTTGGGAACTTCCTTATTCTGTTTCATTGAAACAGGACGCTGATTACCGTGTTTCTCGATTGTCTATGCAATAAAATGCAGTGATTGTTATGTCGCCCAATAGTTTTTTTTTAGAGCTGCTGCTGGTGGACTGCTTATGTCGCCGCCTGGCACCAGTGTCCTGATCTCTTTGACCTCTCCTCTCCAGTTGGCCTGTAATCTTACCTGACCCCTCCCCGTTTCCCTCAGTCGGCCTGTGAGCAGCACGCCGAGGCTCTGCGCGGCGTCCTGGCGTGGCTGGCCGGCCGGCGGGACGTCTGTGAGCTGCAGAGCCGGCTGTCGGACGCGCTGCAGTCAGCCGCCACCGCCGCCGCTCTGCTGCTAGTGTCTGCAGACACTCTGAGGATGGTGTGCGGACTGCCGGCACCCGGGCGGCCGCCCTCCCCGGCGGGAACGTACTCCATACCGTCCCCGCCAGCGGTCGGTGAGTAGCGGTGAGACGGGTGAGAGCGATGAGACGAATGGGAGCAGTGAGAGGCAGCCCCGCCGGCCGCCAGGGTCACCCACCGCTGCACGCAGGGGATGCGGACTCGCTGGGTATTACCTGTTAAACTCCCTTTTGTCGGGGTGATATTGCATCGATAATACTCGAGCTTGTTGATGAGCCCTAAACGTCTCGATCTGACTGTTGCGCGCCCCTTTCAGACGAGCTCCCGCCCGCGGCCGGCGAGGTCCCGTCCCCGTCAGACGAGATCCCGCCGTCCGGCGCCGCTGACGGTGATCGCGCGGCGCTCCCCTCGGCGGCCGGCTCTCTGCGCCGACTGCGCCTAGCCGAGGCGTCTGTCGCCTCGCTGCAGCAGCGGCTGAGACAGAAGGAGCAGAGCTGCGACCAGTTCCGGCGGCTGCTGGACGAGACGCGTCAGCAGGCGGCCCGCCAGGCGGAGCAGCACAGCCAGCAGCTGGAGCGGAGCGGGCAGCAGCTGCGGCAGCAGCTGGCCCTGGTCGCCAGGTGAGAGAGAATGACCAGTTTCAGAGTTTTGGAGGTGGGAGTAAACGCCCCCACTCCGTCAAAGGCGTTCGACTGAAAGTTTATTCAACCGCGAGTTAAAGTCATGACATGGATGAGGTGAAATGCGTTTTCAGCCTGACTACAATGATGTGCTTGCGCCGTTGGTTGTGCTGTTCCAGTCACTGTATGGTGAATGAAGCAGACTTTCTCTCTGAAGTGTGTTTATAGGGTCCCAATATTTGTCGCTTGACCCGGTTGATGACCTTTTCTCCCTGTGTCCGCTCCCACAGTCTGGAGGCGGAGCGCAGCACGCAGCGTCCGCTGTCTGACAGCGGCGGCGCCGAGCCGTCGCGGACTGGTGGTGACCGTGCCCCTCTGTTTTCGTCCACAGTCTAGAGGCGGAGCGGAGCGCGCAGCGTCCTCTCTCTGACAGCGGCGGCGCCGAGCCCGCCCAGCTGAGCCGACTGAACGAGTCGGCAGAGCTGGTGGCGGAGCAAGAGCGGGCCATCGGGGCTCTGATGGAGCGGCTGCGACAGAGCCGGCAGCAGGAGGCCGCCTGCCGGGAGCGCGTCGCCAGGTGGGTCACTGCGGGCAGTGAGTGGTCGGCACCACGCACCTGACCTTACATCACTGTCTTCATGTCCGCCTCCTCATTCTGCGTCTAGCTGTCTTTTCTGCTTCCTCCTTTCTCAATTTGCTCGTTTGTCGGTGTCCATGCGCGACAGGCTGTAGGCAGCGAGGGTGGTCTGTACCTGATGTATTTCCCTATGCGGCAGGCTGGAGTCGGAGCGCCGGGAGACGGCCCAGCTCCTGCAGCGAACCGTCTCCTCCCTGAGCGAGGAGCGATCCCAGCTGCGAGCTCAGCTGGAGCAGCAGAGGCAGCAGGCGGCTCAGGCGGCCGAGGCGCGACAGCGCGCCCAGGCCAAACTCGTCAGCCGGCTGAGGGAGATCCTCCTGCTCAAGGAGCAGCAGCACCACGCGCTGGCCAGGGTGCTGAAGGACGTCAAGGTACGTGACTTATCCAAACATTCGCCTGAACTCAAGATACAGGAAAAAGTAGCATTGGTGCAATAATGCAGCCAGGGTAATGCAAGTATATCATATCACTGTGCGTAGGGCTGTAATGTATATTCTGTCGATGCCTACGACATATCCATGTCAGTGACTGTATGTAATTGTGTCCATGTGTCAAGTGTGCGGCTGTGTGATATTTTTCCGTACGTCCTCTGCTAGGCCGAGCTGGTGCAGATCGTGGAGGAGGCGGCCGGCCTGTGATGTGTGGTTGTAAGTCAGTGTGACTGTCTATGTCCGCCGCAGGCCGAGCTGGTTCAGACCGTGGAGGAGGCGGCCGGTCTGTGATGTGTGATGTTATGTCATTGTGTTACGGTATGGTGTGATACTCCGTGTGTCCTCTGCAGGCCGAACTCGTGCAGACGGTGGAGGAGGCGGCCGGTCTGGACCAGCAGCAGCTGAAGGGTGGCCCGCCGACGGCTGGCTCCAGCGGCCGTGCCGACACTGACGGAGGTCTGCCCGCCCTCCTGGCCAGCGCGCAGCAGCAGCTCGACGACACCAAGAGTGAGTCGCGGCCGGGAGCGTGGAACCGACGGATCAGCGCCAGCCTGGTCCATTAAATGTGGTAGATAACGATATATAGCGCCAAATGATGCCCAAGCGTATCATCTCATCTTTATAAGCTCATTTATAATTCACATACGCGGCATTAACGGGTATAAATGGTAATGAATAAATAGGTATGTGTGTCATCATTATATCATGCAAATTAACCTCGGATGAGCCCAGACGAGAGTCCAATTTAGAGCCGTTGGGCGTTGAATGTAATCGAAATTGCTTATGATTGTGTTTCTTGTCGCTGGTCATAGCCTAACCCTTGTCTATCGTTTTGTGCTTTAGTTATTTAGCTCACCACCTCTGTGCACAGGTGAGCTGAACGAGCGCACGCTGCGCTGTCACAAGCTGCAGGCGGAGCTGCATGAGGCCGACCGCCGGCGCCGCGACGAGTGCGGCCGGCTGCAGCGGCAGCTGGAGACGCTGAAGGCACGGCTCGAACAGCCGGCGCGGTCGGCGCGTGCACCCGGAGACCCCGCCAAGGTAACCACAGGGGATGGGCAGGGTAGGGGTGGTAATTCCTAAAGCAAAGCCGTAAGAATTACCACGCTTCGCGAAATGTAAAGCGAAGAAGTTTGGTAGACAAAGGCACACCTACTATGGACGTCAAACCCCTTGAGACCTCACTTTTTTGCGATAATTTTTAAATGCGTCAACTTTCGTTGACAATATTCTGGCAATGTATGTTTCAGAACCTGCCGAAACTTTTATTACTAAGGTATTTTGACGCCAAACAATTATGGAAGGTACTTCTCATTCACTCGTAATGTTAAGGTCAATTCAGGCCCGGGCAGAGGCTTGCGCTCGGCCACACTCGAGCCCCGCCACCAGCGCCATCTGCTCTTAATGCCATCTACCAGCGCCCGCTACCGCTACCAGCTACCGCCCACCATCAAGCCTGAATGGAGCGCGAGACGCGAGTGACCGGTCGCCGGGCAAGGAGCGCCGGAGGGGTAGGGCGGAGCTTAGCGCTGACGTCATTACGTGGCTCCGCCCCATGAGCGCGTAGCCTCTACCCAAACAGCGGATTCGTTCCGTGAAATTTAACATTACGAGTGAATGAGAAGTACCTTTAATAATCGTTTGGCGTCAAAATACCTTAGTAATAAAAGTTTCGGCAGGTTCTGAAACACACATTGCCAGAATATCGTCAACGAGAGTTGACGCATTTAAAAATTATCGCAAAAAGTGGGGTCTCAAGGGGTTTGACGTCCATAGTAGTCCGTGCGGCTTAGCTATGGTCAATATTGCGCTCCGGGTGACTGACTGGCTGCTCTCCACAGATCCAGGAGGAGCTGGCAAAGTGGGACGAGCGGAAGAAGTGGCAGCGCTGCACGGAGCGACTTAAGGCTCGGCTCCGGGAAAAGGAGGCGGAGAGTGAGCGACACCAGCTGGCGGCGGCCGGACTGAAGGACACCATCCACCGGCTGGAGCGGGAGCGGGCCGTCTACGAGACCAAGATCCGCACACTGACTGGTGAGAGAGATGTGGTGACCGCACCGCCCTCCGCGTCTGTGTTCCTGCTGGGTGTGTCATGGTGGGGTTAGATATGATCTTCTGACAGAACAACTGAATTACTTTAGTCTTACCCGCTTTGTCATTTCACTGGAATCACACCCAACGATTGCATTCCAAGACTGGCCTTGAACTTCATGGCTACCTTAGTTCATGCGGTAATGCTTTTCTCCCTTTTAACCGTCCAGTTACCAGCTGTTTGTTCAGTCAGTACAGCAGTGACCACTTATGGATGCGGGCGTGGCCGGTCTCCGTGGTACACTGACCCGTGGTTCGTTGACCCGTCCTCGCGGTCCGTTTACCATACCAGGTTATCCGCTGACCGCACTCTGTCCCCCCGCCAGCCCTTGTGTCTGAGGAGCGTTACGTGGCGCTGGAGCGCGACAACCAGCAGCTGAAGGAGCAGCTGGCGCAGCTGCGCGGCTCGGAGCGCGCGGACGCCGGAGCCGAACTGGAGCAGCTGAGACAGCGGGTGAACATGCTGAACGGTCGGCTGGCCGCCCAGCGCGCCGCCGCCAGACAGGGAAAGGTACGGCACTGCCCAGCGCTCCTGGAGCACACCGGACGGAAACTAGAACATCAATGATGGAGGACGGCATGCGGACGGGGTATTGCGACTCAGATGCCGCTCAGGATACAGGAGCGGAATGATATCTGGATGCATGGGATACTGGAGGATAAGTCTGTTCTGCATATTCTGACAATGCTCCACGTGGTCTTACAGTGACCTTTCTTTACCCGTCTGTTCGCCAGAACGCAGCCGCCAACCTGGCGAGGTTCCAGAAGCAGCTGGCTGAGCTCACGGCCAGAAACGAGGAGCTGGAGCGGGAAAACGGAGAACTGAAGACTGAGCTGGCCGAGCTGCGGTCAGTGGACGATGGAACTGGGGAGAGGTGGGCCGGGATGGGGAAGCCAAGTGCTTGGGGAGGAATATTGGTTAGGAAGCTGGTTAGGGAGAAAGCTCAGGCACGCCACTGTTCGTTAATGGTGTAAAATTCGGCTTCGTTGTAAGATTCTGTCCCAATCCGTTTCAACATCGCATCCGTCTGTTTCCATTTTCCGCCTCTCGTATGCTCAGTTAACGGCATGTAACTCCACTAAGCCCGTGAGCCTGACGTTTGAGTTTGAGCCGCCGTTTGACCCAGTGTGTTGTCCTGTGGCAGGCGTGCGGCTGAAGAGAGCAATGCCCCGCCCGCGGACGGCGGAGGCGGAGGCAGCGACCGGCCGGCGGAGCGGGAGAGTGCGGGGCCCGCGACGGACGCCGGTACCGTCTCCATCCTACGGCGACTGGTGGAGCGGCTGAGGGCGGACAACCTGCGACTGCGGCGCCAGCTGCTGAGGCACACCGTCACCAGCACCACCGAGGAACAGGTGGGGAACTGACACTGGACTGTCACCAGCACCACCGAGGAACAGGTGGGGAACTGACAGGGCTGTCATTAGCACCACTGAGGAACAGGTGGGGAACTGACACAGGACCGTCACTAGCACCACTGAGGAACAGGTGGGGAACGGGGGCAGGAGAGAGAGGAACGGGTGGTGAACGAGTACAGAATGCAGAAGAACGTATGATGAACGGGGACAGGTGCACCTCTGAGTGTAGAATACGGACTGAGAGGAGACTTGTGTTATATCACCGAGGGGCAGTTGAAGGATAAGCACAGTGAGGATCAAGGATTGTTCTATCGTCGTGCTGACCCGACGGCCTCACTGACCCGTCCGCCCCTGTCCCCGGCAGGTGGAGCTGATGCGCTCGGAGCTGAACTGTGTGGTGGCAGAGCGGGACAGACTGGCGGCTCAGCTGCAGCGGCTCACCGCCTCCTGAGCCCCGCCGACCGGTACCTGCTGCTCTGCGGGAGCACCAGCGCGAACGGTGGGTCGGTGCTCACTGCGCTTACAGCGACCGGCAGCTTTCTAGTTGCCCTAACATGGAAAGTGTCATCTGGGAAAGTGTCATCTTCATAGCCGTCCTAAGAAGGGCAGTAGCCAGTGCCGTCCAGAGTATACGAACAACGTGCTTGCCTGTGTGCATCGATCATGGTTGTCTCTCTGGGGTTTTCAGCTGTTTCAGTTTGTTCCTCCGTCACTGTTTTCTTTATTTATGACGTAATTATTGATTTATGGAGCGTCAGACCATCAAGCGTAACTAAATATGTAGGAATTGGCGTAAATGTTTGCTAATGGAGTACAAATCTGAGCCAAAGCGCATGTAACGATAAATCGAGTATAGAGAATCTCAAGTGGATATGATACTGTAAAGCACGACGGCTGATGAGAGTACCATACGGTTCACGGTACTTGAAAGTACATCAACTTTCAATTTTGCATGACTTATTGAAATTTCGTTTTCCATCAAGCCTTTTCATCCCATCACATTCTTTTTCAAACGAGTGTCATTATGAACACAGAACGGAATGCATGCTTAGGTCGCCTTTTGACCGGCGTGTAACATTTCTTGCGATGATCCAGTACAATGCTCTGCCGCCCGGTGGCAAAAAAGCGTATGACCAAAAAGCAAACTTTTCAGGAGAGCAGATTTAAAGTTCTTAGGAACTTTGGTACCTCACGTGAGCCCTGTTGGTCTCTCAAACCCGTAATTAGCACCATTTTGAAGCATTTTGATTGATCTTTGATATGGTAACATTAAAAAATATATGTATAATTTAGCCTGACAGCATAACAGCCCAACGTTTTTTGCCATCTGTGGGAGTGTATATCTTTGACGAAGTAGCTGCAGCCAGAAAGGCGCATCACCAATGTGCGGCAGCCAAAAAACCGTAAGTTGTGACTTACGGTTTTTTGCCAGATTTCCCACACGGACACGCAAGCTTACTGAGTACTGTACGCTTTTTCCCCCAATGAACTTCCTGAATGAATGAATGACTTATTACGTACGATGATTTAGATTTGTATTGTTACGTGTGTCCTAGCATCACCATTTTCGCTATAGATATTAACGTCAATGTTGTATTCCGCCCGATGCATTTAACGTAAGAACATACCTGTCAGTTTTATCTCAGCAGTACTTTAAAATGTTTCTCTCTCCCTTGTTATTTCATTTGCACAGATTACACTCATTTCTGCTAAAGATGTAACTTAAAAACGATTACTTCAGCCTCCAATGCATTGTATTGGTTTGATCAATGCTCACACCAAATGAAAAAATCGCATTCAGCAGCTAAAGGCAAACAACTGAATGTTGTCAAAGCGAGTGTGTACTCAGTCGATTCGTCGACTGAAAAAGACAGCCTCACTACACTCGGAAGAAATGAAAACTAGAATGACAAAAAAATGCATTCAACTTGTGGCCTTGTTCTCATGTCGCGTGAACACTGAAATCGTCGCTTTCAAAACCAGCAATAACAAAAACCTAATGCAAATGCACGCACGGTTTTACACCCAACCAATTGATCATGAGTGCAGACCTGAGGACATGACTCAGAACTTGCCACCTGCCACATCTTTACGTTGATCGGGGACGTTTAGCTGTAGCCGCCGTCTTTCTCGGGAGCTGCCTTTTCGGGGTGTCTGGGCCATTTCTCGCGGGGGCGCTGAGAGCGTTCCAGAACTGTCGCTTGTGGGCCTGCATATATGGTCCGAGCTCCCTGCGGATGGTGTCGATCTTCTCGCGCTGAGAGTCTCCTCCTTCAAGTTTCTCTGGTGCTTCATTTTCATCAAACGTAGTTTTCAGGACGTCATACGCATTCCAGTGTGCCTGGTCGAAGCTTTCTTTCAAGAACAGACGCCTGTCTCCCCGCCTGGTCTCCGCGACCTTCACGCTGGCGAGGTACGGCCGCTTGCCCTCTTTTGCCAGCAGGTTCAGCTTCTGTCGGCTGACTCCGTCCTGGAAGTCCTTAAGTGAGTTCCTGTCTAACTCGCAGTGTCGCATTCCAGAAGTGCCGACTGCTTCGACGAAGTCGCTGAAGTCTTCTGTTGTCTTTTGCTTCCTTAGGCTTTTGTTTATGACCTGGTGCGCTGAATCGGCGCTCATGCTTGTGTGGCCTGCTTCCAGGTACTTCATCGTCAGTTTTTCCAGGGCCGTGTTTTCATTGTTTACTGCTAGAACCATGGTTGTCAGCCACAGCCAGCACTTGTTTTGTCCACTGCAGTTGTCACAATATATCGTTATGCTTTTGAAATCTCTGTTGGTTTCAAGGAACTTCCAGTAGGCGTTGCTCACCTCCGCAGCTCCTCTTCCCATGATGGCCTCGTGCCACAGCACGCAGATGGACGATCGCTTCTGCACATCTTTCCGGCACTGCGTTTCACTCTTGTCATCGGCAGCTGGCATGAGCACACTGAATGTTTCGTTGAATGCCACCAGTCTGGGGACAAAGTAGCATTGTTTCACGGGCAGGATGGGTAACACTACCACCTTCATCATATCTGCTGATACGATCAGTTCGTCGTCCTTCCACGCTCGATTCGCGTCGTTCCTGTACTCGGCTCGAGCCCGGCGAGCTTGAGTTTCGTGCTCTGCCTGAGCCCTGCACGTTTCACACGCACCGTCTTGGTCATGCTCCTGCCCGCTCTCCTGAATGTGTTGTTGGAAGATTTTGCACGTAGGACACTCTTCAGAACCTAGAACGGTGAAGCCAATGTTCAAATCCTGAACACACCTCCTGTATGTGTCTAGGGAGCAGAACGACGGATGTTTTTCATTGAAGTCGTCGTACATGATTCTGGCATTGATGTCGCTGGGCAGATAGAGGCGATTTGGGGCATGGTTGTACCTGTAGTGGTGAGAAACAGGCTTGAAAGACTTGATGTGACTTTCGATGACCTGCCTATCAATCTTGTTGGCAGGTGGATGGCGCCCTCTTCTGTCGGACTGTGGGACAACTTCGCTTCCAGCTTTGAGGACAGCATTTCTGACTGCTTCGTCGTTGTTGTCCTTCATCCCGAGAGTGGTTAGGAAGAACGGTTTGCACACTCGCTTCATTCCACCATCGCCAGTGGGCAAATGCCACGTGAGGTGCCTTCGCTTCCCATCTTCCTGTGCTTTCTCCAGTTTCACGTAGGTTCGGAACCATTGCTTCCTGACTTCAACATCCAAGTGGTTTACTTCACTATTGATGTGACATCTGAGAGTCTCTGATATGTGATCTGAGCACCGGTTTGCACAAGTGCCCCTGAGACAAAGCGCAGGAGCTGCTCGCACAGGATGCTTTAGCTCGTACGCACGTATCCTTTCCTCCGGCTTCCGGTTTCTCCTTTTGTTTCCTGTCGTTGGTCCGGAAACCGTTGTCTCGTGCTGAGCGGATTGACCCGCATCTCGACTGTCCGGTGCCTCATGCGACTCGGCTTCGAACGGGATGTCATTTTCGACAGCGAGGTCAGCAATGGCATCGGTATCCCTCAGTTCGGCATCGCCTCTCAGTGTTGTGTTCAGCCAGTAGGTGACTTCTGACGCTAACAGAGGATGGCCTGAAACCTCATCTGTCGCACTTGGCAGTTCTAGCTCCGTCTCTTCACTGGAGAGCTGTGGAAGGGTATCAGCATCAGCTACTTGATTGGATCCAGCTGATGACGGGACGCATCCATCCGAATCTACAGCCGGTCCGCACTCCCGGTCAGTGACTACTGTTTGAATCCTTTCGTACTCGAACGCCGTAGCCAGCTCCATCACAGTCGTCTGAATCAATTCTGGGCCTGTGACTGTTCTGGTGTCGGTTCCAGAGTTGGTTCCTGCGGTGACGCCTGGGTCCGTTTCTGCAGTAGCCTCGGGGTCCGTTCCCGCCGGATCGACAGAGTCCACTTCTGCAGTTGTTCCAGAGTCGGTCTCTGTGGTGGCTCCTTGGTCAGTTCCCGCTTCGAAGATGGAGTTAGTTTCTGCGCTGGCTCCAGTGCCGACTTCCGCGTTGGTTCCGAGGCCAGTTCCTGCGAGTGCTTCGGCTCCTCGTTCGGTTACTTGAGCGGCTTCGGAGTTAGCTCCTGCGATGACTCCTTGATTGGCTCTTGTGGTGGGTTCTGGGTCCATTCCTGCGGTAACTTCGGAGTCCGTTCCCGCCGGAACGACGGAGTCAGTCTGTGCAGTGGCTCCAGAGGCGGTCTCTTCAGTGGCTCCGGGGTCGGAGCCTCCTGGGGTGCCTTCGGATTTGGCTCCTGCAGCAACTCTGGGGTCGGTTTCTACGGCAGCTTCAGGGGTGGTCGCAGAGTCGGTCGCCACTGAGTCGCCGAAGCTATTTTCCTCTGGGGTTGCTGGATCCATTTCTTGCTCGTCGACTTCTGAAACCGAGACATTGGTCTTTTTAGACAATTGTACATTGGATATTTCCAAAACACTTTCACCTTTATGTAATGCACAGTGCATTTTGCTGTCAAACGCAAATACATAAAATGTGAATTATTAGGTAGACTATCTGCTCATAAGTGAATGATGGGTTATTATACGCGTATTTATACATGAAGTGATGTAACTTAGCTATACGACACCCTGTATCGGGTGCTAAAATCGGTACGCACCACAGAGCACAGACGATATTTAAAAAAATGACAGTAATTATCCCATTGAGACGAATGTGTTAAATGTTGACAGTGCAAACACACCCTTAACTGCCGTTATCTCAAAGAGCAAGACATAAACAGACATAAGCAACACAAAATTGACATTTTGAATACATTCCACGTTCGGGACAGTAGATGACAAGGATGGCCGATGGGATGCAGTCGATCGAAGATGCATTTCAGCGTTTTTTGGGTTAAAATGCATATTCATACCAATTGAAACAAATACTCATTACATTTTCACCCACTTCGAAACCTGAGCCGCCCTGTTTTGGCGGTACCGGCTCCTCACAAAATGTCCCGGCGGCATAAGGTCCGGCTGCAAGCCAAATATCGGCGCCGATATCCGGCTGGCGGTTGGGCTCCGCATCCCTGAACAGTACCTACCTACATTTGAAGACCATACTTACTTGTCAGGAGATAGGAGCTTGCAGGAGGTTTGTAGACGATAGTTCCTGGCCACGTCTTCTTGCCGTGGATCATGGTTACTCGTGAACCGCCACAGTGCTGACCCTTGAGCGCCGTGATCGGAACATAATGGGAACCTCCTTTGCTTGAGTCGTCCCACTGCACTAATACGTGCACTTTTCCCCCAATTATTCGCTCAAACGAATAAGGCACTTGTCCTTTTCTGGGCATGGTGCATAAGCAAAGTCTAAAACGCCATTCAAAAGCACTGAGCCTTTCCCTGCTAAATGCAAGGCCCTCTAACCGCTAAATGGATTTAAATACCCGCCAGATTTAAATGCCGGTAGCGCGAGATCGCGTCGACCTCGTGCAAATTTGCACCGCTATGGATCCTCGTTCCAGGAGATTTCAACGAAAAAAAGCGCAACTTCACTTGAAGCCATCCAACATTGCAGCCAAAGAAGCGTACGAAGCGACTTGCGCTTTTTTGCCTGAGCGTAGCTCCTGCCGACTGGAAGCTACGCTTAAGCGCATCTGTTTCATGTGTCGTCTAATCAGGCAAAAAAGCGTATGAGAACAATTGCGCTTCTTTTGCCTGCATTCAATGAGTTTATTTCAATGACATGCGCTTTTATTCCTCAAATTATACACCATGCGCTCTTTTGCCTGATGTTGCACGACCGAAATAATTATTTTGTTTTCAGTGCATAAATTATATTGCATATAACTTAGGCAATAATGTCCATGCTAATAAACGAATATTGTATACAGATGGATCTCCTTATTCTGAATCGATTGATACCAAAAACGCATTTTCGGCCAAAATCGAGTTATGCTTCTTTACCTCCGGGCGGCAGTGCTAGTCTTCGTATATGTTGAGGTCTCAGACTTATGCATACAATACCAACACTGCCAATTAATGTGAATGCTTGAAATCGATAAGTCTTTTTGAAGCCTCTTTTCCAGCTTCCTATGCCATCATGATCGGCTGATGTATTCTTTGTTTGGCGCTAGTAAACTAGGTTATGTGATCTGAAAAAATAAGTTGAAAGGTTGTTTTCAACAACTGAAAATAAGTTGAAAGGTCATCGACCATCGATATCATCAAAATATTGAAGCTATGGTCGGATTATGATCTTTTTTCTTTCGATACGCTCGCCGACCTATTTTATGCATTCGTGGAGGGATGAGTTTCATTTTTAACGAGTCTGACTTTGAGTTTTCTCTTTTTGTATCCCTTCCTAATATGTGACGAAATTTTATGCGAATGAAATGAACGTTTTCGCATAATCTTCATCACCTCATCATGTGTGCGGTGTGTGTCGATGGGAACCCAGTGCGTCCTATGGGGTTCCCACAGCAAGCAGGACGAAAACGGAAACGGAACTAGTCAGCTCCAGGGTTTTGCACTGAGGGCTCTGTATTACATGGATGTGCCGTGTTCTGATTCATGTGCTGTGTTAAAACTAGTCACGACGACTTTTATCTTATGACGAGTCGACAATGTAGACGTTTAATTATTTAGAGTTTAGTCCAATCCAGCTCGCCTAAATTTGTGTGCGGTGATTCATAAATGATGATTTATGTATAACATAAACGTTCTGTTGATCTCATGTTCGTAAGTTAAATAGCTTTATAAGTTGCATCAAATGAATATGTGTAGGTATTTATTATTTATCCTTGGCCTATTTATCAATGTTATTTGCTTATGTCTCGCTCGTGGAATTTCCTTACTCACGCAGTAAAGTAATGGCACTTAATGCAAAATCGGCACGTAGTAAATGTTCGCGTATGTGAGTGCTGCTATTCCTAAAGGCTGTTTTAGGCAATGGTTAGCTGAATCTGGTGGCTCAGACACCCATTGGACATTGTGTATTCGTAAGTGTGAAAAGAATGTTTTTTGTGTGCCTTCTGTAACAACACCGTCCACTCGAGCATGTTTGCCTTCTCTTCATACACCACTAGCTTTCTGGCGTAATGAATACACTGACTACAGGCACTCTAAATCGTTCGTGGTTTATCAAGGATAAGCTCAATATCGTTACACCTGGTCTGCAAGCACTGATGCACTGATGGAAGCAAGGCCATATATAGTGCTGGAAGCCTGAAACACAATGCTACAAATTTCTTATAGCCGATTGTGTGGGATATACGATAGTGACTGCGGGTTCACTGACAACCACTGCACGAGCTGGGCCAGCAAAAATCAACCCACTGACCGCCGTGACCGCCGTGACCTCTATTTGCTGAGAATCAGGGTATGTCGGGAATGGCATAGGCGATTTATTCCTAATCAAAATTATCCGTTCAGTGTCTTATGACATCTTCCTTTGGGAATAATCGAACATGATTCGTTTCACTTTTGCATCACGCTCTCCAGAAGCATTAAGCTTGGAGCGTTAACCCTGAACGTCCGCCCAAGCCCAGCAGCATGGCTGTAGAATCTCCCATCTCTCGCCGGCGAAGCTGCACGGACATCCCGTGTCTGGTCCTGTTCGCTGGGTTCTTAGTCGGCTGGGTGGTAGTTGCCGGTATTGCGATGTCGCAAGGCTCCATCAAGCGTTTTGCCATGCCGTCCGATAGCAACGGCGACATTTGCGGCGTGGACAAAGGCGTCGAGAAGAAGCCCAACCTTATCTTCTTTGACCTGACGAAGTGCGCGCATTCATCAGCGGTCATCTTCGGGTGCGCAACTCCCCAGATGTGCGTCAAGGAGTGCCCGGACTCGTACTTTTTCGGCGCCGTTCCGGCGATGCTTGCCGGCGCCGATTTCGACGGCAGGGTGACCGACCACCTGAAGGCGAAGCTGCGCTACTGCCTGCCGGGTGTGAACCGCACGAGCCTGACGTACGGCCGGCTGGTGGACGGCTACCACTGCGCGCCCTGGTACGTGCGCTCGAGGCCGGTGGCCGGCCGCTGTCTGCCGGCAGACATCGAGCAGGCGGTGGGCCACCTGCAGCAGCTGTCCAGTCAGATGAACCAGCGGCTGGCCGGCACCGAGGCGCGCCTGCTCAGTCAGCGGATCCAGCTGATGGCGCCGCTGGCCGCGAACGTCACCAGTGACAACAGCACGGCCGAGCCGGGCCCCGCCCCCAGCACCAACGGCACGGTGGGCACCGACACCAACACCACCCAGCCGGTGAACGTCACCCTGCCCGAGTCGCCCGAGACCAGCGAGGGAGACTCCATCACCAAACGCGTGCTGAAGGTAAGCACTAACGGGGCTATTCCAACAAGGGAAGTTTATCGGTGATAGCTCTAGGTCAATTTCTCAGTAAGGAAGACGGGGCTATTGTATTTTTCATTGTAGAGCATATCTTATTACTATGTGAGTGTTGCACTCCGAATTATTGTAAATTGAAACAACCTACAACCAATATCCCCTTGGGATCTCCACTTAAGCATACTTCGCTAACCGAACCTAATGTACTCTATGTCATTTGTCGTGTGTGATCGCTCCGACACTATACCTGCGACACCCACGGGAGTGGTATGCGACTGATACGTCCCCCGGTGTTCTGACGCCTCCCCTCGGTCCCCGGCAGGCTGCCTCCGAGGCGGTCCGTCAGATGCGCTTCATCGGCGTCCACCTGGCGGGTCTGACGTGCGTCAGCCTGGTGACGCCGCTGGTGCTGGCGCTGCTGGTGGTGCTGCTGCTGCGCTGCTTCATCGGCCCGATCGTGGTGCTGGTGCTGGCGGCGGTGGCGGTGCTGCTGGCGGCCGCCTCGGCGATCTGCGCGCACCAGTACACCGAGCTGTGCGCCGCGCCGCCGACCGCCAACGACACGGCCGCCGCGCCGCCGGACGGCAAGGAGGTGCCGCTGCAGGAGAACCCGAACCTGTGGCTCGGTCTGTCGGTGGCCGCCGGCTGTCTGCTGGTGCTGCACCTGGTGCTGGTGCTGGCGCTGCGCCGCCGCCTGGTGCTGGCCGTGGCCATCCTGGAGCAGTGCAGCGCCGCCATCGGCGACATGCTGACGGTGCTGCTGGTGCCGGTGCTGAGTTTCGCGCTGCAGCTGCTCGTCTGCCTGCTGTTTGTGCTGGTGTTGGTGTTCCTGATGGGCAGCCCGCACCGGTGGCGCGTGTTTGGTGAGTGCGACCAGTGCGACCGGTACGCTACCGGCGACATCTGCTTCCCGGGCGAATTCGCTGCCCGCTGCGGCGAGGTCTGCCCCAACGCTACCTGCTCCAGCACACAGAACCTGCGACTGTACGCCTACAACGCCTTCGCTCTGGTCTGGGGCGTCTGCTTCGTGGCTGCCATCAACCAGATCGTCGTGGCCATAGCCTTTTCGACGTGGTACTTCAGCACTAGTAAGAGCTTTAGTCTGGTACTACCCCTGCGGGCCTATGTGCTGGCGTTGATATTTCACAGCGGCACAGCTGCCTTCGGATCACTACTCATCTCCATAGTAAAGGTCTGCCGCGCTACCCTCACCTGGCTCAAGTCCCGTCTGGAGAAGCGCGGCGGCCGGCTGGCCGGCTGTCTGGTCTCCTGCTGCCAGTGCTGCTTCTGGTGTGTGGAGAACGTCATCCAGTTCATCAACCGGCGCGCCTACATCGTCACGGCTCTGGAGAGCGTGGGTCTGTGCGCGGCCGGCCAGCGCGGCCTGGCCGTGGTGATGCGCAACCTGGCGCGGGTGGCGGTGGCCGACTCTGTGACGGCGCTGGTACTGTGGCTCAGCCGGCTGCTGGTGGTGGCCGCCAGCGTGCTGCTCGTACACTGGACCATGGAGGCGGCGCTCAGCGAGCCAGTGCCCTGGCTGCTGCCGGCAGTCTTCAGCGGACTCATCGCCTACGCCGTGGCCGGCACAGCATTCTCCGTGTTCGCCATGGGCGTCGACACGATATTCTACTGCGCCATGGTGGATTTGGACGAGAACGACGGCAGCGCGGCGCGGCCGTACGCCATGTCTCGCTCTCTGGCCAAGGCGCTGGGTGTGTCGGGCGCGCCGCCGCCGACTCCCGGCGCCGGGGAGCCGCCTCCTCAGGGACCGGTGACCGGGCCGCCGCCGGGCCTCCAGCCGTACCGCCCGCCCTCCGACTTCTGGTCGCAGCCCAAACAGCAGCCACAGGCGCCCGGACAGTTCATCCACCCGGGGGAGGTGGAGAGGCCGTTCACACCGGCCACGCCGCTGCCCTCGATCCCCCGCAGCGGCCGCTGACCGGCCAGCAGCGGCGACCGGCTCTCTATGGGAACAGACCTCGGGATGTGGCGACAAGGAAACGGCGGTCAGAACGGGTGGTCCACTGTGGCTCTCTGGGCAGCCAGAGACGATGGAACATTAGAGCCCCGATGGGTCAACGACAGGGATCTAACGAAAACGCAAAAACATACGTTTTCAGCGAACGATATACTACAGTTTCCAGACGCCTTGACGTCTTTACGACGGTAGGGTATGGCAAAGTGGTTTGGGCTTTTGCCGATCAACACCTACTCTGGAGTGAGACTCCGGGGCATCGAGGGAGTTGTTTCTAGTCCTTTGTCCAAAACATAACAGAAAATCGTCTTATCAAATATATGTTTAAAGCAAAAAGTATGTCGTGTTAATTGCTGATATAGCTAAAAGCCAGCCAATTCTGGGTCCATGGCGAAGCACCTCTAATACCGCCCGGGCAGCTTTTGTGTGGCATTGGTGATTATCTGTGTTAGGAGACTGTGGAATGGATAAACGGACGTTTGTAACCGTCTGGCATCGCGATGGAAACACCTAATTGGGTCGTGGCCCTGGGGCGTCGGGGACCGCGGCCCTGCTGAAACTGGAATGGCCCATGTAATGTCGGCGATCGTCAGATGGACATACATAGAATACTTTTTGAGTTAATGTCATATATTTATCAATAACACTTTCATTTGAACGAACTGCATACAGATCACCAGTGGTTAAACAAAGCTCGCTTGCCGCCGTCCCGTCGTAGCTATCACTGTTACACCTCTGCCGTCGCACTGTAACCGAATCCGTATTATATAACGTTGCGACCGCGGTACACGAGTTTCTGACTAGTGGCTCAGCTGCTGGAGATGAGTCAGCGCGGCGCCTACCCGGTAGCGGTTAACTTGGCGGCGCATCTGGCGACTAGGGAGACCGACGAGAACAACAGCGCGCTGGAAATAAACGCTCAGCGTTAGTGAACAGATAAGGAGACGAGCTAACAAACGGGAGACGTGCGTCATGATTCATGAAAGCGGGCTATTGCTCATTCGGCAGCCAGAACAAGTCTGCTTCAGAAACATACTTCACATGACTGCTACTTCTTTGTGCGAGTCGAAGTCCCATAAACAAAGCTCATTTTGCCAACGCACACCCAAAATACGAAAATGGCGTGCCAAAAATGACCATAGCACCATAAACATGTGTAATTGCTTTAAACCCCTATTACTCCTTCATTATTCGCATCAAAAAGATTAATTATCTTTCTTTTCGGATGGTTTCTAAATACCTTGAGAGCTTCTGAAAACCATCCGAAAACTAAACAGACGTTACCAGTAACGTTTCGTCTCAAGCTCCCGCCCTCCCAGCTTGCCGCCAGTGTCAGCAGGTGTATGTAGTGTTTACCTTTAGAACACCTGCACGCGATGGTTCTCGCGGTCACAGACCAGAATATTGCCGTTCGTCATCACCGCCACGCCCTCCAGGCCTGAAACACATCAGAAACACCGAGAGGTCAACACCAGGCTGATAATAACGCTGCAGATGACACACGTAACAGCCTAATTTTTATATTGTTTCCCGTAATGGCAACCGCTAGGTAACACAAACGTTCACAGCACAGCTAGCTGTAAGTCGAAGTCGTCCACAGAAGCTCGGCAATTGTAAGTCTCTCTCACACCAACTAGGATCATTAGCTCACCTTTGAACTCTCCGTCCTGGCTGCCCCAGGAGCCGAACGCCTTCAGGAACGTGCCGTCCGGCTCGAACACCTGGATCCGGTTGTTGCCAGAGTCGCCGACGATGATGTAGCCCTGGTCGTCGACGGCCACACCCCTGGCGGTCGGAAAAAAAAAAACATCAGCGTCACCGATAAAAGGGTACATCGGACACAATCAGAGGTTGATTATGGGAGGTAACAGGATCACTATCCCGTCCAAAAACAGTGAGAGTGTGATTATCCATAATCAGCGTTGAGTTGATGTGCGACATCCCTTGTGAAAAGGCGCACGGCTATTTTACGGGCTTTTTATCCGTACCACAAAAACAACATCATTCCAGCTTCCTCTGAACCTCCCATTCCTCTATAAACCCTCACCCGTGCACAGCTACCCTGTGTAACCCGCCCGCCCGGCGGCTCACCTGGGGAACTTGAACTTGCCCTCCTCGCCGCCTTCTCCGCCGAATGTGTTGAGACACTTTCCGTTGACGTCGAACACCTGAACGCGGTGGTTGTTGCTGTCGGTGACCACCACCCGGTTGGTGGCGCTCACGGCGATGTAGTGCGGGTGCGCCAGCTGGCCGGGTGTGTGCCCCTCCGAGCCGATGGCGCCCACAAACGTGCCGTCCGACTGGAAGACCTGCAGGGCAGAGGGAGCAGTCAGGAGGGAGTTAGACGGAGGAAACTGTCAGTCAGCGGTACTCGCTGTAACAACCATAACGCCAGGAGTTCGACGATCACCTTACGAAGTTGTCCGCGTTGCGATAAAAACGCCGTGGACAGGCCATTACTGTTCGGTGGTTGGGTGGAGGCGAAGAGTGAAGGGAGACAGACCAACAGAGAGGACAGCCGGCGTTATCTGGACATGGTGGTTCTGATCGTCTACCCATGGTTCTCCCGTCAACCCGTACTTGTACGCGGTATTCCCCCCCCCCCCCCACAGCTGTACTTCTCCCCGTCTAACCGTGGTTCTCCCCGTCTCCCCGTCTCCCTCCGTCTCCTGTACCTGGACGCGGTGGTTCTCCTTGTCGCAGACGTAGATGAAGCCGAGCGCGTCCGTGGTCACTCCCCACGGGTAGTTGAAGCGGCCCTCCATGGTACCGTTCTGGCCGAACGAGCGCAGGAACCGGCCCGACGGGTCAAATATCTGGATACGGTGGTTATACCTTTGGAAAGAAATGTAACTGGTGAGAAGAGTTTCGGTAATTGAGGTAGATTTGGTGATCGTAATTATCGTCATGACCCTGGCTGTAAGATTTTAACGGCGATCCGAGATGAAATTTCATACCTTTAGACAGTTCAAAGAAAAGTCTCATCATAAACTTGAGGCCATAGAACACCAGACGGGGACATACGACCGGTCTAAATCGTAAACGGTTGATATTGTCTGAATGCTTCTTGATAGAATACAGAAACAGATTTCTAAAATATAAATATTCTAGCGCAGATGATGCCGCATGCTGTTTAGAGAAACTCTTCAGAGTAGCTCTGGTCGGTGCTGACCTGTCGGAGATGATGAACTGTCCGATCCGGTTGACTGACACGCCGGCCAGACAGTCGAACTCGGCCTCCCCGTTACCGTACTGGCCAAATTCCTTGACGAAGGTGCCCTGCTGGTCGAACACCTGCACGCGGTGGTTGCTGCTGTCGGCCACGACGATCGAGTTGTCGGGCCCGACGGCGATGCCGCGGGGCCAGGTGAAGCAGCCCGGACCGCCGCCGCGGGAGCCCAGCTTGAACCTGCAACGACGCCTGGAGCTCAGCACAACAGGGGAGACGCGATAGTTCGCGCTGCTTTATGAGACAAAGGCTTTCAAAAGGTCACTGATTTTGTGCAAAGAGCTACGAATACCAAACTACCTGATGCAGCAGCATATGTTGTGCGAGGCCGAATCTCTAACACTAAACAAGTAACATGCTCTGTGCTATCCACATCGTTTGCTGATCCATACACGCGTTTTTACGAGTCCCAGGAATACGCGTTCCTTACTTGAGGCGTCCCTTCTGGAGGTACTGTGAGCGGGGTCCGAGCAGCGGACTCCCCGCGAAGATGGGCGAGGTCGGCGGAGACTGGCAGGTGGTGGTTCGGTCGGTGTTGATGTCGCCGTACAGCTGGCCCACCGGCAGGCTCACCAGGTGGGAAGACTTACTGCGAGGAATCACCTGGGGGTGTCAGCGGTACAGTCACAGAACGGACAGAGTCGGCACTCCAACATAGGTAACAGAGAGAGACAGCCGCAGGCCGACGGTGGGCGCCCAGATCGGCGAGGGATAGTTTACCCTGGACCTTTGGCCTTGATTCTATCACTAACCGTGCCGTTCTACATATTTAGTTTGGCTCTCTAAGCGGGCTGGCGGCGAATGGATAAATGAACACACCTTTCAGCAAAACTGGACCCGCGACTGCTGAGGGTTGTGATGCTACAAATTCGGCATTCCAACATCCAATCTAAAGATCTGACTCTAAAGCAGGATGCCATTTTTTTTAGAACAAATGGAAATAGGTAGGTATAAGTATTTATCCGTTTTAGTAAACTGTAAGTCCATTCATGAATATCACACCCCACACGCAGTGCCAGCAATTCACTCAAGTGAAACGTCTTACGTAGTAGCTCGTTTCCCAGGTCGCATGACATAATATTACGGTTGGATAGCGTTTGAAAACTTGCCGAAATCAGATTTCGTATTCCTATGATTTTAAGTCGCCTCACAATTCACCGAAGGTCAACCTTCCCGAAGCCGTCGTCAGTACGTTGTCCCAGACCTCGGTTATATGCAATCCCGGTCCCGACGGAAAATAGACGGTGCACAGAAGTCACTCGGCGTGACTTACTGATACAAAAATCACTCAAGAGCCACAGAACCGTGCTGCCCATACAGTGTAGAATGTGATATGGAAGTTAGAACGGCAAAAGGTAAATATATACAATGGCTGTGTGTAATTAATAAAGTACATGGAAACGGCCCGAACGGTATTATACGGTAAGGTATTGAGTCATTCCGATACCAGCAACAAGAGAAAGGAGGCGTCTAACATATTATCTGCTAGCATACATACAGATCGAGTAAAAATATGCTTCGAAGTTCGCCGTTGTATATCTTCGAAGTAGATAAAAGCTTGAAAGTTCAACACTCCTCCACCATATGTATCGGTCGGTTCTGACTGACCGTAAACAGGCATTTTTATTTACAATAATAAATCCACACAACAAAAATCGTTCTGTCCACAGATTCACTTCTGTGCACATTTTAAAAAACTCATTGAAACCTTTCCAGTATCCAGCATGCGGGTGAGGAAATCAGAAGCGCCCTGGCCAGTTGACAGGGTAACCGTTTCCGCCAGAGCAGGAAGACGGGTCAGCCCGCCGCCCGGTAGCCCAGCAGCCGAGCCAAGCCATGCGGTCAGGTTAGCCACAGAGCACGCCACCAACCTCGCTCGCGCGGGCACTCACTTGCTGCAACCGTGAGGTGCGACCGGGATCCACAGAGATCTAGCCAAAGGTGCGGTAATGATTTAGGGAGTGACGGGCGGCAGCGGTCGGCGAGGCGGCGTACGCGGGCGACAGGGCAGCGAGCTAATGTTACTGGCGCACCCACCAGGGCCGATCCTGAAACCGCCGGACGGGGGCTGAACGGGCGCCGCCGAGCGGACCCTCGCCGTGGGTCAATGCCGCAGCACTGAGGTCTACTTTATGGGGAAAACTACCGACGCCTAGCTAGATGTAATAACAGCATACCCTACTGAGCATACCCTACAGCAGGTATGCCTCCTGATGTGGCGCCTATTTCACTACTAACGTGCAGCGTCAGCGAGCTAAAGCTTGGGTAACTAGTAGCTACGGAGGTAAGCGAGTTACTAGCCTCATCCGTTGTATCTATCGTCAGAACCAGCCCTTCACCATCCTTAAATTTTGATCACATTTCCCGGTACATAGGTCACCCCACCAGACGTCAAGACAGCCGGTAGAGGGCAGCTCCAGGGAGCATAGCCCTTCGGAGGGACTGTCTGAGCGCCTGGGTGGCCCGTCTCTTGGCCGCGTCTCAACGGGACCGGCATTGGCTCAGAAGCCAAACTAATATTGATGCGTCATATTTCAAATATCGTCTGACGGTGGGCGCTGCTCGACTAAGCTGTTCCCGGACACTAGATTTAAAAGCGGCTTAGCGGGCATTTCACGGGACAGCAGAGGGGTGGAGAGATAACTATATCGGACATTTACGAAAAAGGGCACTTAAAGCTCACTAATGCGCATGCATTTCTGTCATCTATCTTATGAGAGGCCTAGGAGCCAAAGAATCTTGACAGCACGTTTGGACGTCATCAATATAGAGTCTGGAGGAATATTTTTATTTCAAGTTTGTAATATTTTAGAGTCAGATCTAGATAAACAGTGATACAGGGTTGGGCAGATAAATTGGGACAAATTTCAACTTCCTCTAAAACGATTATTTTTTGAGTGATGAAGATAATTTTTGAACGTAAATATAGGCTAATGAATACTTTTCGATGTAATGCAGGTTGCGTTGTAATTTTGAATCGGCTGATCACAGAACGTGGGCTTAAGCAAGTCACTATCAACTTAGTCCGCGCCCACATGCATGCCAATACTCTAATTATGCTCCATCAAATGGCTGAAAGTAGTGTGTATCGAACAGACGTAAACGTTGGAGGAAGAGAAGATGTTGACTCATCCTTACATACTTATTGCATTGACACCGGCCGCTCCCCCGGTTTTCCAGGGGGGCTAAAAGGCAAAATTCAGTTAAATCAGAGGATCCTCGCGAAAACAGTGGCGCGAGCTTACAACGAAGGTAGCCGCGCCATGAGAAAGCGATATACCAGCACCTCAAACATGTACTCTTATGCATTGATGCATATCGACCTGTTAACATAGATGTTGAAGCAGCTGTGACGTTAAAAAGATTGTTTCCTCTTGAAGGGCTTTGGAGAAGCGAGCAAGCACGTGCAGGTCTTTTTCGACGATGGTATCCCCATAACCGAACATATTATGAACAACCGCAAACACCATGAAACATCGCAACCAGCCCAGAAGACGTGATCTTAGTTCCAAAAAGCATGCAGCAGACCTCGGTGATGGCATTCCACTCGGTGACTTCTGAGGGCCACGTGGGGCCCCCTTATTTTACGGAATCGGGAGGAGGTTCGTCCTTACAGCGTACCTAACCATTATTCCGGCAGTTCGAATCAACAAGATGGAAGAAGGCATCATCCTGCATGGAGTGATGCTCTTCGAGGAGTCAGCTCCCCGGCATACAGTAAATTAAATACAAAATCTCCTGAAACGGAGGATCCCGCAAACTGTACCCAAGGCTAAATGCCCCCTCCCTCATTAAACCTCAGCCCACACAAGTTCTGGTTGCTGGGGCGTTTTTGCGGCCGAGTCTAACGAACGTCCCCATGTGACTGTGGTGAGTCTCAGCAGTGCCAGTTGGCTACAATTACGAGCCATTTCAGAAGGGAGATCTCGCCGCGCGTGCGGCCAGTCCAGGCACCGATAAGGACTGATGCAGGTGGACCACAGTGATCATATTTGGTGATAAATGTGTAAAATTGGTGTGACAATATGTGATCCAAATTTGAAATGCCTACGTTTACAAATTTCTAAGCTACGGCGTTCTGAATGCAAATATGTATTTTGTCCCAATTTATCTGCCCAACCCTGTACGTGTTTTCAAACAAGAAGTTCACTACGTAACTGGAAATTATCCGTCTCTCATTTGGCCGTCAAATGTCCACATTTGTGAACTCACAGTCGCCGCAAGCACAGCGAATTTCTAGCCGCGTTAAAAGGAAAACTGACGTAGCATAGCCTACTGGAGATACCAAAAGGTTGTCACATTTCATAAAGTTTAACTTTATTCCGCAAACTTTTATAGACATGCTGATTGAGCATGGCGGAAAATCAGACGGAAAATCACATTTACTCAAGAAGCATAACTTTAAGGATACTCATTACCCATGTTGCAATGAGCACGTCTAAATTAGTTTATAAGCAGCGCGCGGCCTCGTCACGGTCAGGCCGGGGCGCCGCGACTCACCTTGCTCGTTTCCTTGCCGGGGTCCCTGCTGTTCTTGTAGCCGTACTTGTTTTTCAGATACTGCGCCCAGCTGCTCAGCGCCTCGTTCCGTGATCCAGTGGCCGAGTCGCCGGCCGGCTCTCCGTCCGTACCGCTGTCGCCGCTGGTCTGTCGCGCCACGGCCGGACTGCCGCGCGAGCCGCGCTCCTGCTCGTCACCCTGCTCCGAAGAGCTCCCGCTGCGGGCAAGCCAAGATCGGCGTTCCTGGGCGGACGCATATCTGGACGTGCCATCAGTTCGACTGCCGCCCGCGGCGGCGGCGGCCGGGCCGGAGGAGACCGAGTCGCCCGACGGGCGAGTCGCCTCCTCCGGCGCGTCTAGCGCAGCGGAGCTCTTACTCCGGTTTAAAAAACGTGACGTGTATGAGGAATAGCGTGGCGATGCGGCGGACGAGTAGTCCAAGTCGCTGCTGGTGGGCCGCTGGGACGCCGGTCGGCTGAACTTGGCCGCGTAGGCCGCGTAGTTGTTTTCCACTTGGTGCGTGCGCGGCGGCGTGTCGGCGGCAGAGGAGGTGCGCGCCCGCGTCAGCGCGCTGCTCTGTCCGCCGCCGTACTCGCCGTAGCGCGTCTCGTGCGGCGTCGGCTCCGCGTCGCTGCCGTAGCGGCTCGAGTAGCGACTGGTCGCCGGGCTGGGGTCGCCGTACGAACGTCTGCCGGCGACTGACGGAGAACTGACTGAGGCAGCGGTCACCGAGTCAGCCGTGTTTCTGCGGGCGCCGGCTCCGCGAGCGGACTGAGACGCGACGCCGGGGCGCGCCGCGACTGGATCAACAGCACGAGGTGCCGGCTTCGCCTCAGACTCCGACTCCGACTCGGACTCTGAATCTGAGTCGGACGAGGTATCCGTATCAGAGTCCGTTTCCGAGTCAGATCCACTGCTGGTCTCCGCTTCTCCCTGCTCGTCGGCCTTGGGTGTGCTGGCGCGGCCCAGGAAGCGACTCTGGAAGCGCGGCCGGCCGGTGGCGACGCCGGACGGGGTGGCGGGAGGCGAAGTGACCACGGGCTCCGGCGCAGCGGTGGCCGCTACAGGGGCCGCTGCCGCTGGGGTCGGCGGCTGGGAGGGCCGGGCCGGGGTGCTCGGTTCCTCTGCCGACTCAGACGACTGAGACTCAGAGCTCTGCGACACGGACGGACGTCTGGCCGGCGCTGTGGCTCGGCGCTGCGGCTGCTCGCTCGCCGCTGAGGTGTCGGGGGCAGCCGGGGCGACGGCGGGCGCCGGGGCGGACCGACGACTGCTCGGAGTCTCGAACGGCTCGTTAATCCAGTCCGCGATACCGCCGCGGCTGTTGTCCGCGGACTGACCGCCAGCCCGGCTGGTGCGCCGCCGAGATTCGTCCACCTCGCTGCTCGGCTCCTCGCGTCCAGCGGCTGGTCGGGCTGATGGCGCGGCGGCCGGTGTGACCTGGGACGTGCGCCGCTCCGCAGAAGGCTGCGCTGTCCTGGTGGGTGTGGTCTCTGCTGTCGCAGCAGCGGCAGTGGCCCCAGTAGCACCTCGCTGGCATCGCGCGTCAGCCTCCTGGTTCATCTTCTTGATTTTAGCGATTTCGTCATCCTCACTCTTCTGCCGACGCCAGGGAGCCGACGAGGGCGCCGGAGCGGGCGCGGGCTTTGGAGCCGGAGCTTCTTTCTTTGGCTCTTCCTTTTTCTTCTTCGGTCTTTCGGCCTCCACAACCTTTTGAATGACTTTGGGTACGTCGAGAATACGAGCAATGCCACTAATAGGACCCTTTGTCGCATCGTCAGTATCGAGCACCTTCTCTCGCTCCTTCTTCTTCTCTTTAGAGGCGTCGGCCTGCGCCGCGTACGGCTCCGGCCGGTAGCTCTCCATGTCATCGTCGGCGTCCAGGTGGCGCCGGGTGAACCGCGACCGGTACTTGTGGCGCCGCTCGCTGGGAGCGTCGTACGAGAGGTCGTCGCCGAGCAGACCGGCGTCGCTGGCCTTCCGCTCGGGCCGCTCGCCGAACCGACGCCGGCTGACGGGTGAGGAGCGTCCCGACTCGTCTCCGTAGCCGTACCCGCGCTCCTCCTGGTGTCGCAGCGCCGCCACCAGCCGGTGGTCCGACTTGCTGCGCATCAGACCGGGCCCGCCCGGACCGGGGGCCATCAGCGCCGGGAACCCGCCGCCGCCGCCGAAACCCTGACTCGAGCCGTCGGTGATCGCCGGCTGTTTGCTGGCCCCGATGTTGAGCTCTCCAAAGTGCTCCAGAGTCCGGCTGAGGGAGCCGGGGTCCTGGGCGGCCGAGAACCGCACCGGACGCCGCGAGTCGCCGCCCGTCGGCATCTCGTGCTCAAAGTTGCGGATGAACTCGACCGTCTTGAGGAAGATGTCCTTGGCGTCCGTCAGCTCGGCATCATCCCACTCGATCTGATCATTGAGATGCTTCTCAGCGAGCTCAGAGTTACTCTCTATGTTGCCGATCTCTTGCTCCAAATTACTCTTAAGTGTGTTCAGATTCCGTACTTCATTGGCCATGTGCGAGTCGACCTCCGCCTTCAGATACTCGGTGCGATCCTGGATGGCCTTGATGAGCCTCTGACCGATGTTTTCCACCTCTTCTCGGACGGCCACGCAGTTCTGTTGCACCGTGCTGGCGTTTTTGTCAATGGCGTCGTAGATGTCCTGCAGTCGGTGCAGGCCGCGCCGCACCTGGCCGTTGATGCGAGTCAGCTCCCGCTTCAGAACGTCAACGTGAGCCGACTTGCATTCCGCGCATATCTTCTTGTCGCAGTGAGCGCATGGTTGCAAATATTCCTTCTCGTTACATACCTGCACAGGAAGAGCCAAACAACGGTAAATTAAAAAGAATAGGGCAACGATAAGATGAAAGGCGGCAGTTCATTTGCTGGCGTAGATACATCAGTGCAATAAAGACTCTGTCCTATACGGTTTATTTATGGAAGTCGATCATTAGGAATAAACGGGCGGTTTGTACCGAAAAAAAAAATAAAAAAATCACCGAAGATACGCACTTTATAACAGATGCACTGGCAGGTAGGTAGGTAGGTATGTTACGCGGACTGACCTGACATCGTTCCATGACCTGGCCTTTTGTTGGGTCGGGCAGTTCGCCCGATATCTCCGAGTGCATGTCGATAAACCGCTGCATCGTCACATTGCTCGGGAACTCCTGGATTCCTTTGTACGGAATCCGGTGTTCCGCCCGGCATTCTGGACACTTGACCTGCAAAAATAAACGATAAACGTTTCAATAGAGGTACAGAATTCCACCATGCAATCTGTAAAGTCCTTTCCACGAAATAGTCATACCCACGTGCCCTTCGAAATGGGACAAGGGGACAAGAAGGGAACGAAGGAGGTTTGATTGCGTGATGCAATCCAGCCTTCTCTGTTATAACAAAGAAAACGGAAAGAAACGTGAACCGATTTCGTCAAACGGGACTCGGTAACTGAAAAGGGTATCGATTCGCATCCGAAATAAAATGTGCGCACACAGTTCCTTGTTCCCCGATGTAACTAGCACAGCGAGTTCCGGTTTTCCGCTAATCTACCGACACGTGTCGTGACCGGGCCGGCCGGGGGGTCAGGCGTCTGGGGCCCCTGCCAAACCCGCCTCGGGGCGCTGTCCCTGTGCCAACCAGGTCGGCGCTGCGGACAGCCGGCACGGCACAGCGCGTGGACAGCCCGCCCCACACCAGCACAGAACCAACGCCAGCCGCTGGCCCCCAGAGTAGTTCAGTAGGTCAGACTAAACATGACGTCACCAGGGCCACACAGAGGTCATTGTATTTATGAGTCGTATTTTGTCCCAGAAGTTCACTTCGTTGACCGGGGACTCCACCATGTCAGGTCAACATTCCAAGTCATTTAAATAGGATTTGTATAGGCAATGTATCAAGCTATATCCCTTCACACCGATACTCGTGGCCTTCCGTGAGATAGTCGGTCACTTAGCGAGCATGACAAAGGCTCTGTCTCGCGGGGACGGAAGGTCATGACTCACGGGATAAATAAGTCCATCGATACGGCAATGGTGGCGGCTGGCGGCGACAATCTTCCCATCTGCAGAGAGCCCTGACCCTGACTCACCTGACGTTTGACGTAGTCGATGAGCCCCTCCATGCAGGGTTCCATGCAGAACGTGTGCTGACATGGCAGCAGTTTCGGGTTACGGTACCGGTCCAGACAGATGCAGCACGTCAGAAGAGACTCGAACGACTCCATCTTGACCTCGAGGGTTCTCTGATCTGTAACCAAGAACACGACGATATGAGTGACAAACGGATGCCGGAAGGTCACCCAAGGTCAGTAGAGGTCACCAGTTGACTGGTTATTTTACCTGCTACGTTAACCCGCGCCCCACTGGGGGGGGGGGCTATTCATAGCCCCCCCTCCCGTTTTTCTGCAATAACTTCCAAACCGCTTGACGGATCGACGCCAAACTTTCAGTACCTTCGGCTGCATCAATTTGACACCTTGTGTCAAAATTTGAACTTCGTAGCTACCATAGGTCGGCCGGAAATGACGTCAGAGTGACGTCATGTTCGTCCGATTTCGACGCAAAACATTGAACCACGGCAATCGCTCCCAAGACCTCAGTTTTTAAGCTAGATCCAATTTCTTTGCATGAAAGGACTCAGAATTCATCGCGCTATCAAACTGCTATCTCGGATTTTCAAAATTTTGAAAATTTCGAAAATTTTATATAATAATATTCAAAATTTATCTTTTTACATTTTTTTCAAAAAGTTTTTGACTTTTCGAAAAAACCGGAATATATGTGACAGAACGCATGATTATGACTAACTCTAGCAAGTTTTAGCTAAATATCTTCAAAAATGGCCAAGTTATACGCATTATTGCAAAAAATTCACAATTATTAATTTTTCAAATCAATTTTTCAGTACGTATTTGACATCGTACACCAATATAAATGGCACCATCGTGTTCCTGAGCTCAAACTGCATCCAATAGACACCTTTTTTGTTGAAAAATTTTAACTTCAAAATTTGACCTTTTTTGACCTGAAAGTGACCTGACCTAAGCTAAATTCGACTCAAAATGACCTCGAATGACACAGACGACATCAAATTCGAAATCTATGGCCTAAATGGACCATAAAACATGTGTCACGTGACCGACGCATGATATAATATTTTCGTGACCTGTGATGACCTGACCCTGACCTGAAAATCAAAGTACAAGTTTGGTACCCTCAAGGTATCTAAAACATCTGTTCACGAGTGTGGAAACCAAAAATGAGCCTGATCTGACTTGTAAGACGGCGGCCAGAGCCCAAAATGTGAACAAGCCAAAGTGCTAATAATTTTTACTTTGACCTGACCTGTGACGTCATCGGTGACCTCGAGGTCAATGAAATTAGGTTTCGCTCGACAGTTTTTCCGGGGCTATCAGACATCGTTTGAATTTTGACGATCGGCCCAGTAGTTTCGGAGTTAGGAGGGGGGGCTATGAATAGCCCCCCCCCCCCCCCAGTAGGGCGTGTTATACACAGACCCCAGTGGGGCGCGGGTTAAAAATGGGGTTTCATTGGTTCCCTTTCGTGGATGTTCAGAGCAACACGCTCGTGTTTTTTTCGCCCGAGGTTCCATCTCGATTGGGGGCTGAAACGCTACGGGGCCGAACCGATCAGCAAGGGTGCTCGGACTGTAAAAATCCTAAATCTCCATCCAATTTAAGAGCTTATGGCAAAGTCCTTGCAACCCTGCAAACTCTTTGTTCCCCGATCTTCTATCCATAGGCGGGTTAATGGCCAGCACCTTACTGCATGGTCATAGCACTCTGATGAGCAACGATTTAAAATGTCGGACGTCTTTTGGCAGACGTTTAAACGGTAAACGTCATCGGCCGGTTCGCCCTATGGCCAGAAGCTCCCAGTGAACAGCTCAGCTATCCCCTGAGTCACCGCGCAGGCGCACTGTGCAGAGACCGGAGGGGTTGGCGAGCCAGCGCCGGTACTGCCCAGTCCCCGTTCCAGATGGTTCGCTCAGCGCGATGCCAGCCATGTGGGTGAGCCTGCGTCATCGGATGACGTCATATGCCAGCACGGGGCCGAGACCCGACACCTCGGCTGGTTTAGGTCGCCGGCTATTTCGAGCGTCATGGTCCGATGCGCTTCCTCCGGGCGATTTTGTTTACACGCAGTGTTTGTGACAGCCATGAAACTGAGCCAGCAGGAAGACGTCGTTTGCGACAGCCTCGCATGGGTCACGGTCTGGCGACTGTCCCAGTAGTGACGAGGCCGAAGGGCGGAGGCCTGTCTCGAGTACTGCCAGAAACCAGATGATCAGGGGAATGAAGGGGAATGAACTGCCGAGCGGAGTGGCCTATATGAGTGCGGCTATAACGGCTGACAGTGTCTACGCCCTACCGATTAAAACGGCCGTTTACAATGGCCACATACTAATTAAATATCACCACGGGCGGAAAGGTGGCTACCAACAAGTTAAAACGGCGCCATCGACAAATGTCCACAGATTATAATTTCGGCCGTCGCCGAAATACCGATTGTCAACAGATTACAAAGAACCGGACAATAACAGCTATCGACGCTCAAAAGCTAGACATGGCGAGGGTCGACACCAAGGCTATATAAACCGTCGACACTGGCGACAGTGTGCACTGCTAATTCGCCGATCATGTCGACACGACGATAAAGGCGATCGACAGGTGCAGAGGCTCAGTCAGGATAAAATTTCGGAGGGGGCATGAAGTGGTGAGGGCGCCAATTTCGGACCAGGAGGGCGCCCTGGCGCCCGTCGAGGGCGCCTAGAGTGCTGGAAAGGCGCCTTCGGCGCTCTGAAATGATCTTGGAACTTGGAAGGCGCTATCCAGGTGGATGGCGTCTTCCCAGAGGGCGCCTGCTAGATTTGGGAGGGGCAACAGGCAAATGCCCAGTGTGTCCCCCTTGGCTGCGCCCCTGGGCAGGTGATAATCGTTGGTCGGCAGAACAAAACGGCAGCCCATAATATCGACAGGGACAGACACTAACGGCCGTGACAAGACAATCTCACCATCAGTGGTTATTTGCGAGTGCGACGACAGGGTATATGGGGTATATTGAGTGAAGGGTAGGACGAACTTTGGTAGGAATTTCTAGTATAACTACTAGCAAACCTACTATATGTAGTCGGAGTTAGCAAAAACAGTTCGAACTAAAATATGGTAGCGCTAATGGTAGGCAGTCGTGACGCGCACGTGACATTCATTTCTTAAATTTCTTTAATAACAGCTTCTAGGAGGCCGATTAGTGGGCAGATACATTCGAATAGCCATCAATTATTGATTATTCAAACATTCAAGAGTCTACAAATTCAAGTAAGAAACACGCGACGATTCCAAGATTCGAACTTGTGACCTTCGGATCCGTAGTCCGATGCGCTACCGACTGGACTACAGAGGACCGCGCGCCGCGCCGACGGATAGGCGAGTCGGGGGTGCTGGCGTGCAGATAAATCTTTACCCTGTACGCCGTAGAAGATCGGCTGGGTTTCGTGAAAAATGGTAGAGGAATTGCCGAAAGAAAATTCGTCGATCTATCATCTGAAACTAAGAGTCATCAATTTCTTCAAATGTTGGCCGAGATATCGTTCACCGAAAACAGGCCATTTAACATGTAAACCCTATGGGCTGGTAGGAAATGTGTACGCCGTGGAGCAGCAGTGCTACCAACTACCTTCGGCGGGAGCCGATTTGCGATGCATATCGCTCTACGACCATTTTACATATTGACCGCCTTTTCACGAAGCTAGAAACGATCGCAATCGCCAGCTTTTTATCTTCCTGTTCAGTGTTGTGTCCCCCATAATATGTGGTGCTGGGCGCGCCTCTGCGTGTCGAGTGGCCTTGAGGCGCCGCCGCGCCGGCGCGACGGGCGGGGGAATACAGTCGGATAACCGCGTCCGAGGCGTGTGGAGCGGCGTGTGGTGCGGGCCGGGCGAAGCCGAACCCACGGCCGGAATCAGTGAGAGACGCTGACATGGTGGCAGCGGTGGGATGCTTGCACCGGAGCTGGACACGGGTTTTGCACCAGCTGGTCTTCACCCAGCCCCGGTCAAGATTGCACTCAATGCCTGCAGCTGAGATTCGCCAGGCTTTCATTGAATACTTTAAGGAGAGGAACCACAAGTTTATTCGATCAAGTCCTGTGATACCAAGGAAAGACAAAACGTTAGCATTTGTTAACGCAGGAATGAATCAGTTTAAGCCGATTTTCACGGGCGAGGAGGTGGCTCGCTGGCCGCGCGCCGTCAACTCTCAGAAATGTGTACGGGTGGGCGGCAAGCACAACGACCTGTCGGACGTCGGTCTCGACGGCTACCATCACACCTTCTTCGAGATGTTGGGCAGCTGGAGTTTCGGCGACTACTTCAAGCGCGAGGCGTGCCAAATGGCCTGGTGTCTGCTGACTGAGGGGTACGGCATCAGCCCGCAGCATCTGTACGTCACCTACTTCGCCGGCGACCCGGCGCTCGGACTGCCTCCCGATCACGAGTGCAGAGACATCTGGCGACAGATCGGCGTGCCGGCCGAGCGCGTGCTGCCGTTTCGTGAGGCGAACTTTTGGGAGATGGGCCCGGTGGGCCCATGCGGTCCGTGCACGGAGCTGCACTACGACCACCTGCAGCGGCCCGGCGGCGCCGCCCACCGCGTCAACGCCGGACACAGCGACGTCACCGAACTGTGGAACCTGGTCTTTATCCAGCACCAGCGCCACGAGGACGGCTCTCTGACGTCGCTGCCGGAGCGGCACGTGGACACGGGGATGGGGCTGGAGCGGCTGGCGGCCGTGCTGCAGCAGGTGCCCGACAACTACGGCACCGACCTGTTCACGCCGCTCTTCAGCGACATCTATCAGACGAGTGGCGCGCCGGCCTACGGCGGTCGATACGGCGCCGCCGACAGGACCGGCCTGGACACCGCCTACCGCACGCTGGCAGACCACGCGCGCATGGTGACTGTCACGCTGGCCGACGGCGCAGTGCCGCCGGACAATCACAAGCTGCGCCGGGTTCTGCGGCGGGCGCTGCACCTCTGTGAGAACGCGTTTCACGCGCCTCGACTGCTCTCCGTGCTGTCCGACCGGGTAGCTGAAATGCTGGGGCCCGCTTTCCCCGAGTTCGATCTCCAGAGCAACAACATTAAGGCGGCCCTGGCGGCCGAGCGTGAGTCCTGGCTGGCCTCTGTGTCGGCGGCGGCTGGCGAGCGGCGCCGCTGCGCCGCCGAGCTGCCCGAGCTGCTGCAGCTCAGCGTCGGGCCCGCCGAGTGTCTCCAACTGGTGGATGGACTGCGCGAGCTGCGGCGCGCGCTGCCGGCCGGCGAGCGCCGCCTGGACGGCCGGCTGGCGCTGCAGCTGCACACACAGCACGGCATGTCGGAGGAGGTGCTCCAGGAGGTGGCGCTGGTGCGGGGCCTCCAGCTGGACGTGGAGGCGTTCCAGGCGTGTCTGGCTGAAGTTCGCGCCGACAGTCGTCAGGCGGCGCCGGTCAGCCGGCACCTGGCGGACGCGCTGCTGCTGCGCCGGCTCGGCCTACCATCTACGGACGACGCAGCCAAGTACGAGTACACGCGCCGTGCGTCCGGCGAGTACGAGCTGCCCTCGGTCACGGCCCGTGTGCTGGCCGTGCTGTGCGCTGGCGGCCGCGCGGCGGCCGCCGCCGCCGGCCAGCGCTGCTCTGTGGTGCTCGACCGAACCTGCTTCTACCCGGAGGGCGGCGGCCAGGCCGGCGACCGCGGCGTGCTGCGCTGGCCGGGCGGCGAGCTCAGTGTGACCGACACCCAGCGCTGCCGGGACTTTACGCTGCACGAGGGCACGGTGACGGCCGGCCGGCTGGCCGACGGCCAGGAGGTGCGCTGCGAGCTGGACGCCGGCTGGCGACTGGGCTGTATGCGCCACCACACGGCCACGCACCTGCTGCTGGCAGCGCTGCGGCACGTGCTGACCGCCACCGCGCAGACGGCCAGCGCGTCGGACGGCCGCCGTCTGCGGCTGGAGGTGACCAGCTACCAGGGCGCCATCACCGCCCAACAGATCAGCGAGTGCGAGCGTCTGGTGCAGGAGTGGACGGCGGCGGCGCTGCCCATCTCTGTGGGCTCGGAGCCGCTGGAGACGGCGCTGCGCCGGCCCCAGCTGACCCTGCTGGCCGGCGAGGTGTATCCGGACCCGGTGCGGCTGGTCAGCGTGCCGGGCGTCTCGTGCGAGCCGTGCTGCGGCACCCACCTGCTCAGCACGGCCGACCTGGCGGCGTTCCGGGTCACCTCTCAGCGCGCCGCCGGCCTGGGCGTGCGAGTGCTGCGCGCCGTGGCCGGCCCGGCCGCGCAGCAGGCCGAGCGGGCGGCAGCGCGCGCACTGCACGCCGTCGAGCGTCTGGTGGCCGGCCAGATGTCGGCCGCCGAGGCGCGCCCACTGGCCGAGGAGGCGCCCTACCGCGAGAAGATGGCCCTACTCGGCGCGCTGGACACACTGTCGGACGCCGGCAAGGCCCAGCAGAAGGAACAGGACGTCGCTCTGATGGAGCGGCAGCTGGCGGCGCTGGAGCGCGCTGAGACGGACGGCCGGTTCGTCGTTCACCACTTTGCGGGCCGGCGGCCGTACGCAGTGCCGGCCATGCGGCTGTTGAAGCGGCGTCGACTGCCCACTGCCATCGTCTACCAAAGTCGCGGCGTGCTGTCCGTGCGGTGCGCCGTGCCGGCTGGCGCGCAGGAGGGCGGTGCGGGCGCGCTGTCGGCCGCCGACTGGCTGGCCGACCTCACCGGCCACGTGCAATGCCAGTGGGTGCCGGTGCCGGAGCCGGCGCGCATGGCCGGCCTGGATGTCACTAGTCGACTTTCCCGCGACGACGAGGCGCAGCTGGCCGAGCTGCTGGTGCAGCTGCTCCGACAGCGGGCGGTCCGCTGAGACCAGCACCACAGCTCGTACTGCGCAGCTGGCCGAGCTGCTGGTGCAGCTGCTCCGACAGCGGGCGGCCCGCTGAGACCCAGCACCACAGCTCGTACTGCGCAGCCAGCTCTACCAGTGGCGTGACTGCAGTGCAACCAGCGACAGGAGCCCGTCATGGCCACACTGACAGCAGCCTCTCTGGGCCAGGCCATGTATTGTTAGATTCAGGATGGCGTGGAAAGGGTGATCGCATACGGCGGTAGCAAATATAACTGATCTCATAGAAAATAGACGATTTTTGAGCTTGAAGTCTATAGTTTTATTCAGGGCCTCAGACGATTTTACAAATATCGCGCGGGAGATGAGTTCACATGGTGCTGCGAAGTGCGACTTGGAGCCAGTCCTTTTGAAAAAAAAAAAACGAGCTATAGTTTTGACGTGCATCGATAAATTTACTGGTTTTCTTACGTATTACCCATTAGGATCCGGAACTGCTGATAACATTACGGATGCTCTATCCACTCATTTTTGACATTCAGTCCTCCCCAGCGTATCGAAAGTCGAAACTGATGTGGTGCCAATATGAAAAGCGAGAAAGTGGCAGAATTGTGCAGGTTTTGGGGTGTAGGTAGGAGACACGCTACTGGGTCGCACCACGAGTCTATCGGGAAGTTGGAAAGGCGTCATAGAGATATAAAGCGTAGGGTTCGAAGTTCGAACTTTATCGGCAACTTATGGTTCTGACTGGGGAGCACATTTACCTGCTGTATTTTTTCTTTGAATAATGAGGTGTCGTCGTCTCATGGATTTTCCCCATATTTTTTTTTTTGAATTTTATGCGACATGTGAATTCTCCTGTTTCCCAGCTTATCTCTGCGCACGTAACCCAAAAAATTCGGAGGATTGCATCCACGAGAAAATGCGTATAGTGGCTGGCACGCTCAGAGCTGCCCATGAAACTTTACGTGACAGCCAACGTGTCCAGAAGCGGGCGTATGACTTGAGGCATAGGGTAAGGGAGCCCACGTATAAGCCTGGCGACCAAGTCCGGATACGGATCTTTGATGAGCGTAAGGGCTGCAGAATAGTGAGACGCTGACACCTATGCGTAGTGGAGGTCTAGCTACTGAGGTACAAAAGTTCGAGTTGTAGAAAAGTCTAGATTGCAGCTTCCAAAATACTGATCACCGAGGATCGGAATACCTATATGTAGGGAACAAAAACGAACATTTTATTGAAAACGTTTCTTTATCCGCGAACGGACGACGGTATGTCAATCGTAACCGCCGTCAGAGTGACCATTAAAAACGTGCGGAGCGATAATACATAGTCCATGAAAAGCTCGGAAAACGATTCAACGCATCTACGCCATAAACGTAAGCATAGAATTAAGTAATTGGAAAGAACGTTTTAAGTCTACTGAATGCAAATTATAATGATGAAAGAAAACCGAAGCCTCATAATAATGACTGTAGGTATTCTTAACTGTAATCTCTTTTTTCTCGGTCATAATTTAGAATACATTCATTATTATGAGGCTTTCGGTTTTCCTTCATCATTATAGGTACTGTATCATTATAAGCCTCAAACAAGCGCTCTCTCATATGAATGCAACTTGGTAATATTTCTTACAACAGTTTATTGCAAGGTCAAAATTTCCGCCGTTATTGACGATACTTGGGTCTTACCGGTGTTAGTACTATCCTGCAGCGTTGGCGGTAGTCACCGTCTTCCCACACTTCAGCAGGCAGAGTGTGGCCGTTCAAATGGCGCCACTGCCAGGCAGGGCCGCCCGGAGCCGTCCCCTGCCAGCGAGGCACTCCGGTGGGTGTCTCGGTCGTCTATTACTCCACTGTCCGGCGGGTGTGCGGTGGCAGGCAGTGTGTGTGTGTGTGTGTGTCACTGAGAGCAGGCGCCGACTGCGTGCCGACCGCCGGGAGCTGATCACCACCGGCTCAGGGAGCGGGACTAAATTTAACCCGCGGCCACGTCGGCCGCCGCCCCGGGCGCCGTGTTCCCGGCTACCTCCGGGTCGGCGCGGCGGCTGCTGGATACCTACCTCAGCCTGCCGTGTTACCTGCTGGTGGCTACATCAGCGGGGTGGCTACTGCCGGGCAGCTGCCGTGCTACCGGCTACCACAGCCGGGCCTGAGTGGTGGCTACCCCGCCGTATTACCGGCTACCACAGCTGGGCCGGAGCGGGCCAGCGGCGGCTTTAGCGGGGTGGCTACAGCCGGCCCGCCCCGGTGGCTACTGGCAGAGCTTGAACCGCAGCTGAGCGGCAGCAGCAACGGATGATTGGTGCCGTATGACGTGACAGTAGTGTACGTAAGGGATCACTCTTAGGTCCGCTGTTAAACGTAGGCATTCGATTTTACTGCGAACATGAAGATTATTAACCGGTTCAGTCATGTAACTTCTGAAATTTAGGGAGCGCTTTCGAAAGTAACAGATACTCGAACAACCTCGAAGCCGCTAACTAGAGCCCCGTTGCGCCCCCCGTTTCCGTGAATGACTTGACGTTTCGCGTTAAGTGTGACCTGTTAACAGCTCAGAACCCCGATGACAGCCAAATGGTTCTTGCTAAGTAAGCCTGGCTGCTGCCATCCCATTAGTCACCACCAAGACGTTCTTTCAAGTGTCTCACTGGCTCAAAAAAGGGCGCTTTTCGTGCTGAAGTCTATTCCGACCTTGTGCGACGGTGAGACACGTCCCCCGCCGTCTGGTTCGAGACAAAGGTCGGCGGGGGCCGCTGACAGGGGGTGAGGGGGGACGGTGAGTTGTGTGCCAGCTATGTGGGGCAGCGGGCCGGCCCGGCGGCGGACGGCGGCTCCAGGAGTTCGGCACCGTCCAGCGCGGCCGGCGCGGCGGCGAGTCTATTTTGGGCCGAGGACCACCGACACCCGGCGGCTGGGTTCGGCCCCGGTGAAAACGGTGAAACGCAGCTGGGCGCAGCAACGCGCTGACCAGCAGGCGTTCTCACCAGCATGGGTGGAGAATGTCTGAAAAAGTTACCCCGGCCGGCGACCGATAGTCGGAAAGACGACTAAGCTCACGTTGTTGTCAACGATCATCATAAACAAATTCGCTATTCTGACCCATGGAAATGGAATAATGGACGTTGTGTTTGTTCAAGGGTGAGCGTTATATCCGACATTGTATCATTCATAACATTGTTGGCGATGATTAAAAAGGCGATTTTCTTTTAAGTGATTTTTTACTTAAACTTATGCAATTTCACAACATATCCAATCCATATCTATCATGTGTCATTATGAGTAAATGTTGCGTTTTCAGCTTTTTATTGTGTCTCAAAATAGCTACAGAAAGATGACAGCTCACCTCGTAGGAGCTTTACAGAGAAAATTGAACGTTCGAACCAAAGCACTGAAATGGGTCACTGATATCCAGGGACACAGTCTTTTTCAATGTTGGGTGGCTAAGACAAACAGGGAGTCTATCCAGGGATATCGACCGGTCCCGGTCTCGTAGCTCAATCGCTTGAGCGTTGGACTCCGCGTGGCGAGAGCACGCGTTCCGGTTACAACAGTCCGAGCTCGACGCGTGACGGACGCTCGGTGTATGAGCATCCTGACGGCTACGCCCTGACGGTATGGCTGCGGTTTGTGGCAGGCCAGTCGAAGGCAGTGAGGTCAAGCAGTGGTTCTAAAAAAGTGTGCCGAAGGCGCGCCAAATTTTCGAAACTGAACACGATTTGAGAGCAATCTTGGCATTGGCAACCACACGCGGGTCCTAGGGCTCAACGCCACCGCATGGTAAGTTGAGTACTTAAATGGTGTAAATAGTAAATACCCTCCTGATTTGCAGTAACCCATGGCAGTCAACATCCGAAAAACGACAGTTTTCTTTTCTCGTATGGCGACAGCTTTTAGGATTTACAAGAGTGGAAAAGTTACCCCGGCCGCGCCGGGGTAGGCTGAAAGTTACCCCGGCCACGGCCGGGGTGGCCGGGGCAGGTTCTCCACCCATGCTCACCAGAACGGGACTGGACTCCTTGCCTACCTATGACTGCGGGATTAGATTAGTCACTAGGATGAGTTGCGAACAAAAATGCTTATCCTAATTCGTCATTGAGCTTAGGTCAAGCCTTTTGTAGGCGTCAATCTATCGCCACCCAACCGTCCAAAGCTATGCCACCAATCGAGTGACACCCTAGCGCCTTTCTCTATGTCAGCCAATCGGCGCCCTAATTGTCGGCAAAGCTCCTCCCATCGCGCCGGTCAGTAGTCGGGCCCGCCTCCCATTCATCCTCCCCTCCCCTCCCCTCCGCTCATGGGTGGAGAATGTTTGAAAAAGTTACCCCGGCCGGCGACCGATAGTCGCGGGAAGACGATATACTCACGTTGTTCTCAACGGTCATCATCAAACCCCTATTCTGACGCATGGAATAGGATGCTGTGTTTGCTCAAGGATGAGCGTTGTATCCGACACCGTATTATTCATAACATTTTTGGAATGATCGAAAAGGCAATTTCCTTTTAAATTATTATTTCTTTTTACTTAAACTTCCAATTTCACACCGAACCCAAACCAAACCATATGCCATTTTGAGTACCTAAATGTTGCGTTTTCAGCTTTTTATTGTGTCTCAAAATAGCTACAAAAAGACAACTCACCATAGTAGAAGCTTTACAGAGAAATTGACAGATCGAACCAAGCAATTAGCAAAGCACTAAAATAGGTCACTGACATCCACGGGCGTAGCCTTTTTCAATGTTGGACGGCTCTTATAATACAAACAGGGAGTCGATCTAGTCCCCGTCTCGACCGGTCCCGGTCTCGTAGCTCAGTTGCTAGAGCGTTGGATTCCGCGTGGCGAGAGCACGCGGCCCGGTTACAACAGTCCGAGTTCGAAGCATGATGGCCGCTCGGTGTTTATGAGCACCCTGACGGGTACGCTCATAAACGGGTGTGGTTGCGGTTGGTGGCAGGTCAGTTGAAGGCAATGAGGTCAAACAGTAGTTTTGAAAAAGTGCGCCGAAGGCGCGCCAAAATTTCGAAACTGAACAGGATGTGAGAGCAATCTTGGCATTGGCGACCACACGCGGGTCTTAGGGTTGGAGATTATGGCAAGTTAAGTAAATGGTAAATACCTACCTACCTGATTTGCAATATTACGCCCATGGAAGTCAACATTCGAAGAGCGTGAGTTTTCTTTTCTCGTATGGAGACAGCTTTTAGGATTTACAAGAATAGAAAAGTTACCCCGGCCGCGCCGGGGTAGGCTGAAAGTTACCCCGGCCACGGCCGGGGTGGCCGGGGCAGGTTCTCCACCCATGCCTCCGCTACCCGGAAAGGAGGGCTCTTATTGGCTGACACGTTTGTCACGTGGTGTTCCGGCCGGCCGTCAACGCCTGGACTCGAAGCGGATAGCCTTGAACATGAACCCCGCACCGGGCCGCGCCGGGCCAGTGCTCAGCAGTCGGCACCACCCTCGTCGGTAAGGGGGAGGGTGAACAGGAACACCCCCTCCCCGTCTAATTCGGCTCCTGGGCCATAAAGAGACAACTGCGTTTGAAAGAGCATCCATAATCGTAAAAAGTACATCGGTGAATTTTTTTGTTAAGTCAAAGGTCAGATCACCACAGGTCAGGTCAACCTCGCTTGGTTGAACACTTTTTGACAAATCGCCGCATAACTCGAGAGCGAATAGTTCTACAGTGACAATTTTCGCAAAAGTTTGAAGCTAACTAGCTTTCATTTATACTTCTCATTTTAATTAAAAAATAATTATGTAGGTTATTTAAATCGACGCCAGCAATATGTAAATTGTAAAACGTCTGTTTTTACACGCTCAGGATAAACTACGGAGCATAGGTAGGTACTAGAGAGGAAATACGAGGGGACATTGATGACCAAGATTATGCAATTGGCCGCACTATCCATGCATTTTGACTGTTAATCGTTTGAAGAAAGTAAAAATGTAAACGGACAGCAGTTGGAAGCCTGTGTTGCTGATCCGAGGCCCCCTCCGGAGCCGGGACCTACGCTGTGTAGCGTTGCCGTTGGCTGCCGCTGCCGGTCTGAGATAGAGGACGCTGCCTGTGCTGTGGTGCGGGTGCCGATCCGGCCGGGCCAGGGAATAAAATGTCTGCGCCTGGCTCATATCGATACAACAGGGTCAGGACTGTATGATACTATACATCAAATGCATACCAAAGGCCAGCGACCAAAATATTCCAAAGACCAGCGATTCTTCGGTTAAGGCCGGATGACACCAGCAGAATGGGGTCAGCGTGCCGGACGAACCATTTCATGAACGACTACAAATTACGATAGACAGCAATCAAATGAAACATTCGGGAAATATGATGATGATGGGGTAATGAAACCCTTCCTTGCTAGGGCCATCATCAGCCAAACACCATTATTAGGGAGCAAAAATGGTCACACCGATTACATAAAAAACACGAGATAGAAAGGCGCAAACTAAACGTTCAGAGCTCTCAGCGAGTACCTACTTTCGAAATTATTTGAGACATGCTCCGCTAAAATCAACATTGATTTGCCTGAAGGTTTACCTAATCTTGCAGATTTGCGGCCGAGATCGACAATATACAACGCTGTAGCTCGTAATCATAAAAGAGCAAATAGGGCGCAAACATAGCTAATTGAAAGACCTGTTGTGACAAATCGAATAGAGTTGACCCTAGGTCGACCGTTTGGCCATAAGATACAAAAAAGAAAACAACAACAAAAATGAATGACCAGCACAAGTGATGAATAAGTCATTATATGGTAACCCACGTCTTTGCCCTATGATTCCCGAGTGATTAATTATTCTTCGAGCTATAGTTTTTGGATTTCTCGCCAAAAAAATGCCGACAACACGGGGAGACGAGCGTACGTAAAAGATCGCAACAATTTTTTGGTTATTAATTCAGTGACTATTCAATTAAATAATGAAGTTAGTGGCCCGGGAAACATTCGAATATCAGGCAGAATGTGTGAATTAAATGCGAATTATGTAAACCATACGAAAAGAAAGAGGCAACAAGGCTAGGGAAGCCGTAAAGCCCAAAAGTATGCTTGTAAGCATATCTTCGTTGCATTCAGACAACAATTGCCGTTCACCTCACATTTTCAACCTGGTCCGATCCAACCCAGACACCGCCATTGAACGTGTTACGTTCCTCTGATGTTCTTCTATATGGTTTATGAATAGATGCCTGAAATAAGCTAAACTGATCTGAAATGAACCACCGTGATGATTGGATTTTACGACGAAAGTAAAAGAAATGACAGCGACAATTTGTGAGCAGGATCTGCCGAGGACGAGGAGCCGCCATGGACAATGGACAGTGGACACCTCAGCTCTCCGGCTCCCTGCGGTCTGCGCGAGCCGCGCGTCGCCTGCGTCTGCGGCTGTGCGACACACGCCGGCCGCAGTCGGCCCGCCCCGGCTCCGTCACTCAGTTCAGCGCTGCAGATCGCCGGCACACAGAGCCGCGCAGGTGAGCTAAACGGCACTACGTACCGCTCAGTTTTACGACTTGTTAAGTTTTATTTTTATAAACATTTCACTTAGAACCGAAGGAGAAGAGCCGATGCTGGAATAAGCAAGCGCCAAGCCGGAGCAGGTGATTTTTAATTTTTCATTTCACTTTAGTTCATTTATTGTAGAGAAGACTTTCTGGGTCTCTAATCCACAATATCTGCAATGCCATATCAACATTTCGCTTCATATCATATCCGTAAGGGCCAATTTCCGTAAAATTGCCTAGGCTATTTCTAAAACACCTATCTACACCGGCGGCATCATTTTGATTTGAAAGACTGATTCTAAATATACCTCAATTGCAATGAAATGACGAATTACTCTGGTGAGCAGCATTATTTGATGGAATAGCCATGTGTTCAAAGTTCTAAAAATTACCAGAAGTTACCAGAAAAAAAAACTTGAATATATTTCGGATGCGTTTCTTCAACGGTTCAAGTCTTGCCAGGTCATCGATTCAAGTTATGTCTTGAACCACATGAAGGAACGCCGCCGAAATATAACCAAGTTTTTTGTAATTTTTGGTAATTTTTGAAACTTTGAACACAAGGTCATTCCATTCAATGTCTATCCTCAGTTGCTTTATTGATAAAAAAATACTTGCCTAAGATCGACGCGGAAGGGTGTGCTAGAAAGCGTTTGGTCATCTAATCAGCGAAGTTGTTTATTAAATCAACAATTTGCAATGAACTAAACGATGCTTGGCTTGACTGCCTTTTGAGTACCAACAGACGTAATTCATGCCAGCGCTTTTTGATTAGTGGAAGACGGAGTAAGAACATTAAGGTCGGGCATTAGGAGCACTTTAAAAGCTGCGTGGTAGTGTCATACCTGAGCGTTTGCCATCTACCTATATCATAAAAATAATCAAGTAATTTGGTTTATTGATCCTAATTTCATATGAAGCTCAATTAATGATGCAAAGCAAGTCGAAATTAATTAGTCGCGGGTCAGGTTTAACTGCACTAATAAAAGACCTGCGATATTCAACGTTCAACGACTACGTTCGCCGAACCGCTAATTGCTGCAGCTGTTACGGGGAGCTACCAAAGGTTGAAATTGTCTTCTTCTTCCTTAAAAAAAAATGCGCATCTTCAATAATGATGATGGTAAAAACTCAATCATCCCCTTTCCCAACGCAAGAAATTACATGATATATTGAATTTTGATCTTAAATTTATGATTTTAATTATAAAAGATTAAAGTGTTCGGCATAAGCACCATCGAGTAAAGGGTAATCGTCCATCTGGTATAGGGTGAAAACGGAGCCGCCAATCGTGCAACGGTATCGAGTCTACGGGTCTTGAGCCGCATCCTGCTACATGCAACCGTGAAACGACGCATGTAGCTATGTATTTGTGTATCAATGTTCGCCGGAGTTCAGTAAGTTCGTGTGGTAGACGAGAGTATATTGAGAGCGTGACTTTGAAACAACTAGTTATAATCGGCAATGCGTTGGTAAATAGCATTTTAACTATTTTCATATTTGTTACCTTTTTGACGTGTGCTCATTGGCATTCCTATGCAATCTTAATGGCATGATTTTTGGGAAAAAGTCATAGAAACCCTAACGAGGACGTATATTTGAAATATCAACGTCGTCTACCTTATTGATATTCCCTTATGCCAAATAGGATTGCGTATAGGAATCGGTAAGGGTACACGTGGAAATATAACTTACATGGCAGAACAGGTAAAATGCTATGATTTATGTCATGGTCGTTTTATTTTCAAAGTCACGCTCTCGATGCATCCACGTCTGCCCCACGAATAAAACTCGCCGACTGAAGTGAGCGTCGACACACAAATAGCTGCATGCGTCGTTTCACGGTTGGGCAACGCATGTATCTTGGCACTGAGCAATGTATGACTCAAGACTCCCAATGGACATCTATAATTACCTGTGAAATAAACAATGGTTACCTAATCATAGCTAAAGAAACCCTTTTACTTTTCTAGATAAGTCATTCGGAGATGTTTAAAAAATATATGTTCATCCAATAAATTAACCCTCGCATGTGTAGGGGGGTCGGATGGACCCCCCCCCCATGGTTTTTCGCGAATAACTCGCGTAAAAAGCGGCCGATCGCGACGAAACTTTCAGTACCCTCGCATTGATCAATTTTACACCCACCCTGAAAATTTCATGACCCTGACCCAAATGACCTTTGACCTGTGACCTCTTTTCCGAGACCATGTTTGGCCGGAATCGCGATTTCGCGTATGTCGGCTCGCACTAGCCGCGTGTTTGCAAGCTTTTCGTGGTTTCAAACGTTCAAACATGTGATTTGATGTTACTCCCGTGTGTGTCAAGGTCACCTGAAGGTCAGGTCAGGTCATTGACCTTTGGTGACCTCGGGTGACCTCGGTTCACTTTTTCGAGTTTTACATGTTTCTAGGCTAGTTTTTTTTAGCTGAATTCGAATTTAGCAACCATTTGAACATTTACGAAGTAGTTTTGGTGACTTCGTAACATGTTACGAAGCTGTCAGAGGCGGTTGACACGTACTACGAATACCCGTCAGGACGCCTACTGGTTGACCTGACCTGACCTGACCCGACCTGGTCTAAATGCTTCAAGACATCATCTGTGATCAAAACTAACACGATATTCGTGATCAGCACCCCGAAAAACCCCTTAGCAGCCACACTTTACGACTTTCTAACAGGTCCCGATTTTCCCGACTTTGGATCATTGACCTGACCTGGAAGGTCAACCAATGACCTAGGACCTTAAAATTGGGTATCATCGGCTTCCTCTCGTCACGGGCAACACGCTCGTTTTTTCCGCGAAGCTCTAGCTCGATCAGGGGCCAAACGGCAAGGGGGGGGTCCAACCGACCCCCCCCCCCTACACATTAGAAGCTGGCAAACGCCGCACACATGCGAGGGTTAACTGTCCAAACTTGACGAATAAGCCACTGCAACGAGCTGTAACAAATAAGGTAACATTATACTTCGCAACATTCGGGTTTTTCAATGGCGTTGAAGTCAGTCTTACAGATGATAAGAAATACTTGGGTGTGTTCAACTCGAGTGTCGCACAGATGATGTGCGGATAACATTAATTTTGGTCCTGGTGTTCGCGTTGGTCAGATATCACTTTTCGAAGTTGTTCTGTACCTATCAAAATAATTAAAAAGTTGACTCGTCTTGATGATGCGAAAACATGTTACCTATGGTATCACCAATGACGGACCAACTTAGGCAGAAAACTGCCAAATAAAAGTGTAACTGTAACTAAATTCTTTATATAATATATATTATTTATATAGAATATTACAATATTCTTTATAATATTCTTTGACCTCTTTGGCATTTTGAGGTATAGGCCAAAGTTCCCGACATGAGGTAAATCTGACGCTTTGTCTTCCTAAAAACTAAACAGAGAAACAGATACAAAGTCGTGACCGCTTATTGAATACAACTCCACCCGCACCGATTAGTCAGAAAGCCCGTACAAATTCGCGCACAGGAAATTGCCGGTACACATTGCCCACTGGCCGCGGCCGGGCCCCGTGTGACGTCACGGCCCGGCCGCGCCGGGGGCGGTGTGCCCCGCCGTCCCACGGAGAGCCAGCGCCTGCGGGATTGGCCGCGCCCCGTATGTAGACAGATAGAATTAATGGCCCCATTCGGGGGATTAGGTGAACGATAGCCCATGTGATAGCACGTGCGAGGGCGGTGCGGTGCAGCCTCGGGACATGGGCAGAGAGAACACCTGTCACAAACAGGAAATGAGCCGCACACCGCGGCGGTAACTCATTCGTCACGGCGGTGTACGAATTCGTGTTTTGACCTTAAACCAAGCAGATGGAATAAAGCCGCTAAGTTGTTTTGTTTTGATGATTATCTCAATGGTATCCCCGTTGGTTGACTCGTTATCTGGTGGATTGGATGGAATCTAACTGATATGTTTTTCAGTAAAAATATAGAATACCAGACGCCTTTCTTGCGACGATCTCTAAACTATTTAACCGTATCGCTTTCTATGTAGTGCAACATCATTAAATCGATTCAGAATAGCAAAGCATCGGACCAGCTTTGAACCGTAGAGAAACTTACGTCAAACCCGTAACAAATGCTGAGTACAAGTAGCAATGTGAAGTAGGACTACAAAAAGCACTTGTAAGAACTTTTCTTTTTTACAGGTCCGATCTTTCTGACTTTTTCGCAACACACCACGTTCCTAGGTTATCTAGGTGAGGTGAGTTATTTACTTACGCAAGCGTATCTTTTTCAGGTGAAAATACATAGTTGACAGCAAACTCGATGGTGTGGACACGCCAATGGATATCGACAGTTCCTCTCCTGCTGGCGGCAACTCTCGGCTCTGCCTTCATTTACGAAGATGAAAAATCTCCACTGGAGTATGGTAGGTAGTGCTGCACCCCGAGTCTGGTAAATTACCTTACTGTGAGGAAACTGAAACTAATACGTCACCTATTGGGACCCACAGTTGAGTAACTAATAGACAGGCTATCAGCTTTCCTAACTCATCACCCAGTCCCCCGTCACACTCCTACACTGTGTGGTATGGTATTGGTGGCAGCTGCAAACGGCGGCAGGCGCGTTGGTGAAGGGCCGGCAGGCAGAGCGCCCGTGCGCAGCGTGCATCGGGCCGAGCCGACGCAATGAGGCGGCGGATAGGTAAGCCGGGATCCGGCCGGCTCCCAGTGATACCCCGCAACGGCGCAGGCCGCTTTGAGACATTTATCGTGAATAAGAAGCCGTGGGTGGGGGGATGTGGGTTGTTTAGTTACGTAGGAATAGGCTGCAAAGCCGATGGTGAGCTCGGCCAAGCTGGCTCAGCTTGAAATCACGTTTTATCGGCGTAACGAACATGTGTTTTTTTAGCAGTTCCTTGTTTGATGGATAATTGTAGAGGACATCCATAATTATGGTTCCATTATCCGGATGATAAGATTCCTCTGCCCACACACGGGACTGAAAAGAGCTGAGCATGGACTGGTTATTGGGCGTCCGCCCACACACAGTCAGGAAGGCCGGATTGACGGAGTCTGCCAAACAAGGATTAACTGTAGTCAATTGTCATGATATGAAGATGACACTTACATATATTGTGACAAAATAGGTGAATTCCCAGTAATGACGAAAATATTCAGTTAGGGCTGAGATTGAGACACCTAAGGACACCTAAGGATTCAAATGTAAATGTAAGAGGTAAGTTCAGAGGAATACGCATTGGCACTAAATGCCAATCAAATCAAAAACGTCCCATCAGTGAAGTTGACAACTAATGCATTGGTTATTATGAAACCAAATATTTTCAAGTCAAAGCGTATAACCACCTGCGTCTTAGTTGTATGAGTTTCCGACTCATTTATGGAGTGTCTGTCCTCGCTTGCTAAGTGACTGTCTCAGGATTTATTGATGATCCGTCTTAGTTTACTTGCTTTCTCACAATGTGACCGTCTCCTAACCGTCCCTGTTCTGCTTACTACTGAGTACTGAGTGTTCCTCTCGAATCACTTATTAGGATTGTCCGTCTCGATACAATGCGTGTCCGTCTCGATATATTGGGTGCCCTTCTCAGCTGATTGTCCGTCTATGCTGACTGCCTATCTGTCCGCGCCCCTCCATAGTCAGCCGACTGCGAGACGCGGTGGACGTCTGGTTGGACGCCTACAACACCGGTCTGCAGAGGGTGCGACACAGCACCGCCTCACTCGCCTGGGACATGAGCGTCAACACCACCCGACAGTCCATGGAGAAACTGGCGCTCTACGGACAGGTGGGTCGGCCCAGTACAGGCTGTAGGGACGGGGTGAGTCGGCCCAGTAGGCCGGAAGAATGTAGCGTTCAAGTTTCCCAACCCTCCGTACTGTATTTTATTTCACTTGCCAGCTAGATCAAATAGCTTGGAGTCTCGTACAATTTGAAAATAATCAATCTTGCGTCGTGGCAGTTTCAGCTCGCTGACAATAACAAATGGTACGCGTTTAAATGATGCACAGGTACGAGCACAAGGCTGTACGATGCGAAAAGGTGCGCCCGTATCCATGTAGTCAAAATTTAGAGGAAGGCTTCTGCCGCTTTTGACTAAGAAATGTGTGCCACCTTGGCCGACGAGTCAACATGGCCCTGGCTGTCGTGGCTGGAAAATGGCTGGAAAATGGCTGGAAAATGAAAAAACATGTGCATATGTTTAATCAAACACATATACACTAAGCCACGCTAAACACTAGCTTCTCCCTAACCCGCCCACTGCGCATTTCTCTGCGAGTACGAGGCTATCTTACGCTGCGGTCCATAGTTCACAAAACTGCTCACAGATGGCAGCAGCTCCATCACGCCTGGATAGTAGGCTGTACCGCAATACACCTGCTGACCGCGCGCCGTGTGGGTGGGCTGGGCACTTCAGCGTGGGCGCACCCTCAAACACAAATGTTTCCCAGTTCCATAGAATCGGGCTCGGCCATCAAGCCTGATATTGTCACCAATCATACACCATATCAAATGATATAATGAATCAAAGTAACTACAGCCTTAGATGTTACGCGGAGGCTCGTGCGTGGTGCTACGCCACACAGCTGTCTGAAAGTGCAGATAGCTTGGGCGGTGCAAGTTTACTCTTCGCGTTTGTAGAGGTGCTTAAATCACCCTCATAGGTCCATCACCGAGACTAGGCCAAACTTATTCAAATAAGTTGAATTTACTAAAAAGGAACTGGAAAAGTTTCCCGGAGGCTCAGCCGTTCTTTCAGAAGCTTACAAATAAGTTAATCACCAATTGAATTATTTGGCACCACATCTGACTTTTGGGTTCTGCTCCACTTCTATCTGATCCCAGCTTTTAACCCACTCTGCCATTATAATGCAAACTGTAGATGTAAAGCCGCCAGCCCCGCCGACCTCCCGCCTCCTCCTGGCTGCCGCCCCACGCCCACAGTGGCGGGACGTTTCCAGGGCTGACGTCTGCCGACTTAGCTGGGACGATTCGCAACCAAAGCCGATTAGAAGCTGAGCTCGACTCCATTAGGAGGCACCGGGACGCCGCCGAGGCGCGACTCAACCTGTCCGCGCGAATCAAGACAAATGCGCCGCGGCGGCGGAAACAAAGTCGGCAGTGGCACCGTCTGGCATGGCCGACCGTAGGGTGCTGACGTCGGGTGGGCGTGAGGTGACAGTCAATGACGTCGGGTGGGCATTCAGGAGACAGCAACTGACGTCGGGTGGCGACTGCCACTGAAGCTGGGCAACCGTCACTGACGTGAGATGTGCGACTGTATATGACGCTTCACAATCGTCGCTGATGTGGTGTGGGCAATCGTCACTGACGTCGGACAACTGTCACTGACGTGGGGTAGGGTAGGTGACCGTTCCTAGCGCTAGTTGACCGTCACTGACGTGGGGTGGATAAATTTCATCGACGTAGGGTGGTCAAGCGTCACTGACGTTGAATAACCATCTCTCAGATGATCAGATGCCGGCTACCACCCTCGGAGTGGCACGTGGCAACGCGCCTGCCTTGAAATGTAAGGAATGTGAATGGAAAATGACTGGATGCCAGCGAAGATTACATCAAACCGAGCTGCGATACTTACTTTATCATTTTCAGACACAATGCGTTTTTGATATTCTCGTAAGTGTTATGAAAACCCTGTACTGCGTTACAGATAGCTACCGCATGAGGAATGTTGATGACTATCGGCAGCTCATCGCCTCCGTGTTGCGCTCGCGTTCTTCGAAATCCAGGGGATTGGCACAACTATTTCTAATACACCTGTATCAGCAATCTCTCCATTCGTTGTTACGGCTGCCCGCAGGACCTGACGTTCGACGAGTCTCCGCCCGAGGCGCAGGAGATCCGGCGGCTCAGTGAGCTGCTCACCCCGCTGCAGGCTCGTCAGATCGGTCTGATCAGCGACCGGCCGCGCTACCCGGAGAACATGTACTTGTGAGTGGACGCTGCGGTCACAGCGCCAGCAGAGGCGTGTGACAGAGCGGGCGAAGGTAGTTTATGACACAGATAATGTCCCACTCTGTACTAAAATTGTTGCACATACAAGGTTATAAAATTCCTTACTGTCTATTCCCACTATCGCGTCAACAGTGTCAATTTTGTGAGACCGCCAGTTGTACCAATCGACGAGGAAATATGATCTCAGGCCCACCGATAAGAATCACTGCTCTATTATTCATTGGGTTGACCAAGCACATTTCACAATGGAGCCGCGGTTAGTTGCGCAGCGCACTGAGCCGATATCCGGCGGCGTCCGTAATGAGCTCTGCACCCGAGAGCCGCCGCCCTTACACCGCGCAGCGCTCGATCGCCCAGATGGGCCTTCTAATGATGACTGCATATTCGTTTCCCCGCCCGCCACTCCAATATTCGAGATAATGCATCATTCCATTGGGATAAGGCCTTTTTTAATGGGTCGAAGGCTTACCAAATAACAAAGGCATCGAAACACTAGAACGCGGGGATCTGCCATTTGCAGGCGGCCACTGTAATGGAGTGTTGTCATGGCAGCATAAATCCGGTCGCATAAAACCTGACCGACCGATAAGCCAGGCTCGAAATGACCCCGAGCTCTTGATCGCACAGACATGCGATCATCACTCCTCAGTCTTGGCAATAAAAAAGTCGAGCTTGACTGTGCGATTTTTCTTGCATTTTAAATGCATGTGCCATTGTAGGTAAGTCATTTCATGTGTCCAGTAAATTACCAAGTCGTTGAAAACCTCCAGTTCTTGATGTACATTTTTTTATTTATCCCTACATCTCATCTCTCCCCCACAGCTCGGCCCGCTCGCTGATGGTCCGTCTGGAGCGGACCTTTTCCAGCGCCACAGTCTGCGACCAGGAGCACTGCTACCACGCCGAGCCCGACCTGCAGACTCTGATGGAGACCTCCCGCGACCCGGACCGGCTGCTCTGGGCCTGGACGGGCTGGAGAAACGCCGTCGGACCGCCCATGAGGGAAGTCTACCCGCAGCTGATCGACGTACTCAACAGTGGAGCGAGACATGCGGGTTAGTCGGCGCCGGATGGTTCTCGGTGTAGAATCTGTTAACAATTTATCAGCTGAGTGTTGAGTGTTGAAGAAAGTCAAAGGCCATGGAAAAAAACAATTGAATGATATTAGCGGAATGGATGATGTTAGCGACGCCCATCAGGCCTTGCCGACTAACGCCACGTGGTGGTGACGACCCATCTCAGGGCTCTTGGTCAGATGGCAGCCCGTCACTCCCCACCCCCGGCCGACCGCAGGGTTCCCGGACATGGGCGCCGTGTGGCGGTACGAGCTGGAGATGCCTAACATCGAGCAGACCGCGGCCGGCCTGTACGAGGAGATCAAGCCGCTGTACCAGCAGCTGCACGCGCTGGTGCGGGCCCAGCTTCGCAGCTACTACGGGCCGCAACTGGTGTCCGCCGACGGCCCCATCCCGGCCCACCTGCTCGGTAAGTCACTAGCTATCGGTGCACAAGATGTCTATTAGTGCACGACAGCACGACACGCATGACTGCACAAAACGGCTGACAGAAAATGAGATCCCAGTACCAGACGGACAGCGCAGCAGACAGTTTCCGGCGGAGCTAATTTTCTTGTTTAAGTTCCGTAGATGCCGAACGGATAAATTGTGACTATCGATTCCCGAGAGTTTCCCTACTTAACCGAGCCACATTCTAAGCTATGCATTACCTATTTAGAAGACGTATTGCAGCATAATTAATGTAAAAACGCACACCTGCACAGTAATCACACTCTGGCTCTAGTTGTAACCGTTGCCTGTCCTATGCACCGTGGAGTCACTCGCCACCTCGTCAACAGGCAATCTGTGGTCGCAGAGCTGGCAGTCGCTGGAGGACATTGTCAGCCCGCTCTCTGAAACTCAGCGACCGGACCTGAGTCGAAAACTCGCGCAAAAGTTCTCCGTCACCGACTTCGTCAAGGTTTGTCGCCTACAGAATATTGCTGGTTGAACGGCTGGCGTGTTTTCTGAACTTCCCCTCAAAAGTTACTTTAGATCTTCGGAGAATCACGATCGAAATGATTCAGCGTTTTGTTGGAGTCACTGGAGTGTAGCTTGCCATAAGACCAATTCCGAACGTCCGAATGTTTACTGTAAATGTTTTGTAGGCCAACTAAAAACTAACGTCTACCTCTACATGTAATCTGACGTGATGATTGTTTGGGCAGCTGGCTGAAAATTTCTACGTTTCACTGGGACTACCGCCGATGACTGAGAAATTCTGGCGAAACAGCATCTTCCAGCGCCCCGATGACAACCGCAACATGACCTGCCACGCATCGTCTGCTGATTTCTTCACAGACGACGATTTTAGGTGAGTCAGAAACGTGCTGACCATTTCATTTACCTTGGGCGGCACTGGCCAATATTGATCATTGAGCATTGTAATGAATACCATCTCGAACGGTGATGTCAGACTGCCTTACAAGGTCGAACACTGCGCGTCTGTGACCGCCTGCGTTTACATCACAGAATCCTGATGTGTCTGGAGCGGAACGAGCGAGACTTTGGCGTCATCCACCACGAGATGGGCCACATCCAGTACTTCATGGCGTACCGACACCTGCCCACCATACTACGGGTACGTACGACTAAGCGGTCCCCATTTGCATAGCGACAACTTTGTTTACCCACACTATCCAGTATATCCAATAATCCAAGGTTGTATAGCTACAAGAAACATCTAATTCAGATGTGGTGCATGCAAACTGAGCTACATGATACTGAGCTGTTACCTACAAAGTGGCTTCCGCCTGCCCTGTGTCGATATTAAGTCGCTCCTGTCAATCAGCCGTCTATCCCGGGCTACCTGAGTGGTCTGTGTTACCTGAGTTTCCTGGCTTACCTGAGCGGCCCGTGTTACCTGACTTACGTGGGTTACCTGACTGGTCTGTGTTACCTGAGGTGTTTACATAGCCTTGCCTGAGGTTGATGAGTTACCTGAGTTACCTGACTGGTCTGTGTTACCTGAGACTGATGAGTTACCTGGGTTAGTTGACTGGTCTGTGCTGCGCCAGGACGGCGCCAATTCTGCCTTTCACGAGGCAGTAGGGGACACGTTTTTCTACTCGATATTCGGGCCGGCGCACCTGCGGAGACTGGGGCTCATCGACGACGATGGCTTCTCACCAGGTGAGACTAGAAACGATGACGAAAGGCGTTCAATTGATTACTATGGTAATGACCTGATACTTGAGAGGATGTCATTTGTAATTCCCACGAATATAACGGCAGTCCCGTAATGAGCAAATTGCCGGGTCGAAAATCAAGCGACTAAGTGGCCATTAACCTCGCCCTCTTGTGGAGTGGCATTCACTTGAACCTTCAGATTCTTCAATTTAGGAATGTCACATTTTGTGTGCGTTCATGTTGCAGCGTCGCAACAAGTGGCGGCCAATGCAGCTAAAACGTGGCTAAATCTTTGTCGATTCACATCAGTTCCTGTGAAGAAAACTGCGAATCGCCGCACAACAGCCACGAAATGTCCACTGTCGACTGGTAAGTCTCATCACCGGACGGATCTGACTGAGTCTGACCCCTGTTTCAGAGCGGAGCCTGCAGCTGCTGCTGCAGCGGGCGCTGGCCAAAATCCCTCTGATCGGGTTCAGCCTGGCACTGGACAGGTGGCGCTGGCAGGTGTACGCCGGTAGGGTGGCGCCCGAGCGCTACAACGCCGCCTGGTGGCAGCTCCGCGAACAGCTGTCAGGGGTGCGCCACCCCGCCTGCACTGCCCAACAGATGGAGGCCGGCTGCAACGCCGACGGCATGGACCCCGGAGCAAAGTTCCACGTGGCAGATAATATTCCGCATATCAGGTAGATACGATCGCTGAGTCGCCGCAGGATAGCGGAGCTGCCAAGCCCCACCGTGCGACAGGCAGGCCTCAATTTAGCAAATATTCAACACATGTGGTCGAAAATTAAGGTCCTTCTCCCCGAACTCTCTTTCGGTTTTAGTGCTGCATCAATATACAATGAAACATCGTTAGCATGCTTTATTGAAAAACCTGCAGGTGCCTTTAACAACCGCAGTAGAGGACTCTTCTTCCCATGTTTAGCGGTTGTGCTGATTTCTGACGTTGTCTTCAGGTATTTTCTGGCCGTCTTTCTGCAATTGCAGTTTTTCGAAGGTCTCTGCGAGGCAAAGTACGGGTCACCGCTGCCCATACCTCTACATGAATGCGACCTCTACGGATCCCGCGAGGCCGGCGACAGGCTCATGTAAGGCTACTTAATGCTTATCGTAAGGCCAGCTGGCACACCAGGCACAGCCATGTTCAACAATTGAGATACTGTTGGTCAAGTCACCTCTCACAGCAGTCCTTCACATAGGTCTCATAGTTCGACTTCTTTAGTTGTAGGCATATCTATGCAGAGGCTAAAAGGTGGCATCGATATTCAGCGCCAAAATTCGCGTTAATTTCACCCAACTGCTCTTACCGTATTATAACTCAAACTCAAAACCAAGAATGTATGATTAGGCTATAGGCTACAGATTGTATTAAAAATTAATTACAGGCTTGATGAGCTCTTACTTTTGGATAGTGATAAGCATAACCCCTTTGCTACCAGTACCACGCTGAGAGTCCCTCATGTCGGGATGTCCGCAGGGCGATGCTGTCTCTGGGCAAGGGCCGCTCGTGGCAGGACGCCCTGGAGGTGATCACCGGCTCCCGGGAGATCTCTGCCCAGCCTCTGCTGCGCTACTTCCAGCCGCTCCACGACTGGCTGGAGGAGGAGAACCGGCGCACAGGCCGGCCGGTCGGCTGGGGCGGCCAGTGAGCGCCGACCGCGGCCCCGGTCCCTCCGTCCCCGGTCGTGGCCCAAGTCCCTTCGTCCCCGGTCGGCTGGGGCGGCCAGTGAGCGCCGACCGCGGCCCCGGTCCCTCCGTCCCCGGCACAGGGTCGGGTGCGCTGTGTACCACTACCGTCCTGCAATTACAACCCGCTCGCTGGATGACCCTGAGCACCAGGCGCCGATCTCAGAGACTGCTCTGATCTAGGAAACCGGACGTGTCAAGTGTCCATCTCCGACCTCGATGTTGTCCATCAAAGACTGGTTGTGAAGTCGCTATCTGCGACTGCTATATGTATATGTTTTGTTGGCTTTGCCAGGGAGGTCTCGGTGCCATCAATGCTGTGTATTGTTTGATTCGAATATATGTATTATAAATAAAGATACAGGACCGTGATCGAACGCAACTTCAAGCTACGTAATGATTGACTACAAATATCCGGTAAGAAATTATTACGGAGCGAGCGAAGCGAGCGTAGTCTTTCCTTAGATTAACGGAAATTTCTGAGTATGAGCGGCCGGCCGGCCGGCCGGCCGTGGTCACGCTTTTGCGAGGCTTATATCTCAGCAACCACTTGACCGATTTACATGCGGTAATTTTTGTAGGGTAGCTTCATTCCTTCTACCAAGTATTGCACTATTCCCGATGCATGTGGGTGATCCCTTATGCACGTGCCACGTGCAAAACGAAGAGGTGTCACTTTTGTAATTGTTGCAATATCTCGGTAACTACTGGGCCGATTGCGCTGAGAGTTGGCATGTAGGTAGGCACCCACTAGGCAATGCATATCCATGTGCCAGAGTTGGGGTGCTGCTGCACGTGCGCACGTGCAGGGGTCGTTTCCAGATCTCGAGAACGGCTGGACCGATTGCGCTCAAATTTGGTACACGGTTACGGAGCAGTTAGTAGGGTGCCGTGCACAAGTCAGTTGGGACCCATTTTGCACGTGCGCACGTGCAGGGTGCCGCTTCCAGATCTCGAGAACGGCTGGGCCGATTGTGCTCAAATTTGGCACATCGCTAGAGACCGGTTAGTAGGGTGCCGTGCACAAGTCAGTTGGAGGTACCCCCTCGAAATTTCGCACGTGCAAGGCCCACCCTCTCGCTCGCTCCGTTAGTCGCCCCAAAAGGCGTTATACTGGTTCAATGCTCTGTCATTACGGAGCGAGCGAAGCGAGCGTAGTCTTTCTTCAGATTAACGGAAATTTCTGAGTATGAGCGGCCGGCCGGCCGGCCGTGGTCACGCTTTTGCGAGGCTTATATCTCAGCAACCACTTGACCGATTTACACGCGGTAATTTTTGTAGGGTAGCTTAATTCCTTCTACCAAGTATTGGACTATTCCCGATGCATGTGGGTGACCCCTTATGCACGTGCCACGTGCAAAACGAAGAGGTGTCAGTTTTGTAATTGTTGCAATATCTCGGTAACTACTTGGCCGATTGCGCTGAAAGTTGGCATGTAGGTAGGCACCCACTAGGCACTGCATATACATGTGCCAGAGTTGGGGTGCTGCTGCACGTGCGCACGTGCAGGGGTCGTTTCCAGATCTCGGGAACGGCTGGACCGATTGCGCTCAAATTTGGTAAACGGTTAGGGACCGGTTAGTAGGGTGCCGTGCACAAGTCAGTTGGGACCCATTTTGCACGTGCGCACGTGCAGGGTGCCGCTTCCAGATCTCGAGAACGGCTGGGCCGATTGTGCCCAAATTTGGCACATCGCTAGAGACCAGTTAGTAGGGTGCCGTGCACAAGTCAGTTGGAGGTACCCCCTCGCAATTTCGCACGTGCAAGGCCCACCCTCTCGCTCGCTCCGTTAGTCGCCCCAAAAGGCGTTATACTGGTGATATATTGAGCAGGGTGCTTCAAAGAAAGCAAATCCTTCACGTAGTTGGCGCAAGGCACAAATTGAAATGTATAAGTCCAATGTCTTTCATCAATAATGACACAAAAAAAATGCTACAAATAAACACGGCACTATCAATGGCATACAGCGCTCATAATCCAGTTTGCAACAACCAAACACTTTGCAATCACAGTGCGGTCTGAAATCTCGCTGTTGGCTTGCTTATCACTATCATTTTATCGCTTTCAAAATACATCTCAAAGCGATCCAGACTGTCTGAAGTTGATGAAAGACGGCCCAACTGGAAAAGTTAGGAAATTTGTGATATTTGAATGATATCCACTTCCACTCATTCCGCAGCAAAATCGATGTAGTAAACCTCCTCATAATCGGGATTCAATTGGTGATCGGGTATAAGCGGCCTACGCTTCCAAGGGCAGCTGAATTGTTTACAAGGGCACCTTCGAGACGGTGCTGATACGTGACTATCCGGCGATGCCCACTGTCCATTCACACCCGAGTGCGTCGTCCGTGTGCCCATCTATCATATAGTACGGCTAGCTTTCTGTCGGCGAGCTGGTTAGACCGTCAGCCGACGGCCCGGACTCAGTCCTTTACTCCCAAGTATTTCAGCAAGTCCACCGCCTCTTTGTGAGCCTGAAACGACGTCGCGTTTCAAAACACGATATAAGCCCTAGGGGCCAAGGTCTAGGGGATGCTGCTGCGCAGTGCGCAAAGGGAAAAACGATTACGTTAGGGTGGCCCCTGGGCTCTGACCTGAGGTGATGACCTCTGACACGACGTAATCGTTTTTGCCTTTGCATGGCAGAATGGGTATAGATTAGTTACGTTCTTGTCCTCGAAAATAACTTCAATAAAATTTAAATTATTATCAACGCACTGGCCCTATGCAACCAGGAAAGTTCAGAGTAAGCAAATTGTCAAATGATTAATTGTAAAGTAATGCAAAAATGATCACGTAAGAATAGTTTCATTTGTTAGCAAAGGGGAAAATGACAGTATGTATTTAAACGAATAAGAGGTTAGACTAAGTGTTTTAATAATGGTGGAAAATGTGGCACCTACTAGAGATGTCAATAAAATACCAAATTGTCAGTATACCAATACCAAACCGATACCAATTTGGTATTTGGTACTTTATGCCCAATATCTGTCACATATTGTTGGTTTCAGGAATCTTTACGCCTGTCTTAACGAGTATGTTCTGATTCCGTAATTAACATAAATTCCCCTCTTTTTCTCGATATCGGTTCGGTGTTTGGTATTTTCATAGTTTCAGTTAGCCGTTGGTTTGGCTTCGGCTTCGATTTCTCAATCATAAGTAGGTAATTGACATCACTAGCAGCTACAAGCAGAACGTAGTGGAACCTACCTGTTGGTCATCCATAGTTTTCACCGGGTAATCCCGGGTCTTTTTCAGGTACACGATCGCGTTGTCGTTGTCCTTCAGCTTCTGATACGACTTGGCGATCATGAGTAAATTCATACTGTAAGAGGACATGTTCATGATCATTTTCGTGCCGACAGTTGTCTTATTCAACAGTTGGGTTATGTTCCCATCATACCTTTGCTTTGCAATATCTATTACAAGCTACGTGGGCATTATTTCTACAGAAAACATCGATTATCACATCATTCAAGCAATCTGAATGGAAGTAAGACATAAACAGGTGAAATGCTACTCGACCATCACTAGAAATTAACAGGCACAGCGTGTCACACTCGTGGCCCTGGGAGCACCATGACATTACCATAACCGGGCCGTGCTTGAGCAGCCGCACTCACCTATAGGAGCCCGGCTGGGCCTCCTCCGCCTTCAGGAAGTACTCGAGCGCCTCCTGGAAGGTGGCCTTGGGCGGCTCGCCGAATATGACCTGCGCCAGCTTGCGCATGGTCCAGGAGATGTCGGCCACGGTGAACGCCCACATTCCGATCAGGTGCCAGTTGGTGGGGTCGGACGGACCGTACTCACAGGCCTTCTGTAAACGGCCGGCGGAGGGGGAGAGATGGGTCAGGAGGAACCGACTTTAGCCATCGATTCTCACCGAAGGAGAGCTTGCAGAACATCGATGATCGATGACACACATGTGAAATGAGTCGGTTGTCCGCTGGGCGATTTTTCCCGGTGTACGTACTTTAGCATCGGAACACCATTTTCCTTTTTACGAGAACTATGTTCATTTAGACTTATGGTTAGCAATGTAATGGGAAACTTGCCTGTAACCAGGTGCTGTGGAATGGACTCTGGTTCTGGTACCGATGGAGGATGCTCTCATCAACTGAGAGATCGTAGAGAAGGGAGGAACAGGAACCAAGAAAGGATACTGGAAAGGGAAGTGGCAAAACGCAAGGCTAGATTTTGAAGCCCGAAAATAATCGCGAACAGGTAATTCAATGGGTAACTTTGAACAGGCTGAGGGCGCTGAGCGTTGCCTGCATGTTAGTCCTAATTCATAAGAAATCTGGAAATTCCGTGAACAACAATAGCGGCCGGTAATTATTCAATTACGCTCTTCTTGTCATCTCACAGATACTCACCAGCATGTGGCCCTTGATGACCTGGCCCTGTTCGATCTGCGCCCGCGAGCCCTGCAGCTTTGTGATGGCGTTCAGGTAGATGGCCATCCACTTGTGACAGTTGGGGTGCTTGTCGTTGAGCTGCATGGCACGCTCCACGGTCACCTTTCCCTGCTGGAGGTAGGACAGCTTCTCGGCGTCCGAGCCGAGCCGTTTGTGTTGCTCGTACATGGCCCGGGCCAGACGCCACAGCAGCTCCACGTCGTCACACTCCTGCATAGAGGGGAGAGACAGAGAGGGAAAAGGAGAAACAGAGTTGATTAGAGGGGGTTAATAATTAATTTTAAATCTTTCCTGAACCACCTTTGTTACTTCTTTACGGCAGGAAGTCCAAATAAAAAAGTATCTAAAATAGGTATCATCAAGCCCGACTACCAATCTCAAGGATATGGCAAAGCTTGACTTTAAACGACCGTACATATGTCAAACAAGAGCTGGATTCGCTAATAATATGATAACAATCAGCGAGCGGCGGTAGGGAGGCGTACCTTCTTTGGCTCGAGTATCTCCACTATTTTGGCATATTCCATCTGGTCATACAACTGGTCAGCCTGAGAGCTGAGCTCAGCGTCCGCCATGGCTGCTGTCCCAACAGAGGCCGCGCTAAACACTAGCAGAGCAGCTGGCTCCTGGAAGAAGCGGAGGTAGCGATATTTTAGAAAACAACATTGAAGAGTGCACATGACGAGACAAGCAGTGCTCAATGCCACCGTTTTCCTCAATGCTGCTTTTTGCTACTATGCTTGCCTTTTTAGCAGCTACACCCTAAAGACCTGAGATTACCTAGCAGCTAGCACCCCACTACCTGATGACAGTAAATGACTGAGTCCTCAGATTTGATCTAAAGTCAAGGGTTTAGCCCCCAGAGGGCAAGCAAACATGCCAAAATGATGTGCTTGTGGAAGCGTTTTTCTGCAATTACTTTCACAAAAACCATGCATGGTAATTTAACCAGCATCATATTTCTCTTGAGAGCATTGCACAAAGTCAACAACTTGACCTTAAAAAGTAAACTACAGAACTTGACAAAAGATCAAGCTTATGACCCAACCATAAAATGATAAAAGGTAAATATAAATCATTGAGCTCAACACATTCAATGTGTCCTTCAGTGCTCTAGCATATTTGGATCAAAAGTCAGTGGCAAAAATTGCTGAACACCTTCCATGACCCAACATGACCATGGGGCTATAAGCAATGAGGTGGTCAAGGTACATCATCAGCTAGCAAATATTGATAACCTTTATCAGTTGATTTAAACATCACTGCTTAACAGTTAACTATTTTGCTGTTTCTCTCACCTTCAATCTCAACAAGACAGGAGAAAAGGTAGAAGACTTGATGATGAAATTGGCATGGGCTTTCAGGAATGTGGAGATTGACTTTGGCCTTAGAACTCTGATTTCTTTTTTAGCCCAATTAAAAAATGCTTGCTGCAAACAACTCTGCACTCGCTGCACTTGCAGTAACCTTAAAACCCTTGACATGTTCCTGACTCCTAACTTGTAATGAAATGACACATGTAAATAACCATTTAGGCATTTAATGGGATTAACACTTTAATCAAATCATATTTTGCCACAAGAAAAATGAACATAAAAAGGTATTTTTAAGTATTCTAAAATTGGTAGGAATTGAACTTTTTCCCATCTTTAGAAGCTAGAATTAGATAGTGTTTGCAGCAGATGCTGATTATGCATTGACCAATCAGTAAAATCACATTACCTAGTTCAAACCAGCTGCATAATGGTTGGCTAACAATTGGTCTCAGCATAGTTGGCTGCATTCCTGGCATTCTTTTGTACGGGGAAAAAAATCCCTGTGTAAGGGAATAATTTTGGCACAAGAAAAGTAATATCTTTGCCTAAGTTGATCATTGGTCTATGAAAGCTCCTGATATGTGCTAGTCTCTTCTCAAGCTACAAAACTGCTTTTTCAGTTCCAGCCCCCATGTTAACCCCCCCCCCCCCCCCCCCACAGGACTTGGAAGTTGGAACCTGCCAGGCATAAATGCACAGGTTAACCTCACCTCACCCAATGCAGAATTTTAACAAAAAAGTATTGTGGACAAGAATTTGTGCTTACAAAGATTTGCCTGGTGACCCAGCCAGTGGCAAAGTCAAAGTGAATCAGAGAAGCTTTCAAAAGAAAACCACTGTTTCTCCAAAAAGCCAGAGTTTGACTTATGAAAGCGAGTACCAATAGGGTCTATAACTCCTGTGGTTAATCTAAAAAATATCGGAGGAGGTTGAACAATGCATGAGCTTTAAGAAGTCTTAAGAGCAGCCATGGGAACATTTACGCAAGAAAATAAAATAACCATCAACTTCCATTCACCTAACGCATAGGTTTCACACAGAACTATAACAATAATAGATGGACAGTGTTCTGACATATAATTGCCTGGTTGTGCAGTTAGTGGCAAAGTCAAAATGAGTTACGGAAGCTTGCAAAAAGAAAATTTTGGCTCTCCAACAAGCCTGCGATGGATCTTTTTTGTTTCACTACAAAATGTTTGGCAGTCAAAAAGCAATCAAACGAAATGGATACCAACCAAATCGACACAGACAACCCAATACCCACGGGTCAAAAATAACCCTTCTTCGCGTTGCGGAGTACGCGGGTAACCCTAGTTTTAGCTATAAAAGCAAGAAGGCATGGCTCATGCTCGATGCTGGAAGTGGGACTCCTAGGAATCTTGGGCAACTCATGAGTCATGGGCTCACATTACGAGCACAGAGCAACTGAACACATCCCAATATGAATCAAAATATAAATGTATAAATTGTGGAATTTGATTTCATTGAAACCTTCAGATGACCCAACGCCCTACACTGATACGCACATGTCCTGAGTCAGAATCCCGAGTCAAAGGGCCTGTTCCAGCGCCTCCAGAAGAAATTCTTGACTGGAGGCTCTACCAGAGGTTTTACTGGAGGCGCTGGAACGCAATCTGGAGATTTCTGGAGATTGGCGTCATAGATACCAAAAGAATGACGATTGTTCTCTCTTGAAACGCAAAATTTGTTTTCAATTTTAGTTAAAAAGATAAATAAAATTATAGCAATGTAATTTTCTTTACATTCAAGTTGTAAAATAATCAGTCAAATGTCCTTTGTTTACATTCGTGATTGTCACATGTGCACCATAATTGTAGACCAGAGCCTCCAGAGAAATTTGGACCTCTCAACTCTCTGGAGGCTACTGGAGGTTTCTGGAGCTTTGGCGAGAGCTTTCTGGAGCTTTCTGGAGGCGCTGGAACGCTCTCTGGAGGATTCTAGAGCTTTCTGGAGCTTTCTGGAGGTTTCTGGAGGCGCTGGAACAGGCCCAAAGCAAGAGTCAAAGGCGATTTTTTTTTACAGCCCGATGATATGGAAGCACTCGCTCTCGGCATGTAATGCGCAAATGAGACAATGCGAAGAGTGGGTTGATAAGAATCGCACAGTCATGTTCGTGCTTTCGCCTCACGACGAACTAATTCAGGTGCTTTTCCGCAATTGCTTTCAAACAATATATTCGTAACTGACCCAGTTACCGTCACAAATATATTTGCCCAACACTTTGCCAACACATCGTCTACAGATATTTACTCCTTGAGCGTGCATCGAGCTCTCGTTAATAGAACAGTAAATCTTGATTTTTCTTCTGCAAACTCTGAACCATACAATGCTCCTTTTACCCTAAGAGAACTTAAACTATCCCTAGCAAAGGCAAGCACTAAAACTTCGGTAGGACCAGACTCCATTCCATATTCTTTTTTCACAAAATTGAACGAACTCAACCTTTCCACACTACTGATAGCATTCAACAAACTATGGACTGAGGACAACTTCCCAGATGAATGGCTTAAAAGTATAATCATACCTATCCTCAAACCCGGCAAAGACCAGCACGACGCAAATTCGTATCGCCCAATCTCACTAACCAATTGTGTTTCCAAGATTTTCGAAAGAATGGTAAACAGGCGCCTGCGATTTTACCTTGAGAGCAACCATTGCATTGATATATGTCAAAGCGGTTTTCAGAAAAATCGTAGTACGGCAGACAATATCATTCGCCTTATCTCGGACATCCAGGTAAACTGGGAACATAGGCGACCGACTGTTGCCATTTTCCTAGATCTAATGTCAGCCTTCAACAAGGTACACAGTTCGACGATAATTTATAAGCTGCACTCAATCGGAATCAGAGGCCATTTGGCTGCTTTTCTTCAAAATTTCCTAAAACCCCGAACTTTCAAAGTTCGTTGCCAAGCGACACTTTCTGACGACTTTGTAATGGAACATGGCGTCCCTCAAGGCAGCGTGCTGTCACCTACGCTGTTCTTGATTGCCCTGAACGATATGCTCCTACTCCTGCCACGTGTTCTAACATTTTCTGTCCGCTATTCGCTTTTTGCTGATGATATAGCAATATGGGTATCCCACAAAAACTACAAACAGGCTTATTCTATATTGCAAACAGTGGTTGATCACTGCGTTAAATGGTGCACAAAATGGGGATTCTTTTTGTCAGCACCAAAATCAGTCATGATGGTCTTCAAACGTGGACCTCGACCATCGCTTGAAAGATCCCCACACATCGATGGGATTAAAATACCTTTTTCCACGTCACACAAATTTCTAGGGATCATTTTGGATACTAATCTAACCTTCCGTCAACACGTTGAGCACCTAAGAGCACGTTGTATTAAACGAATCAATGTCCTAAGATGCATATGTGGGTTTTCTTGGGGTGCGGACAGGAAAACATTGCAAATGTTGTATATTGGGCTAATCAGATCTACGATTGAGTACAATTGTTATCTGTTTAGCACACTGTCGCCCAGTTTATGCAAACGTCTAGAAGCCGTCCAATCAACGTGCTTGAGACTTCTAACTGGGGCTTTTCGCACATCGCCAGTTCTTGCGCTTCGTGCAGATACCGTCATTCCAGCACTTGATGACCGACGCGTCTTTCTTTTCCTCCGCTATTACTACAGAGCAAAAAGTGTTCGAAATCACATTGCGGTACCAGCAATGGAGGCGAGGAAACCAAGAACCCGACGCCCACTGCGTAGATCGTGCTTTCTACCCGGGTGCCTTGAGCAAGCTCATCAACTGCTAAACATTAGGCGCACTGAAGTTACTCTAAATCCTCCTATGATTCCATTTTGGCTCCTCAAAGACCTATCCATTGAATTTCTTTTTGATTATAAGAAGACCAGTATACCTCCGGTGGAAGCTCAAATGCTCTTCCAGGAGTATGTAGAGCTCAACTGCGACTCTGCTTTTTTCTTCACAGATGGCTCATGTCACGAAAATCAGATAGGTTCAGCAGCCGTCGGCCCTGGGCTTAGGTTTGGGACCCGGCTTCAAGAATTTACGACAGTCTTTAGTGCCGAAGTTCACGCAATCGAAAAAGTTATGGAGCACATCAAGGCAGAAAAGATTGATCGGGCAACCATTTGTACTGATTCGAAATCCGCTCTTCAAGCACTGGAAAGGACCGATAATGTTACCCACCACGGTATCTACAATATTCTCAGGATCACATCAGATCTCAATGAGGGCCAGCATGTGACCCTTCTTTGGGTTCCAGGTCATTACGGTATTGCAGGAAATGAACGTGCGGATGTCCTCGCAAAGGAGGCTGCAATGCGACCTGATCCAGTTGTGGAACCTATGGCCCAAGGGGACGCTATTCATATGATAAAAATCAAATTCGCCGAGTACCTTCAACGCAAATGGGACCAACATCATGCTGCACATATGTATGCGATCAAACGAGAACTTAGAACATGGGTCACATGTAACCAACCAGACAGGATACGCGAGGTGACCCTGGCCAGATTGAGGTGTGGTCATACTCGCCTCACCCATGGCCACCTTTTTGATAGGACAGGCCCTCCGATTTGCCACACCTGTGACACACGCATCTCCGTAGAGCACATTTTGATCGCATGCACGGCATTGCATCACGAACGAAGACACATCACTAACTATCTTGCGGTACAACACCTTAAAAACGACCTCCCGACGCTTCTCGGGGACGACACAACATTGACAAACCTGGTACTTGATTTCGTCCTAACATCACCCTACTCAGAGCTGTTAGCAGGCCCTTGACTGTTAGCCCTTGACTGTTAGCAGGCGCCCGTTTCGCTACCACCAGGCTGACTTGTGATACGGGGTGGGTCGGGTTTTTCGCTGGTGCCGAAACACAGAGCTTCGGTGGCAGACGGGTTTTCTCCTGCCGCTGGAGCAGGCTTAGAGGCTCAGCGGCCCAGCGAGCTACACCAGCGGACCCCGGCCGCTGAACAGCGGCGGCGGCCGGGTTGAACGACCACAGTCCACAGAAAACCGTCGGCCGCCAACTGCAGCAGCGACAGATTCCCCATCCTCCAAACCATTCCTTTCATCGTGACGCTTAAACATTCACAAACCCCATCCCTCCCAGCGACATATCCCCCACTCTTCAAACCATTCCTGTCATCCAACTCTCGTAACCTTACCATTCACAAACCTCCTCCTTCCCTCCCTTCACAAACATCAATTTACCGGTAAGTTTCACTGTCATTTATGTGTCTTAACGTAAATTCATGGGTTTTTTCCCATATTCATGGCATAGTACATGGATATGGGTTTTCCCATGTTGTCTTGCTGTGTAAAAGTGGCCACCGGTCTTAGTTAGGACGGCCGGTTTGTTTTGCGCGGCGTAGTTAGGTCGCCGCCCTCCTCGCGAGGCCGGTAACGTAAGTTAGGGCCACTAAAAAAAAAAAAAAAAAAAAAAAAAAAAAAAAGAATCGCACATATTATTTTCGGTGACATATATTATTTAAAATTTACAGAGCTGGGCGCGTTCCTCGATTTTCGGTAGTGCGTTAGCGTTCCTGCGTTCCTCCGGCCGCATTCTCGCGAGACACGTGGCTGGAGGAGGACGTTTCTGGCGATCCGGGGCGATAGCGAAGGCGGGAATAGCGTTCCTCAATTTTTTTTTTCGTTCGGTGCGTTAGCGTTCCTGCGTTCCTCCCTAAAAAATACCGCCGAACCACGCGGCGCGGGCCCAACCAAACACGGGGCGAATCGATCACAGAATACCCAGAATGACGACGTGGGGCCGAAAAGCAGCTCGACATCTCTTTTCCGAATCGAATATCTGAAATACGTTTTACCAATATCATCCGTAGGGTTTTCAACAAAAATACGACCTGCTTAAAAACAATAGTTAAGTTAAAAGATGTATCATAGTAAAAGTTATCATATTTACTTTACACATTTAATGCCTGAAACTGAATCGAATAGTAAACATCACCACTAAAAATCTTTACACATTTAATGCCTGAAAGCTGAAACCGAATCGAATAGTAAACATCACCACTAAATCTAAGCAAGCCTTCCTCGATTCGACCGACAAGTGACGCCTCCCGGCAAACACACGTACTCGAGATTCAAACATTTGACACAGAGTTCATTGGCAGCAATATAATTTTTCGGGTGGTTCCGCAAGAACGCAGGAACGCTTTAAAATTTCGGGTGGTGCGTTCCTCTTACTTGCGTTCCTTTGAAAAACTTTGCGTTCCTGCGTTCTTGCGTTCCTAAAAAGGGCGGTGCGTACGTACGGAAGAACGCAGGAACGCACTAAAGGAACGCACTTGCCCAGCTCTGAAAATTTATGGCATATTGATTTTTTATTTGTTTTTTGTATTTTTTTCACCTTTTTTTAAGTTGTTGTATATATTTTTTTACGACAGCAGTTAATAATAAAAAATACAAATACCTTCTTCTAGTCACAAGTAGTAATACGTCATCAAATAGCCAATTTTTTTGCATATAATAATTGGTCTGTTGAGCTTATCTAAATAAAATTGCGCGCTATGTTTCATTTGCCTGCGCCTTGCATTTGCCTTGGTTGCGAACATTGGCATTGGTTGCTGCATATTTTATGTTTTTTTTTCAAGAATATAGGGAGCATTTTATACGGCCTTTGGAGCATTGTATTTCTAATCTAGGGGTTAGCTGGTTGACAAAGTTCTTTGGCAATAGACCGTATTTGCTAATCTTCAGGATCAGGATGACTTCTTCCTGCATAAGGGAATTATTTTGGAACAAGAAATGGATATCTGTGCCAAGGGCGATCGTTGGCCTGTAAAAGATTCTGATTTGTGCTTGTTGCAGCTTTAAGAACTGCTATTTAGGGCAAAACTCTTGTTAAAACTGTAACCTATATTTCCGCTTTATTACTGCTGTAAGGACTCGCTAACATCTTGTTTCAGCTGGGGACGAGTGGATGACAGTCTGGTACCACAACCAGGAAGCCTGAATATGCTTTTTTACCAACAAGGCCACTTAATTAGAAAAGTCAGCATTTCCAAGAATACTTATACTTACTTATACTTATAAAGTTCGGAATTTTGAAAGGCCACTTGGCCTCAAGGATCCGGTCCTATCGAGCTCCTTACTGACTCAGTGTCCTGACTCAGTCGTTAAGGTGAGTTGTGTGTTTCAAATGTGCCCAGTGTTTGTCCAGTCTGGCTTTGAAGGCGTTTAGGCTGGGGGCATCGACAACTGATGGCGGGAATCCGTTCCAATCGTTGATGACTCGGACGGAGAAGACATTTCGACGCACTCGGGATACGGCCCTCGGTTTCGACAGCTTCCATTGGTGTCCGCGGGTGTTGCCTGTCGCTGCCGCCGCAAAGAATCTCTCTGCCTCGAGGTCAATCCCCTGTCTGAGCACGAATGTATCATGTATAAAGCTTGTGATTCCACAAATGTATCCTACCCTCATTAGTCATTGGTATCTTATAATTGTACCTACATCCCTAATTGTGAAAGGTATGGCAGTATGTTTTGTACCACTGATGATCAACCATTGAATTTTGTTCTAATATTATTGCAGGCTTGAAGTACCAGTGATCTAGCACCCTAATTTGCCTAATTGAAATGGCATCAGTATCAACGGTACCATCTATTCGCCGCCTTGATGAGACGGTTGTGAACAGAATCGCTGCCGGAGAAGTGGTCCAGAGGCCAGCAAATGCTTTGAAGGAAATGCTGGAAAATAGGTAGGAAAAATCCTTTAGTAGCTTTTTTTACTCCCCCATATTTATTCAGGGCTTTGGTTGATAATGCAGTTCCATGCCCTTGATACATAAATGATGAGCATACCTCACAAAGACCCAAGTATGTTTCTTGTAGTTGTCACAATAGAGATGTCAAAAACAGTGGTTTATCCAGCAGTTTGCCAAAAGTAGACATGTACCAAGAGACTCACAAAAGTCATTAAATCAATCCTCCCCACAGATGTTGGTGAGCTCAATTTGGATAACATCGACCATCTTTCTGTATTTTATTTCAGCCTGGATGCCAAAGCCACCAATATAACTGTGACAGTTAAAGACGGAGGTTTGAAGATACTTCAGATACAGGATAACGGAATAGGTAAGCTTACAGGATCGATGGTATAACCGCACCTGTTTCGTAGCACAGCTGTGGAATTAGAATCGGCCCCAGATTCGCCAAAATCTTACCGACTCCGGAGTGGGAGCCAACATTGCATGGCTCAAAGTAATGCCCTATAACATTTGTCTGCTTAAGAATATCACTCTCAGTGCCAGATTTAGTTGAAACCAAGGCAAATTTTAGCGCAAGTAAGACTGTCCCGGTATTCGGAGTACGACTGCCCGCTCTGTGCAGGTATTCGGCGTGAGGACCTGTCGCTGGTCTGCGAACGCTTCACCACGAGCAAGCTGACGGCCTTCGAGGACCTGATGCAGATCGGCACGTACGGTTTCCGCGGCGAGGCGCTGGCCAGCATCACGCACGTGGCACACCTGACCATCACCACTCGCACAGCCGACTCCAAGTGCGCATTCAGGCGAGTGGTGCTGCACGGGGACCGGGGCTACCAACCGCTGATTTGCCGGGGTGGGCAGTCCGTGGCATTTCACGCTAATGCACTGCTAGGGGTCGTGATTCGATTGCCAAACGGCCCGCTCCTCGTCGGTTCGGTGTTAGCTGCTATTAGTGCCTAATGGGCTGCTGAAGTGTTCGGGGTGCGATAAGCGGCCAACACGCTACAAAAGGACCGTAATGCGATTCTTTCTGCGCAAGGTACCGATTCTATTTCGTGTCCACGGGGGTATGCTTTGGTTCTTTGTGCACTGAGGACTGACTCAGTAATGTCCGTGTGCTCAGCGGTACTGGCGACTGACCGAGTAAGGTATGCGTACTCAGCGCGCACTGGGGACTGATTGAGTGATGTCTGCGTGCCCAGGTCGCACTGGGGACTGACTGAGTAATATCTGTGTGCTCAGGGCGCGCTACACGGACGGTCGGCTCCGAGAGGACCCCAGACCCTGCGCTGGTAACGTCGGCACCCAGATCCTGGTGGAGGACCTGTTCTTCAACATGGCCGCCCGGCGGCAGGCGCTGCGCAGCCCGACAGAGGAGTTCAACAAAATCTCGGAGGTGGTAAGTGTGTAACAGCTGCATTTGTGTGAACACTGTTAGAAAGATGAAGTTTATTCGTCATAAATGTCTACTTTTAATTGCCAATCTGAAGGCCAACTGACTGACGTGTCACATGGCGTGGCTCAACTCGGAAAGGACGGTAGAAGAACTATCGACTGCCCTATCCGTTTGCCTTTAAGTATCACGTAAAACATTTTAAGATGCATGACTTCATTTTTCAAGTAATACACAACTACATATCGGTTTGATTTAACGTCTTCTGACTTCATTCGCTGACGGACTCCGGTTCACCGTGTCCATACCCTGCCCAGGTGAGCCGGTACGCCATCCACAACAGCTCGGTGGGCTTCACGCTGAAGAAGCAGGGCGAGCCGGCCGTGTACCTGCGCACGCCGCCGCGCTCCTCGGCGCTGGACAACATACGAACCGTGTTCGGCGCCGCCACCGCCAAGTGGGTCGTGTAACTCTGCAGGATGCGGGAGGGGAGGGATTGGGGTCCCTGGGGCGGTCAGTGGAGGGAAGGGGGGATGTTGTTAGCTATAATAAATGGGTGGTAGGTAGTTTACGAAATACGACGACTATATGTTAGAGGTTTGCCTATTTGTTGTGTACCAAGTTGAGGGATTTTGCTACAAAAAAAGTTTTTCTCTTGACGCTCCCCAACGAATCGTTCCGGGTGAAACACAGTGTGTGGTTGTTGCGGGATCTAAACTGACTAAAAAGACCCAGTAAACTGACTTGTCGTTCACCGTTTGTGCTTTGTGTCCGTTCAGAGAGCTGCTACAGCTGACCCACGAGGAGTCTTCTCTAAAACTCAGCGTGTCTGGATACATATCCGGGGTCAACTTCGCCGCCAAAAAGTCGACAATGCTGCTCTTCATCAACCATCGCCTGGTCGAATCCACTGGTGAGATTCTACCCTGGCATATATGATGCATGTATAATGTATATCGTGAAACTGTCGACGTATGCGTAAGCGCACAGTGTGTAGATAAACGCTTGTGTAGAAGTTTACATATGAACATTTGTGCTGCATGCAGTAGTTGGTGGCCAATGCGCTGCATTCGACGCGACCTCAGTCTGGGTAGCCCGAGGTCGTTGTGCGGATCGGCGTTTTACTGTGCTCCTTCTGACCTGACCTGACCCGTCTCGCCGCAGCGCTGCGGAAGGCCCTGGAGCAGGTGTACTCGTCGTACCTTCCGCGGCACGCGCAGCCCTTCATCTATCTGAGTTTGCAGATGGCACCGGAGATGGTGGACGTCAACGTACACCCGACCAAGAACCAGGTCTGTACGGCGGACCGTTCGTAGCGTGGTGCTACTTAGATACCGTATGGGAACTGATAAATGTGCACTGCAGCATTGAAGGAAATGTGCAATGCACATTGTTAAATATTGACACCTTCTGAATGGGCTTTCCAACAGGCAGTTTTATCCTTCGTAAAATTTAACGTTTTTTTTTTCCTTTCGTAGGTGTATTTTCTACACGAGGACCAGATAATTGAGCTGATTCAGAAGAAGGTCGACTCGCTTTTAGTAGGAACTTCGGCGGCCAGGACATTCTACACACAGGTGAGATTTATTTGGATTACCTGCTTTTACAGACATACCTACGCCTGACACAATGGCCGTTGTACACTAATGACCGTTGTCTTATGATACCTTGATGATACACTGTTACACTGATGCACATGACACTGTCCCCAGACGCTGCTGCCGGGCGCCTCGTCTGCGCCGCCGGCCGCGGACCTGCCTCCCGCCAAGACGGCCGCCCGTCCCCAGCAGACGGTACGCACCAGTCACCGAGACCAGAAGCTGGATACGTTCGTCCGGCAGGCGGCGGCTAGCGCGGGGGACGGCGGGGATGGAGCGGCAGTGGGCACGGCGCCGCAGAGTGCTCGGTCAGTGAGCATATGACTTAGGTTCTGAAAGCCTACCCTCCACGTTCATTTATTCGTTCATTCATTCGTTATTTAACATCCCAGTATAAGCTGTGCGTTGCTCTGTTTGCCGACAATGGTGCGGTATTTTCTCGGCAGCAAGCCGATGGATTTGAGTTCTGTGCTGTTTTTTCTGAGCTCGGTGCTGTGTTAGCTAATCTCTATGTTCTGTGCTGATTTCAGCCCAGTAGAGCTCAGCTCGGTCCTCTCCCTCCGCGAGGAGGTGGAGCGCGGCTGTCACAGCGGTCTCCGGCGGCTGCTGGCCGAACACTCGCTGGTCGGTGTGGTGACGGCTCAGCTGAGCCTGGTACAGCACCAGACCCGGCTCTACCTGGTCAACCACCGGCGGCTCGCCGAGCAGCTCTTCTACCAGATCTGCCTCTACCAGTTCGGAGCGCTGGGACTCCTGCAGCTCGAGGTACGCGGCCGAGATACCGTGACGAGGTGGTGTTTATGGATAGAAACACCAATCGTTGTGTTACCCTATTATTTTTCATACACCCGCTTACAAATTGCCGTCTGAGTCGGCTTTAAACGCTCCTTGCCGATACTCGTCGCCATCCTCCTAAGGCCTCGTCACTGCATATTTATACCCCCTTGGTGCCAAAGAGACGAAGATACGTCGACGGTCGAACCTCTATACTCTGTTCCGTTTCAAGCTTGCAGCCGAAGTGCCCTGCTGAAAGCAATGCGTGATTTCTGTATATACAACTCTTACATTTTAAGACGCAAATTCTTGAGCGGAGGAGCGATCTGCCGAAGAAACTCCGACTGCAAGCTTGATATGGAACAGACTATAGCCATGTCGAAATAACAGTTTAACCACTGACCAATGGTCATATCTTTGATCAGCTCTCTGATCTACATAGTATCCTCTATAGCTGCCCGCATTCACCCTCTACCCTAATCTGACCGCATCTCCCCTACGACTGTCTAACCTCATCCCATGCCTCTCCCCCCCCCCCCCCCCCCGTTTCAGGAGTCCCCTCCGGTCCGTGAGCTGGCGCTGCTCGGTCTGGAGCAGAAGGACGCCGGATGGACTGTCTAACCTCCCCCCCCCCCCCAGGAGTCCCCGCCGGTCCGGGAGCTGGCGCTGCTCGGTCTGGAGCAGAAGGACGCCGGATGGACTGTCTAACCTCCCCCCCCCCCCCCAGGAGTCCCCGCCGGTCCGGGAGCTGGCGCTGCTCGGTCTGGAGCAGAAGGACGCCGGATGGACCGAGGAGGACGGACCCAAGGAGGAGCTGGCCGACTGCGTCTGTCAAGTTCTGCAGCAGCACGCGGACATGCTGGACGACTACTTCTCTATCCAGGTGGACGCCCAGGGACGGCTGCGCGCCCTGCCGCTGCTGCTCGGTGAGCTGGGGGTACAGCTGGGGAAATCCCGAAAACTGCCAGAGGTAATATCCTTCGGTGGATAATGTTTGGATAATGGGATTGTTGTTTTTTATCTGTTGCTCCCTGCGTGGGCTAATCACTACTGTCTAGATGTGTTCAATGCGTTCTCAATGGTTTTAGCCGGTGGCGGACTCTAGAAGGCAGCCACAGGCCGCTGCAGCTCTTGGTCAGCCTTAGCACTGACAAACGCTGGTAGTGGGAAATGTAAAAATCGGCGACCTTGCATAAGCTAGTTTTTTCATGAAAGTGAGGGTCTGAATAATTGTGTTGTGTATTTTGACTTCGATAGAATTGCTTTTTACGGAGCGAGCGAAGCGAGCGTAGTCTTTCCTTAGATTAAAGGAAATAGTTCACTTTCACGAAATTATTTTTTTTTGCAACGGATTTATGATTTTTTATGTTCAAAATAATCAGCAAAGAAAATAAAACCTTTTTATAACAAAATATTATTTTCTATATTTTGATATAGGAAGAACTTTTCAGTTTCTGTAAGACACACGCGATCCAGTATGAAAAGAGCATGGGTCCCGAAAATTCTTCAGAAACAGAGAAATTATCGCAGCCACCGGCATTTGGGCGATCTGCTCGATCTGATAATGTTCCCCTGAATGTCTTAATTGATCAGTACGAGAGTTTCTCTAGAGTTCTCGTAGATAATTTCTCTAGTTTCTGAAGAATTTTCGGGACCCATGCTCTTTTCATACTGGATGGAAATATATGCAAGGCACACATCCTCAACGCAAGACACCTTTTTCGGGACGAGAAATAGAATACCTTTGCCTAGGGTGATCGTTGGGCTGTAAAAGCTCCTGATTTATGCTCGTCTCAGCCCAAGCTACGGAACTGCTATTCCAGTTCAAAACCCATGTTAAAAAGTGAACTATTTCCTTTAACGGAAATTTCTGAGTATGAGCGGCCGGCCGGCCGGCCGGCCGTGGTCACACTTTTGCGAGGCTTATATCTCAGCAACCACTTGACCGATTTACACGCGGTAGTTTTTGTAGGGTAGCTTCATTCCTTCTACCAAGTATTGGACTATTCCCGATGCATGTGGGTGACCCCATATGCACGTGCCACGTGCAAAACGAAGAGGTGTCACTTTTGTAATTGTTGCAATATCTCCGTAAATACTTGGCCGATTGCGCTGAAAGTTGGCATGTAGGTAGGCACCCACTAGGCAATGCATATCCATGTGCCAGAGTTGGGGTGCTGCTGCACGTGCGCACGTGCAGGGGTCGATTACAGATCTCGAGAACGGCTGGACCGATGGCGCTCAAATTTGGTACATGGTTAGGGACCGGTTAGTAGGGTGCCGTGCAAAAGTCAGTTGGGACACATTTTGCACGTGCGCACGTGCAGGGTGCCGCTTCCAGATCTCGAGAACGGCTGGGCCGATTGTGCTCAAATTCGGCACATCGCTAGAGACCGGTTAGTAGGGTGCCGTGCACAAGTCAACTGGAGGTACCCCCTTGAAATTTCGCACGTGCAAGGCTCACCCTCTCGCTCGCTCCGTTAGTCGCCCCCAAAAGGCGCTATACTGGTTATTATATCGAAATGTTGCGAATGTGGCAAAAACATCCACATTCTTACCGCTTTCCGTTATCTACCATGATGCGACAAATTAACAAAATATGTTTGATATTTTTTGTAATGAAGTTTTTGGAAAAGAGACTATGATTTATTCGGACAAAAATGCCGACGTCCGGTCCGGTGTCATCTTGTTTTGTTTTGTTGGGTTAGGCCCTTTCGGTCCAATTAGACCATTTCAGAGCCGGGAGGATAATAGGATATAGGGGGAGACATTGGTCTGGGCAGGCACCCTAGTGAGTCGCCGGGGCTGAGCCCGTCCCCGGTGTCATCTAGCGCCGTTCTGGCTTTGTCCTGCCGGTTGGATGGCTGACCTTTGCTTAGCGGTGTGGGGTGGACCTGTCACCGGATTCCGGCCCACCGGCGGACGACTGAGGCGACCCCTCGCCCCGCCCGTCCAACAGATAACTACGAGCCGCCGATCGCCGCTCTGCCCGGCTTCCTCACCCGGCTGGCCACGGAGGTGAACTGGGAGACTGAACGGCAGTGTCTGCACGACATCTGTCGGGAGATCGCCAGGCTCTACAGCTGGACACCGGCCACAGATGGCGCTGTGAGCGAGCCGGCGCGCCTGCAGCTGGAGCGCGCCCTACTGCCGGCTGTGAAGGAGCAACTGCTGCCGACCGGACGGTGGGCGGACGACGGCACTGTGCTGCAGGTGGCAGACCTGCCCGACCTCTACAAGGTGTTTGAGCGGTGCTAGAGGCGACAGCCGACCGCCGGCTGGCGGGCTGAGTCGTCATCTGACAGTGGTTCCAATCGGAGCGGTGATATTTTGGTCAGCAGGCTGCTGCAGCTGGGAGCGAAGGGAGACTGTTCTGCTCCGTTGTGGTGGCTATCGGAAAGGTGCGTGTGAACTGCCTTTCTTGTGACGATGGCCACCGCACGGCACACCATGCTGTGGAAAACTCGTTGGTACTCGTTGGAACTCGTTGGTGTAGGTGGCGCTGGTGATGCTATGAGTACAAAGGCGTTGGATCGTGATAACTGATAACACTTGATTGATTGCGTTGTGAGATGTTACGTTGCCGACCTGTTATGAGCTGAATACATGAGGCTGTATAAAAGAAACATTTGTGATCTCTTGTTCTTCAACAGGCATTTCCATCAACAAATCGTCGAAGAGCCTTCGTTATTCTGATTTCTACTTGGTTGCATGGAGCGTTATTCAAGAGTTTCCGTTCACTGATATTTTGGGTGGATGTCACTGGTGTTGACTGTTGACCGTCAGTCTGACTTGGCAATCTAATCAACTAATCGAGGTTGGTATTTTGAATCTGAGAACACAACGGAACACAACTTTTTTGGAGCGCACGTATTTTTACCGTTTACGTCCAGACATTTTCATAAAAATATTTGCTGCTTAAATATGACATTACGTTGGGCTACACACTACACAGTACATGCATACATGCCCATGAAGTAGGGATATTCGTGTGCCAGACCCTCGTGGCGGGACGGTAACATACACCATCCCCGTCCGGTAAGCGTGTTAGCGTTCCGACCCCCTAATTCAATATACCCTGTTCCGACCACCGTCATTTCGCCGGCTCCGGCGCGTCGGAGAGTAGCGTGCTACGTCGAGCGGGAATGACACTGCCCCCCGGCGCTCTCTACTCCATTCCATCACATTATGCCTATACCTACACTCATCCACTTATGGAATACATACGTGGGCCCAGGCAGGCACGGCTAGTGCTAATTCGGCCACGGCGCATTCGCGGTGATCAATGTCTCCCACGGGGGCGCTCAGATTACTATCTAGTGGGGGTCGCGGAATACCGCTTGGTGCAGCTGCTAGCCCCGTCTGTATACCTACGGATGTATTCTGGGTCGCTATTAAGTGGTTTATTTTTAGAGCTATATAAATATATAAACATACCTAAATATATCAGCACCTTTATATTTTTCATCGCGGGTCATTTTTGTTGTAACCATGGGAGGAGGCCACAAAAATATCTTTGTGAAGGAAAAGTGTGATTGCTGCTTTATTGGCCGCCGGCGCCCCGAGTGGTCCATATGTGCGGCGCCGTCGGAGCGGGCGGCGCGTGCGCGTCGTCGGCGCCGACGCTGGGCCGGTCGGCAGTCGGCCTCGGCGGCCACCGAGGGGCGGCCCCGCCGCGCGCGCCGCCACCCGCCGCAGGTGAGTGCTCGGCGCCAGTCGCTGCTCCGCCGCCGCCGGCTCAGGTGCCGGTGCTCCGACCCGCCCCGACCGGTGACCGGAGCTGACCGCGGCGGCCGCACCCTATGGAGCAGAGCCAGGTACCGTGGCCGAGCCCACCGCTCCCTCCCTCCGGCTGGTCGGCCTCCTCCCCCTCCCCCACCCCGTCCCTGGACGCCGCCGGCCGGGCGCGCGCCGACAATCCCTGTGACACCGGCCCGCTGACGCCTGGCGACGGCTGAGTGGCACCGTCTTCGATTAGACAAGGCGGCCGTTACGTCAGCGCCGATGGACGGCCGACCCCTGGGTGCCGATCGCCGATGGACGGCCGACCCCTGGGTGTCGGTCGCCGATATCGTAGGGCGCCCGGTCAGCGGGTCCCAGTTCCGTTCCGTAAGGCGCTCCAGGTTCCGGTCCGTGAGGTCGACGCTCTCCGGGTGTGGATACACAGCCAGCCGTTCAGCGTTTCGGTGAACCGACCGTTTTGTGTGTGCCAACTTGAATGTCGATCCCCGGTATCGTAGCCCACGATTCCGGTTATTAAGTCCAAATGGGTGGCAGATGTGGTACCTTGAAGGAACTGAATTCATAAAGGCTGAGCGTTTATGTGATTTACCCACATTCCACTGCCTCAGGAAGCGGATGTGAATGACATTTATGAGGAGCTTTTGAGCACTTATTTCTGGTATCTCGCCTGGCAACGTTCTTCGAAAGAACGTTTATTCAGAGCGGTAACCGATTAGAGCTTACTCGACCCCTGACGTCTCATGTCAACTCCAGCCAGAAGGAATCAGAGTCTGAGTTTATAGGCGGCGGAACGGGGAGGGCACCGGGGCACCGTGCCCCCCTTTGATTTTGGCATTTTAACATTAGCCCTATGGGTGTTGCATGGAAAGAATGGGACCAAAAGTAGGCAGTGCCCCCCCCCCCCCTTAGTTGAAGGTGTTCCGCCGCCACTGTCTGAGTTCGACAGAGTATGGCACGTAACAAGTGGTCCACCTGCCGAAATCGGTGGACATTTAATGTGGGACGTCTTAACAAACATCAAAAATGGGCTGTTTTGACAGATATTGGCCCGCTCCGGCTCCGGTTTGGTACTACGCCGCACGGATGATTTTGCTCGGCTCCGTCTCGTGCCGCAGGTCTCTCTGCACCATCAAGCGTTTGGTGTCAATGATGTGCTGATAACTTGGCGGGCTTAGTGGCTTGCATATGATTTATAAAAGAAGCATATCAAAGATCTGCCTGACCTCAGATGACCCATGTGAAAAAAGACGAGATGTTCAGTCCGTAAGGACTCCTCGGGTCGAAAACTTGCATCTACTGAAAGTTTGCCTCCCGTGAACGAACTACAAAGCCCTTTTCCCTGGCACTAGGATCGTTCAAAAATCGCGACATTTTCTGATTGTCCGCAGAGGCTCACACATGACGTCACAGGTCAGCGACCTGACCTGGGCTTATAATGATATGTGGTTCCGAAAGGTTTCGGTTGAATCAAAGGCTGAGTAGGCAAAAGTTCAGCTCTCCAGTCTCCAGCAAACGTTCTAATTTTAAATCGTGCAATTCTTCCAGGAAGTTGAAGCAAGGTAACCCTCGGCTCTTACTTTTACCTAGAAGCGTTGGTTTGATAACTTGCCAGCTAACCAACGCCAACGGGCCAAACAAACTTATCTCGTCGGTCGGTCCCGTATACCGCCCGCCCGGAGCAGCCGCCTTCTGCAGGCGCCCTGAGAGGTAGGCTGTGCCGCACGGCGTGAGTGTGCGGCGGGACAGCCTACCCAGACAGGCTCGAACGCCGGCTCGCCATACGGGCCTCGCTCTGCGGTTGAAACGGACGTAACGATTGACGGAAAACGGTCGTTTCTGCGAGCATTGCCCATGAGTAGAGTGACAATAGAAGGACCAAGATAGGGAACAATGAGAAAACTTGATCCTCATTGACCGGCGACCGCGTCCCACCGTGCGATGTCTAATAGGTGGATGGGAAGTGTGGGACCCGATCGCGGCGCCCACCGCACGGTGGTGCCCAAAAGTAGGATGGGAGGTGAGGGGGTCGTTTTTCCTGGTCGGATGGTAAGTGGGACTAGCCCCACCGTGCGGCGTCGCCGACGTCAGTGGCATCCATCACCCGGCGCTTCCTCGTGCCCCATTATGCTGGGAGGAGGCGCCCGGCCGCTGCCGTACGCGGCGCGTGCCGGTGGCATCCGCGCCGCTGCCCCACCGCGGCTCCGCCGACGGCGGCCTCTCGGCGAAGACGTATCGCGTCGTCCCCACCGGTCCGGCCATAATAGAGCACAATATTGCGGGAGCACGGCGGCGAGCACAATGCAATATGTACGGACTGGACAATGGGCCGCTGACCGGTGTCTGTGGTCGGTCGGGGGCGCCCCCTCCCCGCCGTGACCCATCCGCTGGCCGGCGGGCAATCACAATCGCGACATATGGCGGGAACGGCGCCAAATGGTGCGTGATCGCCCCCGGGCCGCCGGCCAGCCTGTTCCGGCGCTGATCCGGGGAGAGGGAGGCACGCGGTGAGCCGGCGGCGGGACAGACGCGGTATGTTTGGACGGATCATCACAGACGGGCTGCGGACGAGCGGACTGACACTGCCGGTATGAGCAGGCCTGCATATTGCATACCGACCGGGCCATGATCTTCAAAACGCGCGCCCTCCGATTCTTTTATGCGATGAAGTTTGCTGCCATAGTGGTAAATGTGCAGTGCATACAATGCGTCGAGCCCGAGCAAACGCAAACATTTTTGTAGTTGCCTGACTGATTGGATAATGGCTCGCGTGGTATAACTGAAATGTTCTTTAAAAAAAAAAAACAGTACCTAGGCATCTTTACGTCTTTGTATTTTCTAACTAGTTTACTTTCGTGACCAAATAGTTAGGTAAGCTAAGTATAGGGTAAGGTGCCTAATTAGCGACCCCCTTAATTTGAACCGTCATTGCTCACGCTCTGTGGGTGCCACTGTATTACTGGCTTGATTTTCGGAGAGATCGTTCATTTTTCTATTAAAATATAGTCATTTTCTGCCCCAATATTCACTAACTTATTTGTAGTGAACATTTTGGCAAACCATTGCAAAAAAAAAAAAAACGCTTATAGGGAACTCTTCCCGATTAGCGACCGGGGAGGGTCGCTAATAAGTCTATGGGTTTCCCCATATTAAGAATGGCAAAAAATGTGACGCCTGAAAAGATGAAATATCATCTCAAAAAGGTAAGCTATACGCAAAACACTCAATCACTCGAACAAGAACGTTTATCCAACACATTTACGTTAGTAAAAACTGATCACGTGATGCACCGAAGGCGAAAAGAAGGCGGAAACCCAAATTTTGCGGGCTATCTCGTATGATATTCGAGGTCCGCGCTGAATTCGGCACCCCTGCAGTCGGTAACGACATTTGGCATCCCCTGCCACACATTGCAAGCTTCAGCAAAACCTCATTTTCATTTCTCTCTTTTCCACTTTCTTTCCCTTCTTGAGATATTTGCGACCATGTCAGGCGCAAATAGGAAATATGAGTTGCGACACATTTTTAACCGCTATGCTGTGCAGAGTTGAGCAATTCACTATGGGAAAACGGCAATCAATTAAAAAAGAAATGTTGATTCAGAATAAAAAAGGTGCATCATCCTAATGTGCATCGCTTTTCATCAGAGAGGGCCCAAACACACACGTTTTTGGATAAGAAACTCGTCATTTTTATTTAAACTCACCTGAAACGTCCCACCAGAAACATCGACGACCGGAAAATAATGTAATTTGATCAGCAAAGTATGGCTGACCTTTTGACGATGTTTTTACGGGTTTACGGGTTTACGGGTTTACGGGTTACGGGTTTATAAAAATTCGGTAATAAAACAATTTTCGAAGACGAACATTGGCAGCTGAATTAT